AATAGAATATATATACTCTTATATAATATATTAATATATATTTATATTATACTATTATTTATATAAAAGCTTATTTTACTATTAATTTTATTAAAATCTATATAAAAATTTAATATAAACTTTATAATTAAACTTTTAATTACTATTATAAATAATAAAAGTAGATTTAATTTTAATAATAATAAATTATTTTATTAAAATAAGTTTTTCCTTTTAATTTATACTATAATAAATATTATAAAGTTTAATAAAATCTTCTATAAAAATTAAATATAAATAAAGAATTTATAAAAATTATTATTAATTAAAATATAATCTTTACAAATAATTTTAAAAATACTATATAAACTTAATAATATAAAAACTATTATACTACTACCTATTATCTATAAAGTAATAAATAAATTAAAAATAAATTAAACATTAAAATAATACTTTAAATTATTTATAATTAAAAATACTTAAAATTAATTAAAACTATTATATATTATATTTTTATATATAATTTAATATAAAATATAATAATTAAAATAAACCTATTTAAAATATTATTATAGTATAAACTATTTTTATAATTTTATATAAATAATAATTTATTAAAAATAATATATTATAAAAAGGTATTAATAATAAAAGAGTAATTAAAAAACTTTAATAAATTTATTTAAAATATTAAAAAATTAAAAAAGCGATTAAAGTCTAAACTTAAAACTATAATATATATTATTAGTTTAAATAATTTAAAATTAATAAATAAATATCCTTAATAATTAAGTATTTTTATTTAAAGAATAAAAGACTAACTTTATAAAAACTAACCTATTTAAAATCCTAATTTAAATTAATAAATAAGCTTATAATTTAATCCTCTTTAAAAATATTTTTAAATATATAATATTTTTATATAAATTAATTAAAATTATAAATAATTAAAATATTAAAAGCTTATAATAGAATATTATAAATTTATTAAATTTAAAAATAAATAAGTTAAATAAAAGTTAAAAAATTTAAGACTATTAAAAATTAAAAGTATTCTTTACTATTTAATAAAATAAAAATAATAATTAAATAAATATAACTTTTAAATATTAAAGAATAAAATATTTATAAATAAAATTATTTAAAAATAATATAAAAGAAAACTTTAATATTTTTTAAAAAACTTAAAAATAAGTAAATAAAGGGTTAAAAAAGGAACTATTTAAACTATAATAAATAAAAATAAATAAATAATAACTAAATAATAAAAGATAAATATTAAAAGTAACTAATAAAATAAATAATAATAAAGTAAATAATTAATAAATAATTTATAAAAGTCTTATAATAAGTTAATAAAAATAAAATATAATTAAAATATAAATTTAATAAAGAGTTAATAAAATAAATAAGGGTAGAATAAATAAACTATAAATACTTAATAAAGTATTTAAAGAATAAATATTAAAAGAATAAATATTATTAATTAATAATTAAAGAGAGTTAATTATTTATAATATTAAAATTAAAGAAATTATTATAAAAAGTAATATAAATATATTAAAAATAAACTATTTTTAAATTATTTAGATTTATAATAAGTTAGAATTTACTTTAAAAAATAATATAAAGAAATATTATTATTCTACTTTAAAAACTTTAAATATTATCTTTATAATTTTAATTACTAATTTATAATATAATTAATTAACTTTTAAAAGGGGTTATTTTTATTTTATAAGTTATTTTTAAAATAATAAAAGATATTTTAAAATTATAATTTAAAGGTTTTATTTATTATATTTATAACCTTTTAAAGGAATTTTTAAATTAAAATATATTAAGTTAGAAATTTATTATTTATTAAAATAAAATATATTATATTATAATAATTATTTATAAAATCTTTAAAATCTTTTATAAATATTATTTAAATTATTTTGAAATTAAATTTTATAAGTTAAAGGGAATATAAGGTAGTTATAATTTATATTTAAAAATATTAACTTTTATAATTTTTATTTTAAAATAAATTAATATTATTTTATTAAATAAATATTAAATAGTTTATATTTAATATTAAGATTTATTACTTTTTTATTCTTTTAAATTATCTTTAAATTTAAGGTTTTTACTTTTTTAAAATATTAAATTATTATTAAAGTTATTAATAGATATATTTATTAAGGTATTAATTAATTAAATTTATAAAACTATAAACTTATTTATTCAAATTAATAAAAGTAAAAGTTTTATATTATTTATAATTTCTTTTAAAAGGTTTTTATAAAATAAATATTAAAGATTAAATTAATTATTAAAGGATTTCTTTAAAATTAACTACTTTATAATTTAATAAAAATATAAAGTAAATTTACTATAATATAAGGTAAATAATATTTTATAATATATTAATTATAATAAAAACTTTTAAATTAATAATAATATAAAAGATATTTTTATAATAATAGTTAAATATTTTTAATTTATTTTAAAAGGTATATATATATATATTATAAAATATTTAAAATTTAATTATTTAATTTTATATTTTTATATTTTTATAATTTAATAAAAATAATTAAATAAATTAATAATTATAAAAGTTTTTTATATTTTTATAAAAGAAGGTATAATTTACTTTTAATTTTAAAGGATAATTAAAATTAAATAAACTTTATAAAGAATAAAAAATCTTTAAAAGTTTAAGGAATTTTAATAGATTTTTTTATTTAAATTCTTTAATAAACTAATAACTTTTATAATTACTTTTTAATAAGTTTAAGGATTATATAAAGTAACTATAAGTTTTTATTTATTACTTTAATAAAGAGCTTTTTAAAGATTTTTTATTATTAATATTCTTATTATAATAATTTAAAGAAAAGAGTTATTAATATTAAAAATAATAGAGTTAATATAATTATTATTAAAGCTTTTAAAATTAAACTTAATTTAATAGAATATTTATAAAAGGATTTACTTTATTATTTAATAAAGAGTAATAGAAATAATATATAAAGCTATTAAAAAGAAAGATTATTTATAAATATTATAATTATTATTAAAAAAGAAAGTTATATAGTAAGGAAACTTATTAATTAAAAATAGGATTATTAATTAAAACTTTTAATTAATAAAAATTATTAAAAAACTTTTAAAAATTATTTAACTTTAATTATTTAAATATATTAATAATATTTATGATAATTATAAAGTAATTAAAAAATATTAAAAATTAAAAGAAGGAAGTTTATTAAAAACTTAATAAGATTAGTTATTAAAAAAAAAGAAAGTAAAAGTAAAGAGAGAAAGGTAATTATTTAAAAGAAAATTAATTAGTTTATACTCTTATAAAGTATAATAAAAACTATTAAAAGATTTAATAAGTTATTAAACTTAATTAATAGTAGTAAATAAAAAGTTTTTAAAAGAAAAAAATAAAAGTAATTAATATTAATTAGTAATAATAATTAAAAATAGTCTTTTAGAGAGAGATATAATTATAATAATTTAATAAAAGTTATAAAGAAGTATTTTAAAAGTACTTTAATATTTAACTATACCCTTTTTATAGCTTAATAAAAGGTAAGTAAAGTTTACTTACTTTTCTTTAAAAAAGTAAAATTAGTTTTATATTAAACCTAAATTTAATAAACTTTTAAATTTTTTTAACTTATATTATTATATTTAATATTATAACCTATTATATAAATTAATAATTTTTATAAATAATTTAAACTTTTTTATTATAAATTATAATAATTATTTTATAAATTTTATTAAAATAATAACTATTATTATAAATAATAAAGTACTTTTTATAATTTATAATAAAAAGTAATTAAATTATATATAAAGATTAATTATTTAAAAATTAAAGTTATAACTTTATATTTTAAAAAATATTAAAGTTACTTTTTATAATAAAAGTATAATTATTACTTATATACTCTTTTATTTAATTAAAAGATTATAATTATTAATCTACTTATTAATTATATAGTTTTACTTCTATTCTATATATATTTAAGGATATATATAGTGCCTTTATTTAATAGTAAGTACTAAAGCTCTAGTGCTTAGAAAGGATATAGTTTTAATAATGATAGTTATAATATGATAGGTGCTTGTGGCCTTAGCCTTGCGAAGTACAGACAAGGCTAAGAGGCACCGTCTTGAGGAAGGGCTTTATATCTCCCTGATCTGCTATCCGTAGCATTCCACATGAGCTGACCCAACGCCACACATTTAGAAAAAGTTCCAGTGCTCCCCGAATGACGAAAGCTCTGATATCCAGTCCCACATCTCCCCTTCCTTGACCCCAAGCGAATCATGCCTGTCCCAAAGTTTAACAAGCACAGACGTCGCAGTAAAACTATTCGCGCAACGTGTTACACTCCAAATATGGCGTTGTGTGGCGAGCACGCACTCGCGTTGTTCTTTCTTTTGACACGCAGCGCCAGCGATAAATGTTGGCCAGTTGAGACATCTTAGAAGCGTTGCGTCAGAGAGATGAGTAAGGGCCGAAATGAAGTCGTCAACCATCACTTGCACGGCAATTTCTTCTTGGGCCAATGTATATGACACACCCGATGCGTAAATGGCAGCCGACTGTTGCCATATCGTGTGGAGGCCTACCAGAGTTTCGTGAGACAACGTTCTAGCTCTGAAGTCCAATGCTTTCGCTTGCATGGCCCAGACCTTGGCGTCAAAATGCTGGAGCGCTTCTAGTTGTGACCGGATTGCGTCTGTCGTGGACTTCGGTGGCACGTCTGATGGTGAGTCTTGCCTCGAAGAACGGTTGTTTCGGAAAAGCACGGCTACAGCTTCAATGCATTGGAGAATCGCTGTTGGACATGTCAGGTTGCTTAGAAGTTGTGGCCTCACCGGATCTTCTGCTGATTTTGGCATATCGAACAATGTCGCGACACTACCAGCTGGCGGAAGAGTCTGGCCAAAGATCTCAAACCTACAGCTCATCAACTTGGGTGCTTTCCAGAAGGAATTATGTGGACTCACAAGGTAACCTCATGGATGAAGCCCTCCAAGACCGTAGGGAGATAGGACAGGTCTGCATGGAGACTAGCACTGAGCAGCTGCTTGGCTCCCTCGATATGCACCATCCACGAGCCACTACCGCTCTCGAATACTTCCACGAGAGCAAGAAGAACTGCAGTGGCGAAAGTGAGTACGTCTGGAGACCCATTCAGGTTGGTAATGTCTCGCGAGAATAGATTCAGCGCCTCCTGCTTGTGGTTCCAGAACTCTTCTAGCAACCTGGAACAACGGTAGTCGTTGGAAACCGACACATAGCGCTCTTTGACGCAGTTGGACCGTGATGACGGCCCAAGAGGCCCACTCAGTTGTGCCACGGTGGTGCCTGTCATGTAATGGATGGCATGACAGGCAGCAACTGCCATGATGGCACTTGTGGTAGCTTGACACGAACCAATCATTGGTAACACCTCTCGATAGGGATTATTACACTCTTCGCTGAAGGCGAAGAGGTAAGAGACTTGCCGCACAACTATATGCTTTGTCAATGTCTCGTTCGTTAAGCGCTCGTTGAGAGAACATCTGAGAGCATATTCTTACAATAGTCCAGAAGGTATCGGTCATTATAACGCAAGGGTTGCAGCATGGGCTCAACAAGACCTTTTGAAGGTGCGAGTGCCACAAGACTCGTTGTACTTGATGTTGACGGTACTTTCGATGGTGATGTTGGCGGTGAAGTTGGCCATGGTGTCGGCGGTGATGATAAATGACCGAGATCGACTTTCTTTTTCTTAGGCTCGTAGGCTGAGATGACGAGTTGGGGCCGCGGACGTTTGTTACTAGCTTGTAGGGGAGGTGGCTTGCTCTCGTAGGTTCGACCCATCATTTGGCCCCGGCTTGCTACGCCGCTCACCCATCTCAGAGGTTTGCATGCATAACCTGGGCATTCTGCACCTCTCTGGGCGCATTTCCGGCAACGCGGCAAGCTGCCGTCACACTTGAGTCGCTGACGCTTGCAGTTCCAGCACTTGTTCCTCTTCTCAATCTCCGCAGGATCCGCGTCCATAGTCCTGAAGATGTCTTCTGGTCGCGAGCAGCAACTGCAGGCCAAGTACGCTCAGGAGCAGCCAGCCCAACGGGGTTCTCGGGACGTTTCTCGGGACGTGGCGATCTGACAATGACGATGTGGATCTCAGCAACTCAAAATGCCCACAAGTCCTCACGCTAGCGTCATTGCGCCTTGGCTTCCTGATTGAGCAATGCTGCGCTAGACCGCCGCGCTATTACGCTATCACATATGCCCGGTATGTACTTGAGTAGTCAACCTCAGACCCACCCACGGCTCTGGTACCCACTTACCGAATATGGGCAGTAAAATGCAATCCAAGACTCAAGCACTCTCGAGGGTCTACTACATAAAGTAAAAACATGATCCCGCTACTTTCTACCTCCGTCTGGAGGGCCTACACGCAACAACTATTCACTACCGGATGTTAAGGATCAAGGGTATATTCTGACTCCTACGATGACGTTTCCTACACGATCATCCTCTGGACTTCACTACCCTCCGGTCGGGGGTAGTGTCAACAATGACGACAACGCAAACTCAGAGGAAACTTGCAAGGTCCATATAACGCCACAAACAGAAGAGGCTGTCTCGGGAATATACAGGTCCATCACAAGGCAATCAGAGGCATCGGACGACGGAGACTCTTCATCTACCGAATTGGAAGAGTATTTGCGCAAGGAGCAGCAGAACACCACGCGGCCATTGCCTCTCAGCGTCTGCTTCAAGAACCTCTCAACCTATGGTCGCCCAGGAGGCTCGGTGCCAGTCAAAACGCTAAGGCATGCCATCTGGCGGACACTAACTTTCCAGGATGTCTATGAATGGACCCTGAAGAGATACATGTCACCCGCCAAAGTAGAAGACGGCCATGCCCTGATCAGAGATTTTTCTGGCGTGGTAAGAAATGGCGAAATGATGCTGTGAGTGAAACATTACTAGTACAATCCGAATACTCGAGCACCCGGCTAATGTCTGTTAGTGTTCTCGGAAACCCTGGCTCAGGATGCAGCACGTTCTTGCGCACCTTAGGCAACGATCACTCATCGTTCCTGGGAGTGGGCGGATTATTGAGCTACTCGGGTCTGTCCCCACAAGAAATCTCCAAGCATTTCCGAGGACTTGTCACATATGTGCCAGAAGAAGACATTCATCTCCCGACACTCACCGTGCGCCAAACCCTCGAGTTTGCATTGCAGAATAAGACCCCGAAGCGATGGACCCACCGAACCGCCCAGTTTGTGCAGGAGTTCGGCAAAGCATTTGGCATGTCCCACGTCATGGACACTCTGGTAGGCAATGAATTCATCCGGGGGGTGTCGGGTGGAGAAAGAAAGCGTGTTTCGATCCTCGAATCACTGGCATCGGATGCATCAGTGAACTGCTGGGACGGGTCAACTCGTGGCCTTGATGCCGCCTCTGCCCTTGATTTCATCAGGTCCTTGAGAATCATGACAGATGCCTGCCAAAGAGCTACAGTCGTATCTCTCTATCAGGCATCAGACGCGATTTACAAGCTGATGGACAAGGTCGTGCTCATTGACGAGGGCAGGATGTTGTACAACGGCCCAGCGCAGCAAGCAGAAGCATACTTCAACGAGCTGGGATATCTCCGTCTCCCACGACAGACCATGAGCGACTTCTTGACCAGTGTCACGACCGGTGATCCCGCTGTCATTCGCGACAACAACGCTAGCTTGCCGCGCGGTGCCATCAACCTCGAGCAAGTCTTCCGATCGAGCCAGGCCTTCAGGGACGTCGAGGCCGAAATCCAACGGTACGAACTTGACTTGAGGAAGTCTTCCGAGAAATCTGCCCCGACTCAAGCCGAGAAAAGCACTTCTTTTACTGTTCCCACGAAGCAGAAGATCCACCAGCACTCGAAGGACAACAAATCCAGATTTGTCTCCTCGGAATCTCCTTACCACACGTCACTCTTCCGCCAGGTCATTCTCTGTTCCAAACGCGAGTACTGGCAGCTCGTGGGCCACCTGAATCCTTTCATTTTCAAGATGATTTGTGTCATCGTGTGCAGCTTTCTCCTGTCTTCCATGTTTTACAACATGCCTAATGACACAGGAGGTGTATACTCTCGAGGAGGATTTACTTTCTATTCTGCTGCTGTCATTGCTTGGTTCCAAATGTCCGAGATGGAGATATCGTTCCGTGACAGGATCATCGTCAGTCGCCATAAAAGGTTCGCCATGGTGCGACCGAGTGCGGTGGTTGTCGGCAAGGCTTTGTTGGACATTCCATCGCTTCTATTGCTTTCCATCATATATTCGACCATTTCCTACTTTATTGCCGGCATGAGAATGGAGGTGAGTTGTACAAACTGTCTGACCCTCAAGTCTCCAGCTTGCTGACGCAAATGACAGCCTGGTGCATTCTTCATCTTTTTGGCTGCGGTATTTTTGTGCGCCTATGCATTCACCGCCGGGTTCCGGGTATTCAGTGCTGTTTCGCCGAGTCTTGAGGTTGTGTTCAGATATGCAGGTGTATACCTCCAGATTGGCATCGCCTGTGGTGGCTATGTGAGGCCGCTTGAAAGTCTAATATCTGATGTACCTTGGGTTGGTTGGCTAGCAGTAAGTACTAATTCGAGAGCTAATTCTTGTACAAAATCTGATCGATGCTACAGTACTTGACACCCGTGCCTTACACGTTTGACATTCTTATGTCTGCCGAGTTTCAGGGACGGAGCTTCCCGTGCAATCTAGATTCACTGATACCCCACGGGCCAAGCTACGACAATCCTGAATTTCAGAGCTGTGCCTCTACAGGAGCCTCTCGCACCGGTGTTCAGGGTGACGACTATCTTCAAGGTCAATTCGGCTTCGGTGCCCAGAATTTCGGGCGCAATTTTGGCATTCTAATTGGGTTCGCTCTTGGTTTCTTGCTTTTCAACATGTGGTTGGTGGAAAGCCTCGACTGGGCTCAGAATGGAGGCGCACTTCACGAGTTTGCCTCCTCTAAGAAGAGACGGCATATCACGGAGAAAATCGACGAGGAGAGCACCGAAGATTTCCGCGTCGAGGAAGAGCCATCGTCTCAGGAGGAGGCTCCGGAAAAGCTCCACCATTCTGGGGCCACCTTTTCTTGGCACAACCTCAACTACAGTGTCCCACACAAACATGGGGAGAAGCAACTGCTGCGAAATGTTTCGGGATTTTGCGAGCCTGGCAACTTGACTGCACTTGTTGGGGCCTCTGGTGCTGGCAAGAGTACTCGTGAGTCGTCGCAAATCAATGCATTGAAATGGACATGCTAATAACCTGGCAGTGCTCACTGTGCTTACCCAGCAAGGACAGGGCAAGCTCTCTGGTGACATGACTGTGGACGGCCAACCAGTTGGGCCCGCCTTTGGAAGAACAATAGGCTATTGCCAGCAGATGGACATCCATATTGACACAAGCACTGTTAGGGAGGCTTTCGAATTCTCTGCACTTCTAAGGCAGAGCCAGGAAACCCCCGACGGAGAGAAGCTAGCATACGTCCACAAGGTGCTCAAGATCCTCGGTATGACTGAACTGCAAAACGTGGTCATTCGTTCGCTGTCATTGGAGCAGAAGAAGCGCACAACTATCGGTGTCGAACTGTGTGCAAAGCCTAGCCTTCTATTGTTCCTGGACGAGCCAACGAGCGTGAGTGTGACAGGTCAGCATAGTCGTGGCAGATACTAACCGGGTCACAGGGCCTTGATTCGCAAGGCGCCATGAATATTATCAGGCTTCTGAGGCGACTCGCAAATGCTGGTCAAGCCATTGTTTGCACCATCCATCAAGCAAACCAAGAGCAATTCGACAACTTCGATCGAGTTTTGGCTCTTGAGAAGGGAGGCAGCGTGTACTACTTCGGTGCGGTGGCAAACGTCATCCCTTACTTTTCTAGGCACGGTGTCGATGTCCCAGCGGAGAAGAACGTGGCAGATCTCTTAATCGAGGTTGCTGCACGCAAATCACCGGCCGAGACCCTTCCCAGTTGGTCAAGCTTATGGGCTGACTCACCCGAGGCCTGTCGAGTCAACGAGAAGGTCGAGAAGATAATGAGTCTGAAACCTCAATCCTCAAGTGGCCGGGCGGCACCTGGCAAATCCTCCATCGAACAAGAATACGCCTCGTCAACTGTGACGCAGATTTCTCTGTTGACCACGAGAACTTTCAAGCAATACTGGCGCGCGCCTAATTACATCTACTCCCGACTTTACGCTTCCGTCATCCATGCCGCTCTTAATGGCCTGATCTTCTTACAAGTCAACAACGCAGTTGCGGGGATGCAATATCGCATTTTCTCGTGCTTCCTGGTGCTGATGCTTGTGCCCGAATTCATCAACGCGTGCGCCTTGATGTTCGACGAGAACAGAAACGTCTTTCTTGGACGCGAATACCCGAGCAGAATCTACGGCTGGGTTGCCTTCTCCACAGCAAACATCCTTGCCGAAATTCCTTACGCACTGATTGGAGCAGTCATATTTTACTTGCTCTTCTACCTCCCCGTCGGTTTACCATTGGGCGTCCCTGCAGTATACACATTCATGATGATTGTTATGTTCCACCTCTTCATCACGAGCTGGGGCCAATGGATCGCTGCCTTGAGCAGTGATGCTTCAATGGCGGCAAGCGTCATGCCCTTCTTCGTCATCGTCTGTGAGCTCTTCAACGGCGTTCTGCAGCCTCGGGGGCTCATGCCGGCCGTTTGGCGATACACAACTTACTACCTCGGACCATTCACATACTGGATTTCAGGAATTGTCACGATGATCTTGCCACAACTGGCAGTGCGGTGCGCTGAATCTGAGCTGGTTCGGTTCACCCCGCCCTTGAATACAACCTGCGGCGACTATGCTGAGGCATGGTTGGAGGGAGCGAACGGTTATCTAGCAAACCCAGATGCTACATTTGAGTGTGGATACTGTCTGTACGCCTCGGGAGAAGAAGTAAGTGAAATACAATCCTTGAGCAACAGCGATGTACTAACCATACTAGTATCTTTCGAACCTTGAGCTCAACAGCTCCGTAGCCTGGCCTTACTTCGGGATATTTGCCCTATTCGTTGTGACTAATTATCTTTTGGTCTACCTCTGGGTTTACATCAAGTCTGTCAGGAATTGGCTACCGTGGTGAGCTGGCTCGGAGACCATCGGGAACCTCTTATCCAGAACATAAAGTCCAGCAGTAGGTACAGTATAACACATATACTTGGCGTGAATCTCACAAAATAAAAGTATCTTATCTTTTGAGTAAGAATGAGAAAGACTAATTACTATTTTGTTTCCTCGACATCTAATTTGTGGACATTTTAGCCTTCATTGCTACCGCCCGTATCACCACCCGTGCCGCCGCCGCCGCATACAACTTAGGTTTCAAAATGTTTCCAAAGCCGCCAGACCCGACGTCAAGTAGAAGGAGGACATCTTACCACTCAGCAAGGTCTAAACTATGAAATTAAATCTATCCCCCTAGGATTAATAATTAAGCTAAAAAGGATGTTTTATTTATTATTACTAAATATAAAGAATATATCTACTAACTACTCCAAGTTATTCTTATATTCTTAATATTTTTATAGGAGATAATAAAAAAATCTAGCTTTATAACAATTATATCAACTTATTTTAACTAAGTTATATTTATAAAAGGAGGCATATTGGATCCAGCTTCGGATCGGGCAAGGAGCATACCGATCACCAGCTCAGGACAAGGAAACTCTATGTAACCGATGTACTAGTGCAGTCGTTTCAGTGTTCACCCTCATAGTACTTTACTGCTCATAGCACTTTACTGAGACCCGGCCCAACCTTGACGACCCTGCTCGCCACCAACGCCAGCGTCGATGCAGCCATCAATGCCCCACACCAACACACCAGCCCCACCCAGTCTCGGCCTCTACCCACTATTGCCCCCGCGATCGGGTTGCTGACCAGCACGCCGACGCCCACCGTAGCAAGCGTCATCCCCAGCCTGGTCCCGATCTTGCTCTTGTCCGCAGAGAGGCTGACGACGCCCGCGGCGGGGAGGCCCATGAAGGTCCCCGCGCAGACGCCGATCAGGACGCAGTAAACAACAAGACCGGGCGCGGTACGGATGGCCAAGAGACAGAAAGTCAGGACGGCGCTGAGAAAAGCCGCCATGGTCTGCACGTTGATGGAGCCGATCTTGTCCGCGTAGTACCCCGGCACCGTCCGGCCGAGGATCGAACACCCGTTGATGACGACGAGGAGGTACCTCGAGAGGCCCGGCGAGACGTCGGTGCGGTCGAGGGCGAAGAGCTGGATGTAGTAGAGGACGATGTACAGCCCCATGAAACCGAGGGCGAGGCCCAGGTTGAGCAGGAGGTAGGGGGCATCCGTGAGCGCGGCGCGGTCGACTATGCTCCACGCTGCTGCCGACGGCGGGGCCCTCGAGCGCATGCACGCGGTTGCGACGGTGTTGGTCCCCAGGATGATGAAGCCGATGACACGGACGGCCCAGCCGAAGCCGATGCGGGGCTGTAGCTGCTCGAAGACGATCGGATAGATGACGCCGCCTGTGGGATGTCAAGCGTCAGCCATGTTGTCTCGCAGTCGCTTGCCCGCCACCAGAGGCATGGCAAGGGGTCGGAGCACCACGGACCGAGAGCAGCACCAAGGGATGAGACGCCCATGGCCAGCGCCGTGCGCCGGTGGAAATACTGGGAGACGACCGCCGGCGCGGGCAGGTACAGGCAGCCGAAGCCGAGCCCCATCATCACGGCCTGGGCCAGGAAGACGTGCCAGTACTCGGTGGCGATGCTGGTGAGCATCATGCCCAGGACCACGAGCACCAGGCCCACGCCGAGCAGGGAGCCGAGGTGGCCCGCGTCGAATACCGGGCCGGCGATGACGGAGACGAGAAACAGCAGGAAGGCCTGGGTTGAGCCGATCCACGCGATGGTGGACGACGAGTAGGAGCTGAGGAGGTCGAGCTGGTAGAATGTCTGGAAGGCTCCGTATGCGTTCATCAAGCCCCTGAGATGACGGGTGCGAGTTGTCGTTAGCGGCGTTGGAACGGTGCAGGCGGGAGGGATTATGGTGTTTGATCTTACCATGTGTTGAGATTGAGTGCAAAGGCACCCACGACTTGCAGCCACGCAAAGAAACCTTCTTCCGGAGGAGCAACATCTTGACTCCCAGGGTCGGACCGGGCGGCAGTTGGGCCGCCTTTCTCCGTGATGACATTGCCGCTCTGGCCAGAATCAGTGAGATTGGTATCAGTCCCGCCTTCATGGGCTGCTTTTGACAATTCTATGCTCATTTTCCTGCATTTCTTGTCCATATACCGTCATCCCTGTTTGAAACATGCGATGTGAAGCGCGTGTGTGTGTGCGTCGAAAGGTACCTGCAGAAATCCAGTCAAAGAATGGGGGATGAAGAACGGCAGCCGAGGAGATAGTCTTAGCAATAAATAAGCACTCTATCCACGCTCGTGCTACAACATGGTGTAGGCAAACAGCAAATGCAGACCCCCAACGCAGTGCTTTGGAAATGAAATGGACTCAGGCCCGGCCCGAGAAAGGAACATGTTGGGGCTTATCGTCGCATTTAATCCATATCCTGGTACCAACAACACTTGGACTGCAACTAGAGTCTTGGAACCAACATCTCCCATGTCTCGAGTTCCCAAAGTGCATGGCAGGGTGCCCAAATCCAGAGGCTAAGGGTTAGGATGACGGATGTTGGATCAAGCTTGCACCAACCGCGACCTTTGAGCACCTGCATTTTCCTATTTGGGAAAGGCAGTCGGCCGTTGGTTACGGTGTAAAGGCAGCCGACGTGTTGACATCCATGGAGACGACCTGATACCAACATGCATCGGAAAACCCCGCACGAATGGCTTGAACAATATTGAAGACCACCATGACAGCTTCGCTTGACCCACTGACAGTATTGGGAGGCTGATTGACCACCATCCGCCCTCTACTAGTAGTTACTCATAGCAATGACCGACCAAGCTATTGCCCTCATTCAACAACTGAGTTCTCTGGGGGAGAAACTGTCTTCGGGTGGCGATGGAGATCAAAGCGTGCGGAATGAAGCAATCTTTTTGAGTCGAAGAATCGCCACGAGCCTTGAGCAGCCACAGAACGTCGCCGTTGACCTGGCATTTTCTGTAATTATATCCAATCTCTCTGTTTCTTTCCTCTCTCTCCACTACGCACAAACATAGGAGAGTCGTACTAACCTCACATAGCCCTTCTTGGCCGTGGCTGCAAGAGTGGCCGACGGCTTAGACCTCTTCAAGCACATCGCAAACAGCAAGGGACCGATGACCTCCGGGGACCTGGCGTCTGCTTCTGGAGGCGAGGAACTACTGATCAGTGCGGCCGCCAAGCTGGATGTGGAGCCAAAAAAAACCGATTTTACTAACAGCATCGCAGGTCGGGTGCTGAGGCCCCTCGCAACGATCGGCTTCGTCGACGAAGTAGGCGAACGGACGTGGCAAGCCACGCCCATCACAAGGGCAATGGCAACGGAGGAAGTCGCCTCCGGGCATCGGATGGTGTAAGCCACACTCCCAATCCTAAGCTCAGAGGTCACCCTAATAATGCCGGGAGGCCAGTGGCGAGATGATCGTCGGCGCCGCGCAGAAGGCCCCGGATTACTTCCGCGAGGGCGGGTACCGCTGCCCCACCGAGCCGCGCGACGGCCTGATGCAGTACGCCTTCCGGACGAAGCTGCCGACGTTCGAGCTGTTCAGGTCGGTCCCCAGGGTCTTTGGGGACTTCAACACGTTCATGGGGAACACTATGGGGGCGCGGCGGTACTGGGTGGACTGGTTCCCCGTGCAGGGGCGCCTGGCCGACGGTGCCAGGCCTGATGCCGCTCTCGTCGTGGATGTTGGCGGTGGCAGGGGCCACGACCTGCTCGCGTTCAATGCCAGGTATCCGGGGCGGGGGCGTCTGGTGCTGCAGGACCTGTCGTCCGTGACGGGTGGTCTTGGGGATGTCGACCCGGCTGTTGAGGTCATGCCGTACGACTTTTTCACCGAACAGCCTGTCAAAGGTGATGGCCCCGGGCCTTGTTTTCCGGCTCCATCTTGCATCCCCCCTTAAAGCATGACTGCTGACTCCCGACAGGTGCACGCGCATACTTCTTCCATCACATCCTCCACGACTGGTCGGATCAGTACTGTCTGAAGATACTCGAGCAGGCCAGGAAGTCCATGACACCAGGGTACTCCAAGCTCCTCATCCACGACCTCATCGTGCCGGAGAGGGGGGCTGACAAGTTCACCGCGGTGTTTGACCTGGTCATGATGGCGTTCAACGCGGGCATAGAGAGGACGGAGAGCCAGTGGAGGCAGCTGCTGGGGAAGGCGGGGCTCGATGTCGTCGGGGTATGGCCTCCGCCGGAGGCTGGTGCGGATGGCATCATTGAAGCCATGCTGAGTGAGTGAGTGATTGATGCCGTGGGGAAATATCTAGGGAGTTTACGAACGCAACCGAAACACCAGGGTAGCCAATGAGGCTTTTCTGGATTATTCGTCCTACGTCTCAGTTGCATCGTGACACGGGGCTCAGCAATGCCGTGCAGCCGCAGAAGCTGGCTCTTGCTACGACTTTGGCCAGCTGAATGTGACTTGTGGCTGTGCAGAAACTCCGCACCGATTTCTGTGTTCAAGAATCGGGCATTACCATGTCAATGGTTGGGAGAAAGTGTCTCTTGAAGACCATAGCTATGAGCAACGGAGGTTGGAAGTGGCTGCAAGCGGCTGAGAGGGATCAACCATTCTATATCACATTGAGCATGGGAGTATGGAAAGTTAGATATAGTTTTCGATTTCACTAGTAAATAGCATTGATCTCTCCCACCGTTACACTAGCCAATCTCACAGAGTCTTCTTTTTTGACGGCTGTACAATCTTTCTCCCGTGGGTACTTCCCGCATCAGTATTTGCCCTCTGAACCTTCTCCGGTTGCGTATTTCCGCTACGAGGTGCCACCTGCACATTCCCCGACTGAGTTTTCGCCGACTGGGTGTTTCCTGTCTGAGTATTTCCCCTCTGAATGCTTCCGCTGTGAGTATTTCCCGTTTTAGTATTATCCTCGTGGAACTCAAGAAGCATATCAATACAGAAGGCGCCGGCCTTTTCGAGTTCCTCATCGAGACTTTTGCGATCCTTCTTTTTTTGCGGGTCCGTCATCAGATTCCGGATCTTGGTCGAACTGGTCTCAAGCTTGCCCGTCCTGTCCGGATCCGTGAGGAGCCTGACCTCACAGTCACCCGCGCCCTCGATTGTGCTCCTCCACACCACGCCCTCGCGACCAGCGGCGTGGATGCGGCCGATACATGACCACGGCTTCCACCCCCCCTTGAGGTTCCGCGGTCTCCCATCCTGCTGCCACGCCTCCTTGTCCATCCGCCGCGTGGCCTCGGTGAAGATGATCTTCCTGCAGTTGGGGTACGTGGGGTAGAGGATGGGCCTGTCGAAGACCAGGTGGTCGGGCCCCTTCAGGCTCAGGAACTCGATGGCGTACCCCTCAGCCAGGGCGAGATTCTTCACGACCTCCAGGTACCCCTTGAACGGGTCGAGGCCGGGGAACGTCCACACCTTGGTGTGGCTCGCGAGCCCCGTCAGGCTAGCCAGGCCGCCCCTGAGCAGGTCCTCGCGCTGCCTCTGGTCCAGCATGACCTGGGTCGCCGGCTCCCCCTTTGCCCTCCTGGTGGCCTCCTTGGCGCGGAGCTCGTTGTCGCCCGTCGGGGCGACGATGGTCGCGACGATGTTGAGGCCTGGGCCGCTGTTTTTGAATCCGTCCAGCAGCGTGTCGATGTGTCCTCTGTGAGGCGGGTTGAACGCGCCGGGGTAGATGATTATGTGGTTGGCTCGGTCTGGGCGGAGGAGAAATTTATGGTCGGGGTCCGACAGCACGTTGTCGAGAGGTCCGCTTTTCGCGTTCTTCCAGGCTTTGATGACACTGCGTCCATTTTGGGTCTCCTTGTCGACCAGGAGGAGCCCGAGGTTGTCTTGTGTCTTCAGCTTGGCCTGGGTGAGGAAGTACTGCAGGTATCTCGGTTCGGCCACCATGACTGCCTTGGTTAGAGATTATTTTGCAAATTGTTGTTGCTTCCGCTTTGCGCTTAATAAAATATCTGAAGTTGTTGGAAAGTGTCTTGCTTCGAGGGGCTAAGACGTCCACTTGTCCGTCGTACGCTGCGGGTGAGCCGGGTCGCTGGTCACCTTTGTACTATTTAGGGTGACAGGCTGTGCCATAGACTCTGAAAGGATGGTTGGGAGTTGGCATGGCCTGAAGCACACGGGTCAGCTTAGTGGTCGGCCTCAAGTATTGTTGGGTGACTTGGAACACCAACAGCATGTGTGAAGATGGGCCGGGTCGCAGGCCTGAGACAGCCCTCCAGAGCGGACGACCACAAAGAACGACCACCAACCGAACAATGAATGAGCAGCTGCATTGTTGGATTTTGAATGAGACTACAATCAATTATGGGCGGCTTGTGTAGAAAAAGGGTGCTCTGAGATTTTGACAACCGACAGGACTCGTGTCATGAGTCGGGTGCAGAGACCGCAGAGCATGTGCAGCTAAAGAATGACAATGTAAGACTCACTAATAAAGACGGCCACGTGGGTGTGGAAGTGGATTTACACAGCCTGCTGACAGAGCCGCACTAAGAGACCTGTGCCACATGCCGCCACCCTGTTGCTCACTCGGCGGCCTACGCTAAGAACGCTATGTATAATTGGATTAGGCATTTTTTTGTCCCTCAAAAAAAAAAAAAGAAAGAAAGAAAGAAGAGATAGGTCTTTATACAGGACATACAGAACACCTGTGCGGTGCCTGAACACTGCGCATTGCTAGTTCTTAGTCTATAATTCAAAGACGATTATAGAGGTTCCGACAAACAAGACGCCCCAAATCCCCGTCCGCAGCGGCAGCCGATGCAAGCCGAGAGGAACATGCCGGATTGACGAGTGGCGATGTACGAGGGTAATGATTCCGGGGAAGCCGACCACTTAATGAATCGTTTTACGAAGATGGCGAGTCGGGTTACATAACTGGGTAATTTCGAGGACTTTTTGCACGGACTGCCAGTGGGTGAGGATGAAGAGTTGAGCGAAGAACCGTTCGATCTGGAAGCATTTAAACTAATAAACTCAACGGCCCATTTAGAGATGTGCGTCCAAGCGTAGGCGGTTGTGGGGAGTCTGCTACCTTTTATGAGATTTTCAGCATGACTTGAAAATGCGAAGCACATGGCATGCCCTGCAAGACATATCCCTCCGGACAGGTTGGAACCTTGAACAGACTCGAGACTGCTAGTGTCGGCCGAGCGCGGACTGTTCTCACTCGTAGGGTTCTTTGATTCCCCTTGGAGCATGATATTTCGAGATATATACTTGTTGATAGCAGTGAGCGTGTGGTGTGTGCAAGGCCATGGTCTGGGAGGCGGTGATGCGGGTCTAAAGGTGGAGGGAGAGTCGTCGGTGATGATGGCCAACGGCCCCTGGGTCCGTGGGACTTGTCCCGGGTTGATGATGAGCCAGCCTGGTGGCGACATCTCTCAGTTTTACTCTTTCTTCGCCAAACCTCAATATTAGTAGTAGTGGTACACAGGAATCAATCACATACATTGCCATCACCAACACAGCCCCATCTACAGCTCTTCGTGTCTACAGATATTTCTCGCCCGTTTAACTTGAACGTCACGCCGGCGATTGGAAGGTCCCATAGCAATATCTCAACAAGACGAGGACGACCGCGCTGGGCGCAAGTCACGCTCCTGCATAGTTACTGCAGGACCCCATTTGATCCCACCCTGGGCCAGAACACGCAAGAACCTGCCCAGGTTGACGTAAGCAAGGATTGAAACCGCCAGAGCAAGCCTCGATGGAAGAATAAATGTCCGTACTTTTATCCACACACCCACACGTGCATTCAACCATACCTCACACTCCCACCACCCTCCCGGAACCAATCATCCTCAGCCAGGCTCTCCTCGGGCGACGCATAGTTGACAATAGTACTCCTCATAGCCGTGTACGCCCGATACGCATCAACCCCGTTCTCGCTCCCCACCCCGCTGGCACTCGTGATCCCGCCCCACGGACTACTAGGATCATTCCGGTGGTGCGTGTTAACCCACACGATCCCCGCCTCGATCATCCCGGCGACCCGGTGCGCCCGCGACAGGTCCCGCGTCCACACGGCCGCGCCCAGCCCGAACTCGCTGTCGTTGGCGAGGGACACGGCCTCGGCCTCGGTGTCGAAGCCGGCCACCACCACGACGGGGCCGAACGCCTCCTCGCGCCAGATGCGGGCCCGCAGGATGCTCTTGGGGTCGGAGGTAGAGGTAGAGGTCAGGACGGTGGGCGGGTAGAAGTACCCCCGAGACAAGTCCGTCCCGTCCAGCCCGCTCGCCCCCGCCATCCGCGCCCCGCCGACGACGGCCCTCGCGTGCCCACCGCCCACAGCCTCGTCGACGAGCGCCTCGACGTTGTCCAGCTGCCGCCTCGAGATCAACGGCCCCATCGTCGAGGCCGGGTTCGCGGGCGACCCCATCCCGCGGGCGATAGACTCGGCCTTGGCAGCAAGTTTCTCAAGCACCTCATCCAGCACGGAATTCTCGACGATGATCCTCGTAGCAGCGACGCACGTCTGCCCGCTGGCCACGAACGCGCCGAACGCGGCCCCGTTGACCGCAGCATCCACGTGCGCCTCCCTGAATATCACAAGGGGCGCCTTCCCGCCCAGCTCGGCCGTGAACCGCGCCAGGTTCCCCCCCGCGAGCGCGCCGATCGCGCGCCCCGCGGCCGTCCCGCCCGTGACGTCGACCTTGCGCACGAGCGGGTGCGCGGCCAGCGCCGCGCCCGTGGAGGCGCCGTACCCGGGCAGCACGCTGAACACACCCTCCGGCACGCCGGCGCCGGCCAGGATCTCGCCCAGCCGGAGGGTCGTGAGCGGGGTGAGCTCGCTGGGCTTGACGACGACGGAGTTGCCGGCCGCCAGGGCGGGGGCGATCTTCTTCACGGCGATGAGGAGCGGGTGGTTGAAGGGGGTGATCTGCACGACTACGCCGAGGGGGACGCGGTCGACCCAGTTGTGGAGCTGGCCTTGGGTCGGGAGGACGGGGCGCTCTTCTGTGCGCAGGAGGGACGCGAAGTACCTGAACCAGCGGACGAGGGAGGGCACCTGGGCGTTCATCTCGCGGGCTGCGCGCCCCGTCTGGCGGACCTCGAGGGCGATCAGGTCTGGCAGGGAGGCTGTTAGGAGGGACGCTGCCTTGTCGAGGACGTCGGCGCGGTGGTGGCGCGGGGCGCGGGACCAGGCGCCTGATTTGAAGGCTGCGTGGGCCTGTTGGACTGTGGCTTCGACATCCTCGGCGGTGGCGGAGTGGCTGTGGGCGAAGACCTGGCCTGTTGCTGGGTCTTCGATTGGGATGCTGGTGATGGTGTGAGTGAGTGTTCTTTTCGATATGATGCTCAGACAGACACAGACAGTCTCACTTACAGCTCACCCCTTCCGGGCTGGTACTTCCCGCCCACCCACAGCTGCGCCGCCGAGTCCGTCCCTGTGCCCTCTTCGGCCATTCTCGTCAATCAGCCCAGCCGTGTTATGTGTTGGTGTGTCTCAACTCGGCTCGGCTCGTCCTGCCCTTCTGTCCTGTGAGTGAGCGAGTGAGTGAGTGAGTGAGAGTGTTGTAAGTGAGACCAACTGACCGAACAAAACACGGACCCCTCCTCAGCCAGCCCCTTGCCGACTCGATTAGCTCGGGCCTTATCTCCAGCGCCCGACCCGGCAGCTGCCGCCCGAGGGAGCGCGCCGGGTTCCGGCCGCAGGGGAATGGAATCCACACATCTGTTTCGGGCGGGATGTGAGGCATGTACTTCGAGACGGGACATGTTCATCTCCCGCTGCCCTTGCCGAAACAACTTGCAAAAAATACGTAGGTACGATACAGTGTGCAAAAGTCATAGCATTCATTCCATTACAACCACCACTAATACCAAGGGTGCTGCGGAAAGGTAAGCGTAGCCCGCAGCGGCGCCTCGCTAATGTTGCGCATCACCGTCTCCTCCAGCTCGCCCACCTCCTCCGCCACCCGCCTGCCCAGCGCCTCCTCCGCCTCCGCCGCCTGCTGTCCCATCTCCCTGCGCAGCGTCTCCAGTATCCGCGCCTCGGCCTGCCCGACGAGTTCCACCATCTCTTTCCTGTGCGCCGCGAGTGCGTCGCCGAGCCGCTGCTCGAGGGCCGACAGCCGCGACTCGAGCAGGCTGTCCATGTCTGCTGCGGGTGCTGGTTGTTTCTGTTCACGAGATGTCTCGGGGGTGCTACCTCGCCGAAGCCGCTTCTTGCCCTTGTCGGGGGAGGGGTGGTATACTGGGGCAGAGCCTGACTCCTCGTATTCCGGAGGGTCGTCGTGCTGCACTTCGTGACCGTGTCCAGTGGTACCGCTCTCGCCACCACCCAGGCTATCCCCCTCGACGATCTTGCCCCCCTGCCCCTGGTAGAGCGTCGCCGCGCCCGCCAACGCAGCGATGCTACCCGCCAGCGGCTCGGAGACGGCCTCGCACAGTTTCCGTAATCGCGCGGCGGACAGGCTGCGAGGCGGGACGGCGGCGTACACCGTCCACGCCGTCTGTCTGGCCAGGTCGAACAGCGCCGTAATGATATCTCCCGACGCTTTGTTCCTCGGCTCAAACTCCCCCGTGGGCGGCACCACGAGTACCGGCGGCCTGGACAACGTGAACGCAAGCGCGACCGTGTCGTGACCCAGCATCTTGTCGGCGGGCGAGGCGTCGAGGGTCAGCTGGGTGATGCGCTCCGGGTAGATGTGCAGGTAGACGCTGGTCCTGCCGTCGCGGCGGCGGCCGGGGGCGTGCTTGAGCTGGACCGAGGCGCGCAGCTCGAGGAAGGCCTTGTTGGAGGGGGGGACCCAGTGCAGGTCGAACAGCAGCCCGGGCAGGGTCTGACCTTTGCCCCATGACGCAAGAGCCGAGATCTTGGTCAGGTCGATCTTCTTGGGCCATGTTGGTTCGATGTGTCCAAGGGACGGCGCGCCTGAGCTGCTGCTCTTGGGAGATGGAGAAGGGCTTGGGGAGTTGCGGGGATTGGTAGGTGTAGTTGCAATGCTTTCGGCTTCCGTTGGCGGTCGGTCGGGGCTCGCGTGGCCTAGATCTTGCGCGAGCTCGTTCTCATCTTCAACATCGGGCTCTTGGCTCGGCCTGGGCGTGTTCGGGTTCGTCGTGGTGCCAGAGCTTACTGATCGAGGCGGTGGCGAGGAGGCGGGTTCGGCGGGAGACGAGCATCCCGTAGGACCACCTACCATCGCGACCGCTGCCTCGCACTATCAACAGTCAGTACAGACAAAGACTCACAACAAACCTGGCCCCGATAAGCCCTTCAAACAGGCACCAACAGGCCCGCGACGCAGCTGGGCAGGACTGGTCGACCTGTTTCGTCAGTGATTGTGACCGACCAAAGCGCGTGACTAATTGATTGATTGATTAACAAAGATCCAGGCGCCGGCCGATCTCATCCCCGCAACGCCCAGCCTAGCCACGACACACGCGATATGGCGAGCTCCAGTGCTGCAGGAGGCACCAGCACCCAGGGTCTTCCGCCGTCTCCCGTTGGGGTGGGTGGCGGCGGGTAGAAGCCTGTCAAAAGTCGGTGCTGGCCGCGGGACACTGGTCGCCGGGAGTGTCGTGGGCCGTAGGCAGGCGGTTGCACGGTTACCTGCTGTCGCGACGAGGTGCAACAAGCAGATACCTTGGGATTGCTTCGGGCCGGCGGCGACGGGATCGTGGGTGGTGTTGGATTGATTGATGGGGTGTGGGCTGCGATGGTGGTGTGGTGGTTGGAGGAAGAAGCGGGTTGAGGCGGAGATGGGCGGAGACAAAAGGTGCACGGTGGTTCCCCAGGCAGCATGATTACCTAATACTAAAGCTTGGGCCACCTAGAGCTCTGGGGGCTGGGCATGATGTCTGAACTGAGTGAGATAGCGCCACCTAGGTACCTACGTACCCAGGCACGTACCCCCATCCCCCGAGCTGCGGCCGCTTGACTTGCAACTACATCACATCACTGATCCACAGCCTCAAACAACAAGTCAATAAAGATCAAGATGTTGGACGGAACGCATTGCCGGGGGGGGGGGCCAAGCCTGTTCCTGCGGGTATCACCCAATGCATGTAATGGGTGGATTGTCCTAGCCCGCAGGCCCGAATGAGACACCACTTCTATTGCCCACGTGCAGTCACGAAACCATTTGCTTCCCCTTCCAGCTGTTCCCACAACGCCTACTATGACGATTTCTAAAGATGACTACACGTCTGGGTGCCAAAAACAACCCTGGGGCGATATTTGGCCTCTTCTCTTGTTGGTATTTAAGTTCACCTTAGTGAGACGGCAAGGAAGCGAAGCAGAGCCAATTAATAACATTGTGTCCCGCAAGCGTTTCAGTCCACCAGCCTGTCAGAGGCACGTATACAACAGTAATTGTCTAGGCGATATCAGATGTTGGCTGCAGCATCTGAAGTTTACCCTCTTCACTTCCCTCTGATTCGAGATCGCCACCCGCCTCCCGGAGCAGCGCAACGGCACGTGCCCCATGGGTAGTATCCCTATCCGTCAACGCCCACGATAGCGGTGTCCGCCCAGCCTTGTCCTTTAACTTGGGATTGGCACCTTTCTCTAGTAACACCCTCATCACCTCTAGCCCCTCACATGAGTTTTCAGCAGCCCATGACAACGGCGTCCGACCGTCATTATCCTTCGAATCAACGTAGGCACCTTTCTCAAGCAACATCCTCACCACCTCTGCCCTACGCCATGAGCATTGAGCAGCCCATGACAACGGCGTCCGACCGTCATTATCCTTCGAATCAACGTAGGCACCTTTCTCAAGCAATGATTCCGCCAATCTGCTTGTACCGTGTATAGCAGCCCATGACAGAGGTGTTCTTCCCCCTGTGTCTCTCGACTCGACGTCGGCATTTCTATTGACCAGTATTTCTACAACTCTGACGCCATGCTCGTAGTTTGCCGTGGCCCAGGATAGTGCGGAACGACCATCGTTGTCTCGCTTGTCGATTTCGGCACCTGCCCCAAGCAGCAACTCAATTATTTCTGACCTCGCACCCCCCCACATTGCCGCCAACATTAGTGGCGTCTGTCCGTTGTGATCTTCCAAATCAATTTTTGCACGTCCTTCCTTGACCAGGAACTCGACTACAGCAGCTTTGCCTTCGGCGGCCGCGAATGTGAGGAGTGTCATGCCGTCTGGACCTGATGTTGAGTCAACGTCAAGGCCTTTTTCAACTAGTTGCTCGAGAACAGCCACATGTTCCCGAAGTATAGCATCCTCCAACAGAGGACTATAGATGCCAGACCTCGAATCGATAGTAGCACCATTTTCGAGTAGCAATCTGACGATAGCCGCATGTCCATTTCGAATAGCAACCCTAATCGGTGTCTCCCCTAAAAGATTCTTCAAATTGATATCAGCACCATTTTCGAGTAGCATTTGGACGATAGCCGCATGTCCATTTCGAATAGCAACCCAAAGCAGTGTCTCGCCTGAAAGATTCTTCAAATCGACCTCAGCACATTGATCGAGCAATAGTTTAACAATACCCTTGTGCCCTCCTTCGATTGCATTTGGCAACAGACGATCTAACAGGCCGCTCTTCTGGGCAACATAGTTACGCCTCTCAAACAGAGCTCTGAAGATGGTCTCATGGCCCCGATCGATAGCAAGCGATAACAACTTCGAATCTACAGCATCGCTCCAATTCAAAGCCTTATCGTGCCTGTGGGGGCTGAGGACAAAAGCAAGTGCTACAGACTCCTCATCGTTTTCGATAAGATCGTGCAAGACTTGCTCAGCTGTGCGTCGTTTTAAAGTGTAGCTCCGGCGGAATCTAGTGGTATCAAGGTTGCGATGTTCTTCGTACTGTTCACAGAGCTTTTGAAGCGGAGAATCCGGTGGCTCGTTCTCGGCCTGGGCTCTCAGAAACTCTCGGACCGCTTCATGGCTATGGGCAGCCAACGCGGCAAGGATCGGTGCACCGCAACGCTCAGCTTCAATCTGGAAGCAGAGCGTCCTCCGGGTATGGCTGCGTATGAGGTCGCCAAGGTCTTTTTCCCCGAATACATAGAGCAGACTGACGGAATCGGTAAATCGCCGGACTTCATACTGTTCGAGAATGTTGTTCAGATAAATCCACCGTTTCAGGGGAAAATCGGAGATAAATTGTCCCTGCCCGATTCCATTCCGTTCAGCAAGGTTGGAGTGATGGAGAACGTTGTCAACAGAGTATTTCAGAAACGGGATCTTCGAGGCAATAGTCTTGCGCAGCCTCTCTGTCTGTGAAGCTGTTGGTAGAGGATTTGGTATATCGAGCTGTTGGTCGATCGAAGCATTCAGCTGAGCAAGACAGCAGTCCCTCAAAAGACGGTGCCCGTGGCCTTCAAGATTCTCCAAAGCCCCTGACCACTGGGTCCGGTATTTACCAAGCAAAAAGTCTCTCACGGACTCGTGGATGAACTGGACTTCGGAGGCCTTATTCCGCGTCACTTCAGCCAGGCCTTTAGAGCAACTTCTCACATAAGTCTTCATGTCTTCCAGGTCAAAATCAGTCTCGTCCCAAAAGCCCGAGCATTCTGGGTCAAACCCAATCTGGACGGCAAAGTAGAGCTCTTGCGGTTTAAGAGCACTGCGTGCGAAGAGAATCCAGTTGAGACAAAGCTGCAGCTGATCGAGGTCCTCCCCGTCTCGAGTCAGTATCATGCGGAATAAGTCGTCCAGTCCCGGCGGAATTCCGTGCAGATGATCGCGTAGCTTATGGATCGACATGGACTTTTCATTGTTGAGGATGTCAAGAACCAAAACAACCCAGAGAAAAATCCCCCTAGACTTTTCCTGGATTTCGGTGCGGAGTGCCTCGGTATTCTTAGACTTCGATTTTATTCTCAGTCTCGACTTGACGAATTTGCGGATATCTTCGGTATGTCCGTACTCGTCCTCCAAACAGACTTCGAGGCCTTTGTTGATGACGACGGTTGGGTAATATCGACTTGAAAAGCAGATCTGCAATTGGACCCTCGCTTCTTCCGCGCAGTCGCACAGCTCTTCGAAAAATGAGACCATGTCACCGGCCTTGTTTGCGTCGCACTCGTCGAGTGCATCGACGAAAATCGTCAAAGAACGGCTCCCAAGCTTAGGCACGGCATGCTTCAACGTTTGTTTCAGCGCTTCCTCAGACCACCCGCTCCGTTGAATCGTCCTGGCACCATCAAGTGTCATCCACTCCAGACCAGCTTTGAGGTCCGGGGCGATCTCAAAGAGCTGGTGGAGAAGTGATCGATAGAGACCCGTCGTGGTCTTCTCCTCGACCGCACCTCGAGCCAGAAAGAAGAACGATAACGTAATTCGCGACGAATCGCCCTGTGAGTCGATTTTGGTCTGTTCGAAGAGGAGTTTCATCAGGGTCGACTTCCCAGTTCCTGGATTTCCTTTAACCCAAAGGAAGCCACCGTGCTCTGACATCCGTGCCACATCTTTCCAAGATTGGTACTTTGACTCGGTCAGGAACCAACGACAGGTATTTGCTTGGGCAGGGGCCAAGTGTGTGAGGCGCTCGTCAATCTTGGAGAAGTAGAGTTGACGTATGAGCTCCTCTTTCACGCTTTTCATCTCGTTCTCTAACACTGGATCGCGCGAAGAAGGGTCATCGCCAGCTTGTGATTGGACGTGTTCCGGTAGATGGTTGTCCAGCCGAGCCCGCTTCCCAACCACAGGGCAGAGGGCCTCGTCAGCGGGTCCTGTTCCTGGATCGTAGACTTGCGTTTCTCCAGTCAATTTTCTTTTCTGACCCGCGACCAAGTTTTGCGGTTGTGATTCTCGTATGATTTGACGAGATTGAAAGCCCCGCTCATGAATCCCATCGCTAAAAGAAACGCTTTGAATGTGCTTGAGGACATAAGCAACTCTGTCGTACTCAGCATCTTGGGACGCAAATTTGACCAGATCTGAGTGATTCCGACGAAGAGGTACGGCGTGGTCTGAAGAAGCATCATCAGGCAGACAGCTGGTTGCCGAAGAATGGCTGACGAGCAGCCGAGGCGGACCGGCCATCCTCCATCGTCCTGTTGCTGGATCCTGCAACCAATTTAGCACCACACAGAATCTCGGTGAAGACGGTATTTCCACTTACCTCAGCGGCCGTAGGTGACAGCTCAGTCTCGTATAAGCAATACACATGGATCTTTGTCAACTCTAGGACCTTCGAGAACTCCTGCTTCTGTCGCCTAAGCACTTGAGAGCTCTTCGAACTGAGTGATTCGAGAAGGAACCGATTTGGCTGGTCGTTCACCATAGGAACCAGTGATTCGATATCCAATCCATCATTAGGGGCCCCGAAGAGGAGGATTCCCTGGATCATGTCAAGGCGTCCGCCATCTTTGGAGCCCGACTCGGCAATTTGAATCAATGCCTGTTTTACCAGCAAGCCGCCGAGGCTGTGGCCAATCAGGAGTAAGGGTTTTCTGTCGTAACTTGGAGATATTTGTCCGATCGCCATCCGGAGCAGGCGAGCTAGATCATCAAGTTGGACATGACTTGTACTATGCTGCAGCCCGCTCTCGTAACCAAAGATCATCACTCTGGCAGCGGGTAAGTCTTCTGGTAGGTTGTCGGCCAACCACATATTCCTATGCTTCTTGTGCACAAATGATCCAAAGGGATGGCTGCCCAGGCCGGAGACCGCGAGGATATCGATTTGATGCTCCTTGTCTGTAGTAGGAGCATGGAGTGTTGTGACGCCATCGAAATGCTCATCAATCAAAACCTGAGACGCTGTACCACACCTCTCTGCCACTCCCGAGCCCTTTGGATCTATCCTAATTTTGATCTCCAACTCATCCCTGGCCCCAAGTGCTTGTAGTTGTGAGGGGAGGTCGTTGAAACGGACGGTGGCGACCTGGTAACTGGCTCGGAGATCGGGTGCGAGTGTATGAATGATGACAAGGTTGTCACCTTTGTCGATATGCTCTACTTCATCGCCGCCCAGCCATTGTAGATCTGAGTGATGTCGAAGGGCTCGAGCTAGCCTGTCTCGGTCGACGTCGCGTGGTAGGCCGCGGATTCTCCAGGTGCGGTGCTTAGGGTGCATCTCGTGAGGGCGAGAAGGACGAGACGCTGCACAACAGACCAAAATGGGATTAGCATCGTCAGAAACGTGATGAATAAAGTTTCTGTAACGTACCTCATGTCAAAAGTGTGGCTGCAAGTCATGGGCGATTTCATGACGAATTTTGGGATGCTCCACGTTGTCGTGTTTCTTCCAAGTCCGAGTTCAAATGTTATCAGGCAGCAGACGCGGGCCCACATGATGATGAGCGGGGCTCATGTCGGCTGAGCATCTCAGCCACTCAGGCTCTCTCCACTGAGGTGCTGTCCGTGGCTGACATGCATATCATGCCCACACAAGGGTCCGGCAACAAAGTGCACATTTAGGTGCCTGCCGAATAGTTCCAGCCGCAGGTGAAGCTGACCTTGGGAAGCCCTCGACATCCATACTAAGCAGCCAATGGCATGAAGTCAGGGTAGGCGTTGTCGCCGAACCAGTAGTGTCACGAGCCCGCTCGTATGTCCACTGCGCCGCCACTGTAACTCTTCCCAACCCCATATGGATAATCGTTGTGTGGTATACTCTCCTATCCCATAGGAAACTCTGTTATTGGATACACGTTGTCGTGTTTGAAGGCGTTGCAAAATTGCATTGTCATTATATGTCAAGTACAAGTCCTAATTTGGTGAAGGGAGATAGACTGGATGCCCTGTGCCTACATGCATTCCTTCTATTCAACCAGGATCATGTAACTCGAAAATAAGGGCAGGTAACCGCAAACCGTGGGACGATGCCACTGAATTGCCTTTAAAAGTGAGCATAGGACCGGAGATTCACCAATCATGATTTTGTGTTCTTTCACCAACAACTCCCGAGGTCCCCTTACAATTTTATGACGTGAGGACCTCCGGAGGTGGATATTAGCCCAAGTCTATGCTTGTTGCAGAGTTCTAGATTTCAAGGGGCAAAAGTACTTTCAATTCCAGTTGTTTCGCCAATAAAATTACGAGAACATACTAGTTGACAGCCAGGTGTAGATGCTGGAAAAGCGCAACTCGACGTCAGGTCGGCGAGGGCTGTGACGGTGACCTCGGGAGGGAGCAATCACATTTGTCTGGAAGTCAAAAGGTCTTGAGAATCAGTCGCCAGCCAGGGCCGCTAATTAGGCCTAGAAATATTGCTGCCTTCAAACATGACGTCGGGTATGGTCTACATGTCAAAAGCTTAGCTCGGAGGACGTTCAAATGTTGCATGAGCCAATGGACGCTATCGAGTCGTTGCTGTGAGGAGCTCTAGAGGGGAGATGGATTCTGCAATCAGCAAGAAGCTAATGAAAGTTGGGGCAGAGTTCCCGAGACACTCAAGACCAAGGCCAACACGGCTGGGCATTGCACGATGGAGCTACTTTGTGACACATATTGGCCTCGGAGCATTCAGAGATGGCTGGCTGCACAGCAACAGCGAGCAGACATTGCGCACAAATCTGGAAAGAAGATGTCGATGCAAATCTGCATTCAGTTTCTCATGACCAATGTGTCACAGCTTCTCACGCACGAGATTTCCATCTGCGCGTACTTGCGCCTCTCCCGTCACCGATTTGGTGGCCACCCCTGGGCTGGACATTGCAGCTAAGGCCGCACAGTTTCGGATGCTACACGGCCGTTTTCACTGACGTATTGCCTCGTCTTCCGTTTTAGAAGGCTTCCTTGCCGTGTCTGTCGGCCACAGCACACAACTGCCTGGGCTTCAGTCCATGTCTGCTGCATTACATCACCCATGACGAGCGAGAATGCTCAACTGAATGTGGAGCCTTCCTTCAGTTTTCAGCTGCTGCCTGTAAAAGATGTGCCATTGCGGAAGAATTGCTCCGGTGACTGATGGCGTTCATGGCAACTGCCCTCAACACATTGCGCCAAACCCCTTTCAGCATCAACCCCCATGGATCGATCCATGAAAGCATCTGATCCAATCATTGATCCATCCCATCATCGAAAGGCAGTCTCCCAAGCTTGTGCTCTCTCTGGAAGAGATGCCACCTTCTTTGTCGCGTTGCATCAGGAAACGCGACGTGAACAACAGGCAGTGATTCAGACCTACAGACACCCATGACAATGGGGATTTTTAAATCTTGTGTTATGCCTATGTTCAATTTGGCCCCAATCGTGGTCTTTGTTGACCCTCTACCAATTGCCCATGGCAGATTGATGGGCTGCCTTGGAGACTTCCTGCCTTCAGATGTCGATGACAACATCGATGTAGTCAGCAGAGGATGTTGACGTGCATAGGCATTACTTCAGGATTGGATCTAGCAGCAGGTCTTGCCATCGCTTGAGTAGAAACGCGTCATTGTTGTTGAGTCCCATGGCAGGTGACGGTGGTTTAGGGAAGGTGGTTGCGGCTCCGTTGGACAACCATGCAAGCACAGACCGTTCACAGCCTTCTCTCCGTTTTGTGACGGAGAACTAAATCCTCCCATGCAGCCTCTCGCGAGAAGTTTAGCGGAATAAAAAGACTTCCTATGAGATGATCAACCTACATAGAGTCTTCGCAGCAAATTGTCTACCTCATACTAGAAGTGCGCGACTCTATTCTCGTCTGTGAAGTTTGTGTTTGCCGTTCTTCACCGTTTCTGGACATGATCAGTTTCCTGGAGCTCCTTCCAGCTTCTGCCATGACATCGACCCAGCGCAGAAACCTGAGGAAGGCACCCCAGGGAAGGCACAGAGAGGCAGGTGGCCCGAGCTCTGGCCCCCCGTCCCATGCCCTCTGCCTTGTTGTCTCGCGATCGCCCGCGTCTTCTTCCTCTCTTCTCTTCTTTTCTTCTTCAAGAAGCAATTTGCGTTATGGACGCAGATTTCGCGTCGAACTTATTGATTAGGCATCATTCGTTGCCGGCGTTTGCTCTACCTTTTCTCTATTCTTCCGAACATCTTTCCCATACGCACCTGAGAAGGTCTTTCACCAACTTTCTCCGACACGGTCCTCGAGGTACGGATTACTTCGAGTCGCGATGGACGGCCTGGGCAACCTCTGGGTGTGGGTGCTGAATGACCCGCGCGGAGGGTGGCTGTTCGTCCTCGGTATTCTGGTTTACCTCACCGTGTCAACATGGTCTGTGGGGTACGAGTTTGCTTGTGAGTGTTTTCTTCTGTCGTGTTGTTGTCGTCGTCGTCGTCGTCGTCGTCGTGGCCCCAGTCTCCGTCCTGCCCTGTTGGCCCTCGTCTGCCTTTTTCTCCTGCTGCTGCTGCTCTTTTCTTCTTCCCTTTCCTGCTTGGCGTATCTACCACAAGCGAACGCCGAATCGACCAGCAGCCCTTTGCCAGAAGTTCTTCTCCGACACTTCTTCTCGAGCACATGGCGTCTAGCACTTCGCAGCCAGCAATTTGCCTCTATGGATTTCCCAACCAGCACTTCAGGGCTTGGTCCTCCAGCAATTCCTCCCTCGGCATCTCTCAACCAGCACTGGCAACTTTTCCTCCGCCAACTCCCACCCTCAGCCTGTGCTATGCCCTCTCATCCAGCTCTCTTCGGGTCCATTCCCTGGCGCCGTCTCCTCAAGACATCCTACCACTACGCTTGTGCCCATGGGCCTGCCCTCTGCCCTCTGCCCCTGCTGTCTACTCCATCACATCGTTCCCCTTCACGTCTTCCACATTCCCCATTCCCATCTTACTACTTTCTATCTTCCCAATTCTCATCGTCCTGATACTAACCTCCTCTATTCAAGACATGCAACTCTGGAGGGTCGTCCATGATGGAGATCTCTGGCTTGTGCCGTCTGGGCATTCGACGGGCTGGAAGGCAGCTCTCGGGATCTGGGTCGGGCTAGGGCTAGTCCGCACCTGGTTCCTCGTCTGTTGGGCCTTCGCCGTCGCACGGTCATACTCGCCAAGATCGCGGATGTGTGGGCGCACATCCATCCATCAGTCCGACTTCATCTTTTGGGGTGATCCGATGCGTCCACTTCGATTTCCCGACAATGCAAGACGATTTCGGAAGTGCAGGGGCGCCTGTCGCGCTCGCGACGAACTCCTGTCCGACCGGGTCTACCATTGCTCGTATTTCGAAGCTTTACACAAGAAAGGAAAAAGAGATGGTGCGGATGTACACCTGGCTCTGTACGACCATTTCTGCGGTTGGCTTCGCGTCTGTGTCTGGCTGGACACGATCAAGTCATACCTGCTCACCATCTTCTTTCTCTTTTTGGACGCCATCATCGTGATGATCATTTCCTTCATCGCCATTTCTCGCCATGGTAGCTCGTCCGTCTTGGCTCATGCGCCGGCGGTGACTAGGGCCGTCGCCGTCGCCATCTTCCTTGCGGGCAGCAACCTCTGGCTCAAGGGTCGAGATTTGGCTTTGCGGAATGTCACGATATCGGAGAAACACCAGTTACGTCAAGTCGCCGGAGTGCGAGGTGGCTTTTGGTTCGCGCTTTTGCCCGACCGCCCCGAGCACGACCCCGACTTTCAGCATTTTCGCGGTAACCCCTGGGATCTAGGCTGGCAACGGAATCTCTCCCAAGTATTTGGTGAGAGCCTCTGGGATTGCTTGCTGCCGTGGACTCAGCCGCCCAGAGTCCGTTACTATGCCGACTATCGCCATGTTACCGACTTCGAAATGTCTGACGTTTTCTGGGAGTGGGTTCGAGACAAGAAGGAGAACCGGTTCCGTACTGCTGGATCGGGATCAGCTGTTTCTGGACAACAGCGGGAGGCGGATGCAGCGGGCACATCGATCGGCGCTGGGACATCGATTGTCGCCTTCTCGCCTGTGTCGTCTCCGCGGTCTCTCTCTTCGAACGTCCACCCACGACTTCAATCACCCCAACGTACCCCACAGGAAATTCCTCTCCCCCCATCTCCTTCGGAGCTCTGAGGGTGCTTCTTCCGTCAGAGGCAGACGTTAATACTCCCCTTCGGGGGGCGGAGGATGAAGACGGATTCTGCACCTCCAAGCGGTATCCTCCGGGACCTTCTGCCGTGCCATTGGGCAGCGCACACGCAGATGCCAAGCAGAAACGCAGATGCCATTCACATACGCATCGCCATCATTGTCGACTCGCATTCACCAATCGCCTGTCACGATCCACATCTCGCCAAGTCGACTCTCCACCCGACTGGCTTGACATGACTTCACCAGCAATAGCTCACCGTTGGGCCTCCGAGCAGTTCTCATCACACTGTTCTCATCGGCCTCATCCAGCATCGCTTGAGATATCTTCCACTTCTTGAGCGTCGCGCCTCACACCTTGAGCGCAACTCCAGCAATCGTCGAGGTACTCAAACAACCTCTGCAATCTGAATCAAAACCATTTCGACTTTCCAGTCTAGTCCAGCTTGAAGCTCAACACTCTCCGGAGCTTCTTCGTGCCATACCACACACAATCTGGCACACCCAACTCAATTTCTCTCAAGGCAATCTTCCAGTCCTTTGAGCTGTCTACTCAGTCATGTTCTACATGTCCACTGCTTGAGATCTGTCCACCACACCGACCTCACAAGCTTTGCGCACCATCCCTTCGGAGCGCACATTATCCAGCGTCTCAACCTGAGACCTTTGAGCCTGCGGTTCATCAACATGCCGCCACCAGTCCACTTCGTCTTCAGACACCTACCATTGTTCTGATGACTTCTGAGTCTGCGGTCTATTATCAAGCCGCCACCAGTCCACTTCGTCTTCAGACACCTACCATTGTTCTGATGACTCCCGAGCCTGCGGTTCATCAACATGCCGCTACAAGTACACTTGGTCTCCTGAGCACCAACTTCTGTTCAGAGACTTCCGAGCCTGTGGCTCTTCGCCTCCAGAGAACAAACTCTGTTCTGGAGACTTCCGAGCCAACACTTCTTCCTCTGCACAGCAGCTACCACTGTGCTGGAGACTTGCGAGCCTGCGGTTTCCCATCGTGCCGCCACCCATCCACTTGGTCTTCCAGATCAACGTTCATTGTTCTGGAGACAACGCCATGTTCCAACGAGTATGGTGACATGACCAGATCCTTCCGGTCATGCTGGACGTCACATCCTTGATGTCCAGCATTCGACAATTTCAATCAATTCCAGCCCGACAGACTCCAATGGTTCTACCCACACGAGGCGTTTCAGCCATCATCACTTGATGGCGAGTCTTCTGTCTCTTCTTCCACAAACTTGAGCCACGTCAGTCACCACGCCGGTGTACTGGCCTCTTCGCTTGCACGCCACATGCATTCGTGCCTCATAGGCAACCTCAGATTAATCGTGTCACCTTGCTTCAAGAGGATCAATCCGAGCCATGTCGATCATCACAAACTCGATGTTCGACTTCCAGTCTTCCAACCAATTTGAGCCATGCCAGTCACCACAACTCTAGTGTTCTGGCCTTTCATCTTCCAAGATGACCAATCCGAGCCACTCCAGTCAACAAAAGTCTTGTTGTCTGACGATGAGTCATTCCAATCGACTCCTGCCGCTCACCATACCCTCGGTGTCCGGCTTTCCAGCCCTACCGGTCTCTTCAATCATAGACCCCTCCAGGCAGTCATCACACCCACGATGTCTGTCTACCAGCCTACTGCTCTCTTCAATCGGAGCCATCCAGAGAGTCATCACACCAACGATGTCTTTCTACCAGCCCACTGCTCTACTCTCAAACGAGCTATTCCAGACAGCCAATCACCAAAACCTCGGTCTTGGCTTGTCAGCACACGACTCGACTTGAGTCTCGCCAGATGCCATCATTTCAGCATTCTGGTCCTTCAGCCCACTGCTCACACCATCTTGAGCATCCTTCAGTCGGCGGCCTTGCTCTTGACGCCGTCGGCCCACAGCTCTTTTCTTTTTGGAGCTTCTTCAGTCACCCAACTTCAGGTGTCTGATTTCTTCGGAATGACTCTAGCACATTGGAGTCATCCATTCAGCCCACGGTTCTCACCCATCGAACCAATCTCAAGCCAGTACACTTCGGTGTCTATTCGAACTCTCTCTCTCCTTGAGTTCTCCAGCCCACGGCTTTCACCCAACAAGCCATTGTTGGCCACCAGAACCTCGGTGCGCCTTCAACGTTGCTCTCTTTGAGCTTTTCAATCAGACCATGACTCTCACACAATCTGAGTCTTGCCATCGTTCAGCCCCTGGCTCTGTCCTTTTCGAGCCCGTCACCTCAGTATTGCCAGTGGTTTCTTCCGAAATCTCATTCGAGTTTTTCCTTCAGCCCATGGCTCTCAATCAACGAGTCATTTCCGGTCACCAGACTGGTGTTCCTGGAAGCTCATACTCCTTGAGCTTTCCAACCAGCCCACGACTCTCAAAACACTTCGAGTCTCCCCATTCAGCCCACGGCTCCGTCACTTTCGAGCCCATCACCTCGATCTCGGTGTCTTCGGAACTCTTACTCTCGAGTTCTTCATTCAGCCCATGGCTTCGTTATTTTCGAGCCCAAATTTCCAAGTCACCTCAATCTCGGTGTCTTCCGAACTCTTTCCTTTGAGTTCAGCATTCAGCCCACGGCTCCGTTCCTTTCGAGCCCAACATTTCAAGTCACCGCAATCTCGGTGTTTCCGAACTCTCACTCTCGAGTTCTTCATTCAGCCCACACTCCGTCACGTTCGAGCCTGCCACCTCAATCTCGGTGTCTTCCGAACTGTCGCTTCTGAGTTCTTCATTCAGCCCACGGCTCTCGACCAACGAGTCGAATCTACTCAGATCATGTTCTGTCTTCGGACTCTTCAAATAAAGTCTCCTCATTCAGCATGCGGCTCTGTCCACTTCTGAGCCTTCATTTCCCAACAACTCGGTGCCCACTTGATTCTGTCAATCCGAGTGATCCAACCGGCCCACGGCTTCTCCACATTCAAGCCACCAGTCAGCACGATCTTGCCGCCTGACAATTCAGATCTCAACTCTGCTCTGCAAACTGAGTTCTTCCAGTCCAATCCACGGCTCTCATTCATGGTCCTGTCGTCCACATGATCTTGGCGTCGACCGTTCAGCCAGTAGCCATTCCTCTTTACGAGCTCTGCGGATCGGCATCGTCCGGTTGGCTCTCCAATCGAGCAAGTGTGGAAGCTACTGTTCTCTTCCAGATTGGAAATATGATTGACTCAACGCGAATCTTTCGCCTCAGCCAACTGCGCTGTTGTCGATGCAATCTATTCAAACAACCCTGTCGTTTCTTTCGACATGCCATCGGTGTTTTCCAACGATCTCAAACACGTTGCTGCAATGCGACAGTGTCTCAAATACCATGACCCCGACGCGCAAAATCTTCCTGGGAACTACAAGAGTGAGCCTGCCCTCCATCCCCCCTTTCCAGGGCATCTGGCGGCCTTGATTTCTAGCTGACTTCTTCCAGACTCTCTCTGACTACGAAGAGATCATTTCTCAGCCAATCCTGGCTGTTTTTTCGATGCAGCATGACGCCGATATGGTGTGAACACTTGCTGGCTTAAGTCCTTGTGGGTTCTGCCCACTTCTCCCTAATGTCACTTCCTCCACACAGGTGGTATGACAGACACTGATTTGGCTTCACAGAATACGGATTCGGACCGTCGAACCGGCGACGCCGAGCCTGTTGGTCAGATAAATGAGCAGTTGGTCTTTCCATGCGGGCAATGGCACGTTCACAGACCATTCTCTGTTGGAAATTGGTTGATGCTTACCAATTCATTCCAGACACGGGCCCACACGGTGTCTGCAGTGGCGTCACTGTTCTCATTGGTTCAGAAAGCTCGGTAAGTCCCCTTGCCGTGACATTTCTTTCTTGGATCGCGAGTGCTGTCTTGGATGTGAGCACACTGATCAGATGATGACTCTCGCAGTTCTGAGAAACCTGAGCTCCTCCATTAAGGCATGATCTGAGGTGCAACCGCGGAGGGTACTGCTGGGGATTCAGAAGTGCGGCTCACGCAATGGCAAGTCCTTCCCAACTGTGTTTCCCACAATGGGTGCATGAGAAGTTCAGTCGATGACCCCATCGTAGCCTTTGCTGCTTGGACATCGAGCCAGAAGGAAGGACTTGGAAACCTTGTTCGGACAGATGGATGTGGGAGGATCTCACCGAGTGGCACAAGCATTGCTGAAAGAGCAATGGTCAAGCATCAGTGAGTTGATCAGTTCCTGACACCGACCTTCCAATGGGGCACTGACACTTTGACCAGGGATTGAGATGATGAGGAAGATTGTGTGGAAGTCGTCTCTGGATGCAGGTTGGCAGGCAAACTCAAGAACCGGACACCCATGACAAGACGGACGAGGGAGATGGGCTTGCTGAGGGATTTGCACGAGAGTGTGATCACTCAGAACATGACGACTGTCAGGGCAGCCAACCAGCGGAGGATGAGTGCTTCCAACGGGCGGCCGCTCACAGCTTGAGCACCTATGCATCTGGTCAGATTGCCGTTGCATGACAATTTGGGATCGCGCCCAACACGGGCAGCAGAGTCCACCCAAACTCAATAACATGGCAAATTGCAAATCAGTTACACCGTTCCAGTCTCACGTCAAGTTGTTTGTGGCATGGTACACTCGACGATCAGTCACTCAGCAACCGGTTTCTGCTATGGAATCCACATTCCCCATTTGGTGTCGTACAGTTGTCTCTCGGTCCACCAGAAGAGGCATTCCGGCCTGTACACGCTGAGGGCCTCGGATGCGGGGATAGCTTCAGCTTCGACTCCACACACCCGCACAATGTGGAGCCGCATTGCAGCGTTCAGTCCAGTCTTCCAATGCCAACCTCAATGACATCTTGGCAAAACAGTTCCCCGGGCGAGCGGCTCGACCATATTCAGCTGGATTCAGGGCGGCTGATGAGCTGGCGCGGGAGGGACCGCGAATGTCACGTAGCCCGAGACATGGGCAGGCTGCCGACGTCGCAGGGACAGGGGCACGTACCCCTCCCCCGGATTTCGGGTAACCCTAATAGATCGACGGGGATCCATACGAACGTGGGGAGAGTGTGGGGAGGGAGGCTAGTGCTGTGCCACCACCACGACGGATATCTGTCAACCTGATGGTGACGTCCTCGGACGGCCGACTACGCAATGACTACTTAAGACAAGCCGATTGCAAGGAGCTTCCTCCAGGAGATGTAGCAGCCTCAAGACATCCACAAGTCTCTCTACTACGCACCCTCACGAGCAATCCCCTTTCAGAGAATCTCGCCCTACACAAAATGAGTCCCAGCGTTCTAACGCAGTCCGCCGTTGCTCTTCCATCCAGCCAGCGGTGCGAGCCCGGGTCTATCAACCTTGAGGTCGCAAAATGGCCTGACAGAGTCACGGACGGACCGGTTGATGCCTATGCGACAGCGAAAGAAATCATCTTGACACTTAACTCGTACCTTGGCAAGGCCCCTTCCAAAGCGGCTGCTGAGGGCGTGGCATCTCTGTTTAGTGATGACGAGTGTTACTGGCGGGACCACCTTGCACTGTCCTGGGACCTGAGGACCCTCAAGGGCAAGGACAGCATCGTTGAGTTCTTGCAAGACAACTCCAATCTCACCAAGGTCTCCGTGGATGCCTCATCAGAGTGGCGCAAACCTAAATACGCACCCTTGAACCCGCACCAGACATCTAAGGGCATCGTTTTCTACACGACCATCACTACGAAGCTGGGTTCTGGCCGTGGTGTCGTGCGTCTGGCCCAAGATGGCTCGGGATCTTGGAAGATCTGGACCTTCTTCACCTCACTCGAAGAGCTCAAAGGCTTTGAGGAGCCAACAGGTCCGCGACGGCCAAATGGCGCACAGCATGGCTACCACAGGAGCCGAAAGAACTGGCTGGACAGAAGGAACGAGGAATCCAGCTTTGTGGACCGAGACCCAGATGTTCTCATCATTGGTATGGCCTCCCGATAGCACAATGGTCCTGACTAAGATCACGAAAGAAGGCTGCATGCTAATAACTCCTACTGTCTAGGTGCTGGCCAGGGTGGCTTATCTGCACATGCCAGGCTCAAGATGCTGAACGTGCCAACGCTCATTGTCGACATGAATGATAATGTCGGCGACAACTGGCGAAAGCGCTACCACCAGCTCGTTCTCCATGACCCAGTCTGGATCGATCACCTGCCATACATCCAGTTCCCTGAGTGGTGGCCTATTTTCACACCTAAGGACAAACTGGCCGATTTCTTCGAAGCCTACGCCAAACTGTTGGAACTGAATGTGTGGACGAGGACAACTGTTGAGTCTGGCTCCTGGGATGACTCTCAGAAGCGGTGGACTGTCACAGTGCGAAGGCAGCTACCGGATGGGTCAACCGAGAATCGGACACTGCACCCGAAGCATATAATTCAATCGACAGGGCACTCCGGCAAGGCGAACATCCCGAACATCAAAGGATGGGATTCTTTCAAGGGTGACATCATCTGCCACTCATCCCAATTTCCAGGCGCAAAGCCCAACAGCCAGGGAAAGAAAGCAATTGTGGTCGGTGCCTGCAACTCGAGCCACGACATCTGTCAAGATTACTATGAGAACGGATACGACGTGACGATGGTCCAGAGATCAACAACCTGCGTCGTCTCAAGCCAGTCCATCTGCAAGATCAGCCTGGCCGTCGCCTACGAAGAGGGTGGTCCGCCCACCGAGGATGCCGACTTGCTCTCTTGGGGTACACCAGCTGAGGTGACCAAGGCGCAACACTTTGAGATCACCAAGCTCCATCAGATCAATGACAAAGAAACCCTCGAGGGCCTGGCAAAGGCAGGGTTCAAGACCGACAAGGGACCAGATGATTGTGGTCTCTACATCAAGTATTTCCAGCGGGGTGGTGGGTACTACATTGACGTCGGCGCATCGCAGCTCATCATCGACGGCAAGATCAAGGTCAAGCAAGGCCAGGAGATCACAGAGGTGCTGCCGAAGGGGCTGCGGTTCGCAGACGGAACTGAGCTCGAAGCGGACGAGATCATTTTCGCGACGGGGTATCAGAACATGCGCACCCAAGCGAGCAGCATATTCGGAGACAAGGTCGGCGACAAGCTTCGAGACATCTGGGGCTTTGACGACAGCGGCGAGTTCCGGGCCTTGTGGAGGGACTCTGGCCACCCCGGCTTCTGGTTCCACGGCGGCAATCTGGCCGTGTGCAGGTACTATTCGAGACTTCTTGCGCTGCGGATCAAGGCCCAGCTGGAGGGCCTTGAATAAACACGTTTCTTTAGACGCCTAGATTCTATTGACTAGATCTCAACTACCAACACTGAATGCTTCTCGCTTCCTTGCCTTTTTTCTAAGACGCTAACCGTTTTAGTTTTGCGAATAATGTGTTGGACTGAGGTATGTAGATTAGGGTTTGATCCATAAAGAGTTTGCACAGAAATCACCTGGACCTCACACATACACATGGGCTGTTTTGAACAGGAAGGGTCTGTTGAACACCAGTTCGCATTTCTATGATCCAAACCCGCCTATGTTGAGCTAGTTGTGCCGGCGTCAAGCTGTCAAAAACCTTAAGCTCCCCGCGCCGGCCCGGCTCACTTCAACCATGATCCATCACACTAATATCCAGTAAAGTCCTCAGCGAGGCAGCGAAAGGCCAGTGCCGGACCCCTTAGTGTCGTGTTGGGGCGGTGCTAACAACGGTGCCGTCCACAAAAGCTCAGGCTGGCCTGTTCCCACAGGTCCACTTGAGCCACCTGTACGCGACGCGGTGGTCCTCCTTGTTGGCGCACCCGCCATCCCCGTTGACGCAGCCGTAGAGGGGGTGCTCGCTCCACCAGGCGAACATGGTCCACTTGCTGCCGCAGATGAGGCCGAGCGAGTCCTTGCCCATGTGGATCGAGTCCCTGCCGTCCACCTTGCGCATGCACGTCTTGTAGCACTCGGGCAGCATGGAGCCGTGGTTCTCCATGTGGTCGGCGAGGGTCCTGTCGCGCGGGGGTAAGGGGTCCCCCGGCCCGTCGCGCTTGGCGATCAGTCGGCGGCGGCGGTCTTGTGTTGAGACGCGGCGGGGGTCGCGGTTGAGGGCCGGATCCTCCACGTCCTCGTCTCCTGGTGTCAGCCAGAGCCTGTAGGAGGTGTTGGGGGTGGTGGTGGTGGGGATGTCGTCCCACTTGTCGTCTGGGATGATCACAGGGCCGTGGCCGCCGGGGCGGCCCAGGGGGTGGTATTTGAACCACTCTTTCTTGGGGTGGGTTTTGTTGGTGCTGCCGTTGGTGGTGTTTGTGGGGATTATAACTGGGCCTGGGCCTTGATGTATGGCCCAGTCCTTGATGGGGACGCCGGTTTTGTCGGCGTGGCTGTTGGTGGTGGTGGTGGTGGTGTTGCTGGTGATGATCCCGGTGGTGTTGGGGTGGATGAGCTGGGCTGAGGCTGTGGTTGCTAGGCCTAGGAGGCCGGTTGTGAGTGCTGAGATGTGCATCTTGTCTTTCTGGTGGTTTTGAAATTGTTATTGGTTTTTTTGTTGTTGGTGTTTGTGCGTTTTTTTTTTCCAAGCGTGCACTGTTTGGGGTGAAAGGTTGATGTGGTTAAGGGGAAGAAAAATGTGGGGGATGCTGGGAGGTAGGGCACTTTTTTATATGTGTTCATTTCTATCAAAAAGGCCCTCTAGATCCGCACTGGCATCTACCTAGGTAGTCACCAGGTGACGCTGGCTGGGCCCCATCTCTCTAGTATAAAACCTAGGCGCCGCGGTCATGTTGTTAGTCGTGACACTATCCCCATGACAGATTGGGAAGTAAACAAACCATCTTTTCCATAACACATGTTTTGGCCTGAGATGCGGGGATGGGGATGACCATGCTTGACTGAGCGGGGGGATGGCAAACCCATTCATACTAATAAGGTAATGAGTCTTTTAAGCGAGTATGAGTCGTTATGAAGACCCTTATCGTGAATGCATACAGTAGGAGACAGACTTAGACTCAATTTGTGATTAACGATTGTTGGACTTTTTCCAAGGGCTGCCGTGGAGAGCCTCATCATATCGTTAGTGAAGTCACTATTCTGCAGCTTTTATATCGAGTTCTATGACGATGCTAATGGACAGGCAAAATTAGATAGGCATATTGAGTGAGCCTTGGGCCTTTGTGGACAGATTCAGGCCAACATTTTGCAGGACCGATGAGTCAATGTAAAGGGGCTGAGTATTTAAGCTCCATGACTATTTACAAATCACCATCTGCTATAACAAGCATCTCAGAGCACCTTCTGTAACTGTTCACCGCGTGCCCTCTTACCCTCAATAAATATAACCGGCGGCGTGAACTTCCTCCTCCCATGGAAGACATAAGCCACCACACTGATCAGGATGACCGCCGCCCAAATGGCAGGCGCCCAATTTGCATCAATGGCTGTCGTGGGGTTGGAGTACGGCAGGCAGCTGAGGATGACGATGAACAAGGCGTAGCCGACCGCGAAGGCGTTGATGGGCAGGCCGAGGCGGCCGAGGCTCCACCTGGCCGGGGGCAGCTCGCCGCCCTGGATGCGGCGCAGGAGCACGCAGCCGATGGAGAGCATGTATGTCGACATGAGGGCGAGGAGCGAGACGGAGATTATGATGTTGAAGGCGGTGTCGGAGCCGAGTGTGATGAGGCATAGGATGAGGGCGACGATGGATGAGAGGTAGATTGAGTTGAAGGGCATGTCGTATTTGTGGTTCATCTGTAGGTCGCGTTAGCAAAATGATTTGGAAAAGGGGGGTGACGCGTGCCCGGAATTTCATATCACGTACACGAGAGATCCACGTGGAAAACGGAAACCCGCGATCTCTTGCAAAGGCCCACACCTCACGCGACGTCGTTGCTAGGGCTGTGACATTGCCGGCGTAGATGAGGACGAACAGGACGATGGCGAGGAACAGAGCCACGCCGACGCTCCCTGTTGCCGAGAACAGGTTCAGGTAGGGAAGGTCGGCCTCGACGATGGTGTCGATCGGTCCGATGGTGTAGAGCATGGAAATTACCATCACGAAGGCCATCGAGATGTTGAACACGTATGACCACCACATGGCCCGGGGCACGGTCAACGACGCGTCTTGAACCTCCTCGGCTGTGGGGTATGTTAGTTGAAGCCCGGCAGGTTGCAGTTCCCAGGTGTGTGGGACATAAACTCACCGATATGAACAATGGTGTCCGAACCCAGCATCGACCAGATGATCGAGACCTGGTTGAGCAAGGCCACGGTCCCGAAGTTGGTCCAACCGCCATTGTTCTGGAAATCCAGGAATACCGCCCTACTGCTGTTCAAGGGCCTGCACATGCCCCACAAAATGCCAATAAACACGATGAAGCCCACAGTATGTCCGATCAGACTGACAACCTCCAGCGTCGGGAACACCCGGGTCCCCAGCGTATTCAACAGGATGGTCAGGATGAAGAGGGCCAGGAGTATGAGGAAGACCTGCCAACTGGTGAAGACAAGATCCGGATACGATATGTTGACGCACACGCGGACAAGGTCAGCACACACGTACACGCTGCCGGCGAGACTGGCGATCCACCCGAGGCTGGTCATCCACCCGGAGGCATAGCTAGCCTGCTTCTGCCAGCCTGCCGGCGCGAACTCGGAGACCCAGTGGTACTGGCCGCCGGCGGTGGGGCTCATGCTGGACATCTCGGCGAGGGAGAGGACGACGGACGAGTAGCAGAGGACGGACCCCAGGAAGGTCCAGAAGAAGCCGCCGTAGCCCGTCGCGGCGATGGAGGGCGACATGGAGACGATGACGAACTCCCACGTCGCCATGTAGATGGACACGAAGCCGAAGGTCGACCAGAAGGAGAAGTTGCGCCTGAACTGCTGGGCCTTGCCCAGGCGGACCATGTCGGCCTCGTCCTGGGAGAGGAGGCCGCCTGCTGAGGTCGGCGCCTCGGCGGCGGCGACGTCGACGTAGTTGTCCTTCATGGTGGGCGGGAGGAGGGGGATCAGGCCGTCGGGGTCGGCTGGTTCTCGCTCTGGTGGGTGTCGTCTGCCCGGTGCAGACTCAGAGAGGGAGGACGCGGAGGACGGACGATGTTGATGTTGTTGAAGGGCGGAAAATATAGAGTCGACGACGGCGGCGACCCACCCGAGGTGGAGGTGAGACATGCCCACATTTTTGTTCAGGGTCGTCGTCTTCTACTATGCACTAGGCAGTTGGAGATCCATGGAAAAGCCGATTCGCGCCACAATGCGGGCGGCGGATCCTCGGTGGCAGTCCGTATCAGGGCACCAAGGGCCGTACCAGAATGCCGGACTGGCGTGGCAAGCTGCAGGCATCGTGATTAGCGTTGTAGATGCGGTAGCATCGCCAATTTGCCGGGAGCCGCCGTCGCCTTGGCCTGCAGACTCGACCCCGGGAGCCGAGCGGGCTAGCAGGGGGCTCACTGGGTGTTCTGGAGCGAGGAGGATTCGCGAAACTCTGTGGTCCTATGCCCCTGTACCCGGTAATGCTTCTGCCTATCGGTCCCGTCTAGATTTTTTTTCTCACGCTTGCGGCGACGAGTCTTGGAAGCTGCTGATGTGGGCTGATCTCAAGAGTTGGATGATTTAGATACGAAAGGCCAGTGATATATGAATCAAAATCAGGCATTCTGAAGTTAGACAGTCCGTGTAAGGTGAAGGTTCAACGTTAAAAGTATATAGTAGTTCAATACTGCTTCGAATAATAAGACTTTTAGTTAGACCCACTCCTGGGGGACGGTGGGTCTCTGACGCCTCCACGTGATTAGACCGCCTGGTCCTTAACGACAACAAGCCAATACATACAGAGTTCCGAAGTACGGAGTATGAGTTACCAGAAAGATTCATTCATTCTCATCCGCTTACGATCCTTAAGAGGACTTGACATAGTGGATCAGGGAACACCGCCAGTTCTGGTCTCGTTTTCGCCTTGCCAACTGCGCTTCGTTGGTGGCCCCTTTCCTGGGCTACATTTTGTATGGGTCCAGACACTTGGGTGAAACGTTATGAGTTCCCATCCACCTCCCCATCCCCGACCTTTTAGCCTTACTCGACCACCACAACCATCTTCCCACCTGCCTTGCTCTCCTCCATGTGCCGATGTGCTTCTCTAATGTCCTCCTCATCAAACTTCCACACCCGCCCTGGCTCCGCCTTGACCTTATTCTCCGCCACCATGCGTAAAATGTCTTTGAGAGGTACATCCGAGAGCGGGAATTCCGCTTTGCCAAACACAAAACTACCAAAGAAGCTGAAGTGAACGCCGCTGGCCATCTGCAGCAGCGGATTGAAGTCTGGGATTGGCTCGAGACCGCCCAGGAAGCCTGCGAGACAGACGTGACCACCGCGGCGGACCAGCTTGAGAGAGTCGAGGACGGTGCTGTTGCCGACAAGCTCAAGGACGGCGTCGAACTTGTCCCGACCCTCACTGAGAAGACGAGTGGAGAGGTCCGGCACCTCGAGGAGTGCTTCAGTCGCCCCCAAGTCCTTCAAGTCTGCAAACCGCTCCGTGTTCCTGGAAGTCGCCGTCACCTCCGCCCCTTTCTGAACCGCAAGATTGATAGCGGCCCTCCCGAAGCTGCTCGTACCGCCTCGTATCAACAATCTCTCCCCGGCCTTGACCTCAAGGTTCCTAAAAAGCACCGTCCAGGCTGTCGCGTACGTCTCCGGGATGGCGGCTACCTGCCCCCATCCCAACCCCAATACCTCTTTCAGATCCTCCTCGCTCTCCCCCAGCTTGACCACATTCCCCACCGGCGCGCTAGTGTACTCGGCATAGCTGCCGCTGATCGTCCTGCCCAGGCCGCCCATGACCGCTGCGACTGGGGTCCCGACGGCGAATTCGCCGCCCGGGCAGGCGGCGACGAGTCCCACGCATTCGATGCCGATGATGGGCATGCTTTCTGCCCACTCTCCACGGCGCATGTGCATCTCGGCGTGGTTTATGCCGAAGGCTTTGATCTTGATTATGGCGTGGCCTGGCTTGGGGTCTGGGGTCGTGACTTGTTTCATTTTCAGGACCTCGGGGGGCCCGAATTCTTCGACGAGGATGGCGTTCATTGTTGCGGGGTAAGCTTTGGTGGACATTTTGAGCCCTATGGTGAGAGGTAACAAAGCAATAGGCGTATTCCGGGAGAAAATGGGGATACTTTAGGAGAGTGATACGAGGAAAGTGTGTGGTCTAGCCCGATCTCGTACAGGTCGTCAAGGGCCGCGTAAATAATATTTGAGAAATCAATCAGGCTGCCAGCACCATCTCAAAAACTACCAGCGTGGTCCGAGATGCTATAATAATACTACTATCTGTTGTGGTCTATGAAGATTAGTAAGATACTTCGGATGAAAATGTCAAGTAGTGAGCCTTTTGATCCAGGTCATCCGAGTAGGGGGGAATAAGTCCGTGGAAGGGGACGACTCCCTTACTGTCAAATACGTTGTCTACATAGTTCGTCAAGTATCAACTAAAGTCACATCTCATAAGGCGTAGGTCTAGTCCGATTACAGGAGCTGGTGTTACGCTCACGGCAGGTTTCTTCCAGGGCAAAGTAGTATTCTGGATTACACTGCATTACAGCTAAGGCGTGGTCAACCGGCCATGTTGACAAATGCAACCCCCGCTTACGGATGCTAAAAGAACAGGTAGGGGTGTGCGGATTTTAAGGACTCTTACCTAAGGTGATGCAGCTCTTCGAATTGGGATTGGCAGCGATATGCACCTATCATCCACATGGTGGCTTAGATACAGCGCCCCGCTTCATATCAGCGAGACGACCGCGGTCAGCGTTTCGTTGTTCTGCGCCGAACCTACCTAGGTACCATCGGGGGGTATCCCATCATCGACTTCATAGATGGTCATGGAACCTTAGATCGGATCGCCTTCTTTTACGAACATTCACAACCCATCTTATCATTGCTGGAAGTAAGTTCTGCCCTGCTCTCGTGCTGCGTGGCGCAACTGGCCCTGACGAATGTTCTCGTACGCCAGTCCTCTCGAGTCCGCTACCCACGAATATGGAGCAACGTCAGCGCCTTGGTCAGGACGGAAATATGCGTTGGAGAACAGGAATAGATCGTGATGAGAGCGGCTATCAGTGGCCCCCCTTCACCGGGCCCCCTTCGAAGAAAGTGAATTCTGGGCTGCCCGTGAGAGGACGATCCGTCTACCCTCCGTACGGTATGCACTCGACAACTTCCTCTAACCCCCTGCCGGTACGTGAGGAAGTGACAACAGATGAGACGTCTGGTACCGAAGACAGGAAGCCCTTACATTATTTACGTTCGTCGATGGGAAGACTGCGCCTTCAAAAGAATGAAGAGATGACTGGGAAAACATCTTTACCGCCACTTGTAGAGGGCACTACAGTCGGGGAATCACAGCCAGACCGTGAACACCCTGGATTGACAGAGGACAACATCACCGGAAGCGATTTCAGTCAAGAGACAATGTCCCCTTTAACGATTCGGAACCACATCAAGGCGAAAATGAAGACCCCAGACGAGGACACATATGGAATCCGCATGCCCGACTTCCAAGAGGTTGGCCCTAATCATACGTCAAGTATAAATAAAACACGGCGGGACTCCCATCACTCTGTGTCAAAGATTTGGAAGGAAATGGGAGACGATGGGAGCCTCCCAGAACAGGGTTACATTGCCCCCTATCTTCGACACCGAAACCCAATACCAGCACTGGGAGCGCGTACCACGTCCCTTACTGATGACGAGGATTCGGGCCGTGTTTCTTATCCTTGTCTCCGGGTGTTAGTCTCTCTTTGATCTCGGTCATTGCCCAACACATCATCAGTTTCAGTTCTTGTGCCCAGTAATGGCGGCCAGTGTTTGAAGTACATACTGATCCCCATTCGAATGCCAGTCGTCCTCCAGGCCGCGTTCCATCCAAACTTTCCACAGCTCCTCGACTTGGTAGCCGACAGGAAGCAACCGCCTCCATCGATGAACGGTACCCGGCCCCACGTCCGAGTTTTATTAAATAAAACAAAAGAAATATTATTATTTAATAATTAAAATTTATTTATTTATTAAGTAAAGTATATTATTTTAATATTAAAGGGGGGTATAAATGAAGGCTTTTAAACAGCTTAGAGATAATTCCTTTATATTAATAGAGGGCTACTATTATAGCATTACCTAGATAGGTAGTTTAGAAGACAGTAGCCCTAGTGAATAGATCGAATCCGTCTTAATTTTCAATAAGCACATAAGTAACACTCATACTTATAGGTTTGGCCGGTTAAGATGAGCGACTTGATGATTATATAATTATCCATGAGGTATGATAGATAATACTAGTAGTTCTAAGATTGAAATGTATAAAGCATGAATGTATTACCTGTTAGTTTAAGGGCGATGAGTCACAACAGGATCCCACAGATTCAATCTCCTGTTTTTCGACCAAAAGCGGAGAGGTACCCTGACATCAGCAAGCAACTTGGAACCAATATTCTCAGAATAAACTGTGCAATCGAAAAACTTCATTGCTAGTTCAAGAAGGCGTTTTATGATTCCTCGGGCCCTTCCGGCCAAGGTGGAACTTGTGATTAAATGAAAGTGTTTATGCATACTACTTGTGTATGAAGATGTCTGAGAACGACTCATCTTTTCTATAGTTATATGTAAAATCACCCGACTCCTCACCATGGGATGTGGAGCACTGTCTTGCTGTGATATCTATAGTGCTGACCTCAGTTAGTCCTGAGTTTGGCAGTTGGTATTTGAATTTCAGTATTTTACTAGATCCGCCCCGAACAGGTTTTGTCTATATGAGGCAGGAGCCAACAAAAAATAGGGAAAAGGGGTCTCATTCAACTTTCTACGAAATACTCCTAACGGTCGGCCGCTATGGAAGAAGCTAACTGGGTGTTGACATGACAGCTTGTGAATCCAGACATCTGCCCGCATTCCCTGTTTACTGCGGCGTGTGAACAATCTTCACGAGTATAGCCTCCGGTTTCCCCTTCCCTACAACATAGCTTGCCGAGGAATACGCTGGATTCGACAAGTTCGCCTTGACACCAACCATGCCGCCGTTGGCACCGCAAGCCCCCAGCAGCGAGGCTGCCAACGACTCTGCAGTGGGGTCCACGCCGCCATCAATGGCGTTGGCGATGTCCTCGTACAGCACGGATGAGTTGACGCGTGGGTTGATGTGCTTGGCGAGAGACATGACACTGTCCCCGAACGCGAGCGGGAGCTGCCACTCGTCGCAGTCGTTGGATGGCGGCACTTCGTCCATGATTAGCGAAATCTCAAAGGCATCAATTAGGGGTGTGCGAGTAGAGGGGTAAAATTCATGGACGGACGGAAGACGAACTCGTGAAGAATGCTCCAGCCGTGCCAGCGTTTTCCTCGGCGATGTATCGCAGGTAGGAAGCGGCGTAAGCAACGTCATCCACATTGACGTTCTGTGCTGTTCCGCCATTGACGCCGAAGCAGACAAGGTCGGCTTTCTCACCACATGATCTCTTGTGAAACTGAGAGGTCATGGGCACTGTTGCAGCAGCAACAAGGGTCGTGGCCATGAGGCCGGGGGTAAGGAGGGAGCTGTAATGCATGTTTTGCTTCGAACTTTCGAATTCTTTGCAGAAGGAACCAGACAACAAGAAGCGTGATGTAATGTGGACCAAGACTACTCTATTTCAGTTTGGTATTATATTTTCACAAGAACGCTTCTTGAAGTCTCTATCAATATTTTATAGACGAAGCGGCTTGCGCAGCGCGGAGCTTTCTTGAACAAGAGCAAGCCTCACGCAGCGCAGTGTGAACGCCATAGCACTCGGAGTTCCACAGGATCCGGCCAACCGGGAAAAGAAATCAACGGCTCCGACTTCCGATTTCTTCTGGACCCAACAGCAGTGTTGATGTGGTATCATCGCTACTCCGGACGGGAGTGCTGCCCATTCAAGTAGGTGGTAATAGGTTACCGCAGAGAGATCATGTGAAGGACGAAAGGATTTTGAGCAGGGTCCCTTGAGGCAGGGTCCCGTGAGATTGCCTGACTTCTTCGAGTAGGCAAGTAGAGGAGGAGGATACTGACTTGACTGTGAAGGTTCAATGTTGCGAAGCATTCGGAAGGAGCTCACCCGAGCGCAATCGTGAAGGGTCCACCCGAACAAATTCCGTAGAGCTGTGCCGTATGACGGCGTGAAAACTAAAAATATTGGCGTGTGTCCTTTTTCGTTCGCATGACCTCTGGCACGACATTGAATGTCACTCAAATTTAAGTTGGTCCGCCCTTGGCAACCATCGTGAAGGGTCCAGGCCAAGTCCATAGGGCTGTGCCGTGCGAAGGCATGGAGACTAAGGACCTTGGCATATAAAGCTTTTCCTGTTGGCAGGACCCTTAAGTTTAAGCGGCACAGAATGCAACTTGACGACCCAACAGGAGGATCTTGCAGAAGGCAAACCACCTGACCATCCTTTCTTGAACTAAGGACGGAGTACTTACGGGATACTAAGTAAGCGTTTCCGGTTCCAACACACCCGGTCCTGGTCAGAACCAACATCTCGCAAATCCTTGCCTTGTGAATGATTTCAATGCGCCAAGCATACCTAGGTAGAATGCGGTGGAAGCGGGTTGGGACCCGTGATGGTTTCGGACAGACCAGGATCCAGAACCTCGAGGACCGAATTAGACTGGATTGGCCTCATCATAGCAAATCTCTCAAGTTCGCACCTGAACCCCAGCCACTGCGAGAAGGTGCCAACTCAAGTCGAAGCGAATGTGACTCCATCCTGCCTATTCGAAGTGCAATCTCTCGGAGCAAGGGAATGGCAGTCACTTGGGAAATTTCACCAATTCGTATCCTAATGAGTGGAATTTGACTAAGAGGTAGTGCTGCCCTGTGTTCTTCTCTTGTAGCTGTTCATGGCGTATGAGTCCCATTTTCCTTGTTCCATGATCGTTATCCTATGCAGCCAATGTGGCTGGACACACAACTTTGTCCCAGGTGGCAAGGGTGCATCATCAATGACATCGCTTAGAGCCCACAGAATTTTGTCCCGAAGACTAAGTAACCAGGGATGAACTGCCGAAACATAATCATGAATTGTAACAAACGGCTTGTCCGAGGCCTTGACCAAAAACGGAGGAATTTCCCTTGGCCGATCCGTTCCGCAGCATCTCAGTAACTCAGTCTCCGACCCCTCGCCTTCGAGCTGCCCAAATTCACAGTTGTCGCTATCCAGGTCGGCGTGAGGCTCGTGACCATCGAGCCAGTTGATTTCGTATTGCTCCAAGTCTTTAACGGCAACAGATATAGATGAGACCTCGGGTATTGTGAGTGGCTCCTGCGAGATGTTGTGCCACGTCACGGGGTCTACGGTCTGACAATAAGACTCCTTGGGAGCATCTGGATTTCGATCGGTATCCAGAACGTCTATGGCTTCGGACAGGGGTCCTTGAAGGGCCCAGTAGAGGCGCGCGACATGAGTAGTAGCCGTCGGCCGCGGGCCGTTGCGATCACAGGCTCTCTGAAGGAGTATCTCAAAGGAAGGGATCTCTGGCCCGGAGTTGCCGGTGCGTTCCATGGCTTTCTTTTTCTGACGCTGAAGTCTTGGCAACAAGAGATGTGGTGTTGGTAGGGAGAGGTGGGTAGGAAGAAGGAAGCACGAAGACAGGGCCTTGGGTCCGAGGTCGAGATTATTGATGCAAGATTTTATAGGAATGAGGCACAGCTAGCGGCAGCGTTGGCCGGAAACCTTGGAATGGTTCAAATGTTACTGGCCACGATGGCCTAGCGTGCCACATTTCAAGTGCAACCTTGACCCTGGAATTACGCCCGCAGCATCTGAACCGCCCGCTTTAGAGAGGACTATAGGGTAACACTGGATCGTGACAAGACAACCTTGTCGCATCAGATTCTGCCGAGAGGCAAGTTCGGCTATACCATTTTGCGCCTGAATATTACTGCTCACACGGCAACTGGTGCGCTACGCCATCTCTATGCATAGTGTGTTTTAGGCGTTCACTCTGCTCGTAACCAAATCCAAGATCAGACCCCATCACTCCTCGCAAAGTGCAAGTTATTAGTAGCTACAATAATACAAACAATACGGGGAAGGCACCCAAGTAATGAAAGCTGCTAAGGGGCACATTCTCCAAATTCAGGCTGGCTAATGATTTAATGTGGTCAGCGGTCTTCCTCGAAGAAAAAAGAACATTGAAGGAAGTTGGGTGGGGGGCAAGAAAAACAGGGGGTGGGTAGGTAGAAACTGGTATCATGCAAACTCACCATCCTGTGCCACAATCTTGTGGACGTCCGCCGCATTGACCACTCTTGCTGCAGCAAGGGCCCTTCAAGACACCACATGTGTAGCCTTGAGGACCGCCGCAACTTCCGTCCGGTGATGTTCCCCAAACCCACGGTAACTCGGTATTGCTTTGGATCATGTTTCTGGCGCAATTCCCAGATTGACAGAAGTCCAAACCACAGAAGTCGGCGCCGGAACCGCATTGCCCTTTGATGTTACAACAATCACCCCATTTGCCAGCACACTCGCGATTCCCGTGCTCGTAGCCACATGTTCCGTCCGTGGAATAGATGGAGTCACCAAGACATGCTCCTTCAAAACAGACTCCGGCGGCGCAGTCGGCACTGTGGTTGGGATGAAGTTGTCAGCAACAGAATGTACAGCCAAGATGACGCACGGGGGGTGCAGCTCTCAACTGGACTCATACTCGGTTTCACCACAAGTCCAAGTCTCGGAATTGCAGCATTGCCCTTTCCCTGATCCGATACAGGTGGCATTTTTGTGCGGAGGGCCGCAGAGACCATCGAATGCTCGCAGCGGCTCTATGACTGTGCATTGTAATTTCCCGTTAACAACCAGATATTCCTGTACCTAGTTAATGAGTGGTTGGTAATTCACTCACATCCGTCAACACAGTACCGGGTACTGGGCTTGATATTGCCACAGTCGGGATTCAGGTCTGGATTGAGTTTGAAGATATCCTCAACCAACACCTGATTGCGATCGGCAAGTTCCTGACAAGAGTAGTAGTTGACGGTCTCCCGGGTCTGGCTGAAGTCGCGACAGTTGATATCTCCTGGTTGGATCTCTGCTCCACGCTTATTGACACTCGGGGTTGTATGGTGCGAGTTCATCGCAGCAAGTTGACGCTGAGAAACTGCACTGAATCCATTGCCTGACGTCCATGTCCATGGAGCACACTCATCGGCAGCAACTGGTAAAGCTGCTAGAAGGAGACGTACGACGATGGAGAGGATGAAACGATTCATTGCAAAGGATGCCATACTTTGTGTGTGATAGGTGAGAAAGACCTTCGGGGATTCCGACTTCTGTGGAGGGTGTACGCGATTCACAGTGACTTTTCAAAGTTTTTATGCACTTCCATACGGGCACTCGTGCGCGTCCACACATACACACACAAGCACATGCACAAAGGCATCCCGGAAACAACGTTGGTTCTTGTGATTAGTGTCGTGCTTAGCCCCAAGTCTAGATTCAGACGATGTTACACATCTTCATTACCCACTTCACAGGATCTTGCACTCGGGCACAATTTCTCGATTGAGTAATGTCTCGGAATGTTCAATAAATGAGCACTCCGAGGGGAAGAGGGGAACGTGGTATTCGAACCCTACGGGGTCGGAAGCCGTGGGAGTGAGCATTGGGATTTCCAACATGCCCAACATGGTCAATCTCAATTCTCTTGGCACGCGCAGAATCCAAACCTGCTTCGGAGTTGGCATGGAGCCTCTCAGGACTGATTGCAGCACGGGAAGGCCTCGTACATGACTGTTGATAAATGACTAGGTATCCAGGTGTGTTCCAGTTTGATTCAGTCACCACTCTCATGTTGACTTTACTTTTCCCCTCGGTTTTCAAACCACTTTTACACGATGACACCCCTACAAGCACTTCAATCATTGCTGACACTCCTTACTTTTTCTTTATTTTACCAACCAGCGAGCTTTCTCACGGAGGCCCAATATATCCAGGGTTACAAAAAGCAATTCATTCCAGACGCTAATAACGCGAACAATGGTGCCTTTACTGAGCAACGGTTCTGGCGGTCAACTGTTGCCGCTCAGTTCGATGAAGTGCTGGATCTCCTGCCTCAGGTTGTTTTCCTTGAGTATAACTGCCAATATATGGTTGTATGTTAATTCTTTCCCTGTCCCTCTTTTCAATGCAAGACCGTAGAAGAACTACATCATGACCGAGCAAAAGGCTGACACACCCTTACACAGGATATCTGCCAAAACGCTTTCAACTGGTACGAGACTCCCGCTGGCAAAGGTCGGAGCCCCAAGAGCCTGTTCGGGTATGACTTGAACAACAGACCCAGGAACAATGCACGCAAAGACAACCGGCGAAAGAACTCTTGCCCTGGTAGCTGGTCAAACATACATATCTGCCCAGAGTCTGACCAAAGTCTACCATGGCGGAATGACGGTCAATGGCCATACACTGCTCTTGAACTCGGAGCTACTAAGAATGAAATCCAACATGAGAGAGATTCGAATGGCAATATCATTCGGAGGTCGAAGATACGTTACACGTGTGATGAGTTTCCCCCGGCGACGTGGATCGAGGGCGGTGGCGGCTCGGCCTCCCCAGAAGCTGCCGCCTCGAGCGCTGAAACGCGGTGTGCTGCCTTTCGATGTGTTGCAGGAGTCAAGGCGGAGCAGAATTGGCAAGCCACGGCCCACAACAGATTGAGACAAACACTGGACGAGCTTATCACACAACGTAAGCTGGACTACAACCATTTCCCAAATTATAAAGATCACGACAGCATTGTTCTTTTCCATTGGCGCTCGACTTCAAGGCTCAATGGTATCGCGGCAACGGTCTATGTTTACCAGGATCCCGACCTGTCTGGAGTGTCAGAGCAGAGCCAAATCACAGTGGCGAAACGCTCCACCAACAACATGACCCATGCTGAGCTCATGCATTGGGCAGATACGGTCCGGATAGATGATCTCATTGCGGAAGGATTGGTCTCCGCCCAGCATGTTATGGCCAATGACACTCTGGCCGAGGTTGAGATGGACACATTCCAAGGTGCGGGCATGCCTCTCATGGGTGCGAACTCGACAGACACTGCGACAAGTCCGTTACCTGGCATTCTAGGTGGCCGCGGTGACGTCCATGATACTGGTGGAGTGGCAAACCCGCTTGGAGCACGGCAAACAGATGAGTCTCAATTCTCTGAGACGTCTCCCGTCCTGCTCAACACTTCAGACCCCAAAGTGACACCACTCATCAAGAACGCGACGTTACAGGACCTCGACAGTGCTCGCCGGCTTGTGGAGGATGCTATTGAAAAGTCGTCCGAGCTCAACATGGCCCGCTTCTCGAACCCGCGCCGAAACATCTACGCCCTTCAACCGGGAACAGTTCTTGGAAGTTCTGCAGCTAATGCCCCTCGAGCACTTGATGCTCAGTATGATGCCCAGGACGACGTCCCCGCCCTCTTGGAGATCACCGATGATATTGCCGAAGCTGCCGCATTGGTCTCCGAGGCTGATGCCCTGGGCCTCATTGGCAACTTCACTGGCAACATCACCAGGAGGGAGGTTCAAATGGCCGCTTCGGGGTCATACTGGATGGAAGCCTTGGACAGGAAGGGGACGGTGCCCTGGGGAGACGACCCAGCCTATAAGGTGAGTATTGAGTGATGCGCTCAGTTTGAAAGATATAACACTAATATCTTGATGTACTACTAGGTTTTTCGAAATGTTCGCGATTATGGCGCAGTGGGTGACGGAGTCACGGTACGTCGGCACCTGCTCAAGTGCCAGCAATCGACATTGACCACCAAGGCATGTACTGATGCTTCTTTATTCCATAGGATGACACAAAGGCCATCAAGAATGCTATGAGTGACCAGAAAAGGTGTGCAAAAGGATGCAACGGTTCGACTACCAAGAACGCGATTATTTACTTCCCGCCCGGATCTTACCGAATTTCCACCACAATTCCTATGCCATTCGGAACGCAGGTTATTGGTGATGTCAGTATTCTATGATCCTTCTTCTGTCTGGACACAGCTCTAATCTCTGGCCTTTGCCCACATTAGGCAAACAACTGGCCGACGCTTATAGCGACCAAGAGTTTCATCGGTCTGGGCGTCCTATCCACCGACGAATATACAGGTGGTGGCATAGGTATAGACGGAGCGGATCAACAGTATTATGTCAACACTGCCAATTTTTATCGCCAAATCAGAAATATTCGCATCGACATCACCCAGACGCGACCTACTCAAGGGGTTGCCTGTCTCCACTACCAGGTTGCGCAAGCGACGAGCCTACAGGACGTAGAGCTCATTGCCACCAAGGGCACAAAACAACGTGGTATCTTTGCCGAGAACGGCAGTGGCGGTGCAATCTCAGACGTCACGTTCCGAGGGGGTGGTTTTGGAATTTACGGTGGGAACCAGCAATTCACTGCCCAACGTCTCAAGTTTGACGGATGCGACACGGGCGTTCAAGTCATTTGGGATTGGGGCTGGGTGTGGAAGTCCATCACCATGAGCAACGTCGGCGTTGGCTTCCGTCTCCTGCGCGAGGAGACTTCTCCTACGACAAAGAGACAGACTGTCCCTGGCAAAGGGGGAGAAGGAAACATTGGTTCTGCTTCCTTCATCGACTCTACTTTCCAGAACGTGGGCACTGCGATCCTTATTGCACCGCCAGACTCTACACCTGGGTCGGGAAGCACCGGTGTCATTGTTGAAAACGTCAAGTTCGAGGGAGTGTCTCAACCCGTGGCGGACACAAGCGGCAGCACCCTGTTGAGTTCTGCAGGGACAGTCGATCACTGGGCTCTGGGCCCGGTGTACAATTCCAACGGCACATTTTCCATGGGAGGAAAGGTTGGAAATTACCGCAAGCAACCGGGCCTTCTTGATAACAACGGTGCCTATTTTGAACGCGCGAAACCGCAATACAAGGACCGAGGGGTTGGCGACTTTTTGCACGTCAAAGACTTCGGCGCCCTCGGCGATGGTTCGACCGATGACACAGCTGCGTTCCAACAGGCATTGTGGGGTAGCCAAGGCAAAATCTTGTTTGTGGACGCAGGCTCTTACATCTTGACCGGCACAGTTACTATCCCACTCGGTTCCAAGATCGTGGGTGAGACCTGGTCCCAGCTGGTTGCATCCGGGCCTTATTTTTCGGACGCAAGGTAAACTATCCCCATTGATCAGACACTCGCAGTGGTCTCCCGTTAACATATATTTCCTCAAGCAACCCAAAGGTCATGATCAAGGTCGGTACTGAGGGCGAGATCGGGGACATCGAAATGCAAGATTTGCTTTTTACCACAAAAGGTCCCACAGCTGGTGCGATACTCGTGGAGTGGAACGTGAAGGCTGAAAGTCCCGGTTCTGCCGGCCTATGGGGTGAGCTTTTTCCACAGCCTCTTGTAGCAACGTCCAGCAGCTTACACGAGCCTTGTTTGCTACTAGATTGCCATGCTCGCATCGGGGGCGCCACCGGAACGGGCTTGACGCCTGCTGAATGCCCGGCATTGACGTCCGGGATCGCTTCGGGGTGTAATGCTGCCAGCCTCATGATGCACATTACTCCTAGGGCCTCTGGGTATTTCGAGAACATGTGGCTTTGGGGCGCAGACCATATGATTGAGTATGTCGTGGTCCTCTCTTCTGGATCTCGAGGCCTTGTGACAAGAAACAAAGTTAACAAGTATATCTCTCAGCGATCCTGATCTCGGCGATGCCAACAACACAATGGTGCAAAACTCCGTCTATGTCGCCAGGGGTTTGCTCGTGGAGAGTGTGGCACCCACTTGGCTCTACGGGACTGCATCCGAGCACGCCGTCTACTACCAGTATAACTTCCACAACGCTCAAAATGTCTTTGCTGGCATGATTCAAACCGAATCACCTTATTTTCAACCGACCCCTAAGCCTCCTATGCCATTTGAAAAAGTGGTAGGGACTATAGGTGGTGATCCGGATTATAATTGCACCGCCACTAATGGGCTGGATGGATGTGATTCTTCATGGGGTGTTATGATTCGAGGATCTGCCAATATCTTCATTGCAGGAGCCGGTCTCTATTCTTGGTTCTCGACATACACTCAAGACTGTAGTAAGTTTCTATCACAACTACATTTGCAGCTGCGTATGGTCCCGCTGAGGTACTGACCTATTCATTTACAGTCGACAAGCATTCCTGCCAAAAGGCATTGCTGTTGCTCGAGGATAACTTTGCCAATGTTCGCATCCAGCAGCTCATTACAATTGGGGCTGAGTACATGGCAGTCCAAGATGGGGTTGGCATCCCTGCGTTGGACTACCTGAATGTCGAAACACACCCGCGATGGTCCCAGCTTACTGTCTTGGACGCCGCTGGCGACGGCAGTGAGTTTGGCGGCATGGTGTGGATAGATCCCAAGATTTGGGATATGGACACCCCGACATTCTCCTGTGCGGCCCCTTGCCTGGTCAAGATACCGCCTTGGACAGGTGCAACATCGACGGTCGACTATCCCAGGATCACTGTCAGCCAGGGCACCTGGACGAGCACCATCACACGAGCGCCCCTGACTTTGTCACATCTGATGTTCGAGCCCGTCACACTGAGGGCTGATGCTGGGAACCTGAAGCGTCGGCAGGGGTTCTCAGAGTTCTGGCCTGTGCCCACGACGACACCGTACTGGCCCCCAGTGACGTATACTGAGCCTGACGGAGCTGTCAAGACGACGGCGCCGACGATTGCGTTCCCAAAACCACCCGCCACGATCGGGCCAGGAGCACCAGCACCTTGGGGTGGTCGCTGGCCACGTAGAGCAATTACACCGATCCAAGATCCGGTTGTGTGGGGCTCACCAGCTGTTGGTCAGTGCAGCTACCTCGACTTCAACTGCGTTCCTGACCCATGGACATATACAGGTATGGGAGGAGGAAATGGTGGTGGCGGGGACGATGGATGGGTAGAGGAGGACGGTGATGAGGACAGAATCACCTGCGCACCAGAGACCACCATTACCGAGACCGCAACGGCAACGACCACCGTCGCGGCTACCATCACTGAGCCTGCGGAGCCGGAGGCATCGCCAATGGAGCATGCCGACGCGAGTAAGAATGTGAGAGATTGCTACGACGCAGGACAGGACACAACCCATGTGCGACTGGACGAGGCCATCAATTCGTTCTGCAAGCAGATCGGGGACCCGGGTGATGTGCTTGCCGCTGGGACAGTCAAGAAGGCAAACAAGGAACCCCCTTCGAACGGGGGCTCGGTTGTCGAGATTGTCTTCAAGCTCGAGGTCAAGGAAAAGTGCGAGTGGTCGTATGATTACAACGAGTGCGTGAGGTATTTGGGTGTGCCTGTGGACAGTTGCAACTGTGGCGGTATCAATGGCAAGCAAGGGGGCACGGTGGAGAATAATTGTCTCTACTGGAGAGTTGACCCTAATAAGAAGTGGTAAGCATTTAGTTGGTTTATCCTTGTATTACTAGTATATGATAGCAAAGAAGTCTTTTACCTTCAGTTCATGTACCTAGATATTAGGGATATCTACCTTATCGCTAAATCTCTATTCTTAACATAACTAAAAAGCCGGGATCATATTGCTACAAACAGACGGACAAAGCAACTGTAGACTCAAATAAACTGCGAGGTTTGCGGCCGGTGTCGAACAAAGATGGACCCAATGTGCGAAGATGCTCTCACACTGGACTGCGAGACGTTGCAATGCAGCGACCAACACCTCCTTTCTCGAGAGAGGTTGGCCGTCGTCAGCAATGAACGGAATAACAGCAACACCCATGGAGGGCCATCGATTCACTTTGGTCTCTACGCCTCTGGCGACAAGGTGATGAAGTCAGGAGAGGAGAGCGATATCACCGCGAAGAAAGATGGTGTCATAGTATTTGAAATGGAAGAATCCGGTGTTTGGGAGGGGTTCCCCGGCCGTTGTCTGGTCATAAAGGCCGTGTGTGACCTCGGGACTATGCAGATAGCCACAAGAATAAGAGCTGGCAATGCTATGCGGCTGCAAGTGCAGCTGCATGTACAAAGGCTTTCCTTGAGCACTGGTCTACTTAGCCGGCTGAAAGACTTCTACGATAACTCTTCTTTTAATTCCTGATCACGAATATAAAGTACGCCGGTGTCATCTCTCCTCGAACCCGCACCCAGATAACGGCGAGTTCACACTGTACCATGAACAACGGAGCTTCTCAAAACTTGAACAGGCCAGTCATGTCATGGGCTGCCGCACACTACACTGAGTGTAATGAGTGTAGTATAGTAGTTGTAATAAGCCTATGAGACCGTGTTATACTAAGGGTATCTTAAACTACCATATTATACTAAAGGCCTTATTGTGTCTAGTGAAGTGGATTTTAGTGTAACTAGGGGGGGGGGGAGGAGGGAGTAGCTGGGAGGAGGAGGGAGGAGGGAGGAGCGTTTACACCACATTGCATTTACACTAGAAACCAAATCTCCTTCGACTGAAGATCCTAGTATGTGTAGTGTAGTGTACGTCAGCCCGGCCATATTACCCTCTGTGATACGTCCTCTAATCAAAGAAGTCGCCTATCACCGATCAGAGCTTGTGGAATAACCATGTGCCAAAAATACCACAGCAGTATTGTGAAGAGGGTTACAGGGATTGCGACAGCCCAGTATATCCAGATCTTATCCGAAATAGTCCAGGTACCCTCTGGCCCATCAAAGTTGAAGAATGAAGTACTGAAGATGGCGGAGATAAAAGTGGCAGGCAGAAAGACCAAAGTCAAGAAAGCAACCGTCTTCATGGCAGCGCTGTCCTTCTGTGCTGCTCGCCCGATCTCGACCGAAGTCCTCGCATCAGACTGTGCCACGATGTTGAACGATAGCTGTATCTCGTTTTGCAATCTGGCTTGGTTGGATGAGGAGCGGTGTTTGAGACTGATGAACATCTGTTCCAGAAAATGTAGCCTGTCTTGTAGCTGCTTCGAGGACCGTGTTTGATCCTTGTTGGCATCACTGACACCCGCCACGTACTCTGCGTGCCGCTGCAGAATGCTATTTACCGTGGTAGCTGCGGTGTCGAGCGTCTCTGATACGTGAATTGCATGTCTTGCTAGTTCGTGGAGATGGCTGTAGTTGGGATTTGGTTGGGTCACAAGCGCCCGGTTCTTTTCTACCACCCTGACCTGGTCACGAATCATCCAGACGGACTTGTCTTGCAGATCAAGAATTTCCCTTAATATTCCTTCATAAACCCAAAAAGGATCCTTTGATCGCCCTTGCAAAAAGGGTGGGATCATTGGGGTGGGTAATTTCTCTCTGATTGGGGCGGGTGGATCAAACACAACCAGTATCATGGTTTCGGTTGCAGGAATCCAGCGACTGAACATGTTAAGCTTGTGCCAAACATAACCATTGTTGCCACCATAGTAGAATTTTGTTTCAAAAAAAGCCCAGGTATCTGTCATTTGGTCAGTAATGTGCCAGAAAGACCGACAAAATGGTCCAAACAACATGACGCACTGTACCCGTCGATGTTGCCTGCCTGATCCTCCGTCTCCTCGACACCAAAGTAACCACTGAGCCCTTTGAGGAACCATTCCCACCAAATATGAGGCATTCTAAATGTTCGAGACATATATTCGCGACATTCAGAGCATTCTATAGTCTTGTCTGCCTTCGTGATGCTTCGACGCAGTGTCAGGCTGACCGTGACTCCGCTTTAGATATTGCTCGGGGGTGGAGGGATTCTTACATGACCAGGATATCAAAGTCTGCACGCAGAAGGTTGGATAGAAATTCTTGCTCTGTAACATGTTCATTTTGCAGACCAGTCTGGAGGTCGTTCCAATCAAGGTCACCTATACTTTCGTCAACACAGTTCGGCTTCTTGTTGAGCTGGTTCGTTACCTCGCCTCCTCCACGACAGCTCAAGCCGTGGGCACGAATTATGACACGGCATGATTGGGAACCCTGAGCGCAGAGTGATTTCCCTAAATCTGAACTGCGGCTCGGATGAACTTGCTTGGCTTGTGTAGTTGAACGTGGTCGGTTGGGACTTGATGCAGATCTAATTTTCAGCTCTGGCGGGCCGCCCACACGTCCTCGGCGAGCCTGCATAAGTCACGAGACTTGTGGCTCCTCGCACTGTTCCTTGTACCACCGTATCTGCACACTTGCTGAAGGTGCATGTCACCAAGTAGCCCGTACAACAACTCCTCTTGAAAACAGGTCGGGTTAAACATGGGTGAGAGCTCGCGGTCCCTCTTTTGCAGCGCCATATATCAGCAAGACCTATAATGTTCCATGTCTCCAGGGACATTGATTTGGTGACTCCCGAGGTTGGATTTTCAACAGTCCGGTACTTGACCATGATGCTTACCAAATTCTGATCAACTTCAGCCTACGCACATGCTCGTTCCTTACACCGTTGACCTCGGCTTTCAAATACCCTAACGTATCTTCATGTACGGATTAGGAGCAATTAAAGACAATCACACAGCTGTTCTGGACTTCCGCGATGAATACAATGGTTATCTATTCAGATGACGGTCTTTACATAGCATTTAGCTGCCAGCTTTGCGGAGGACCGCTGTGTGCTAGTTCAGTCCTCTGACCATTCTAGGGTCAATTGAAGTTACCTGCCCAACCATGAAGTCGGGGAGGGCAGGCAAAGGATGACTGTGACGAAGGTCATGTATACCACGGAGAGGCTATCACGAAACCAGGTTTATAGCAGGTGTCACGATTCCGACCAGAAGCATAGAGTCGACGATTGAGGGTTCTTGGCTCTTGCTGGCCAGGACAATCTGGCTTCATGGTTATTTGAGTGCGTTGGAGCGTTTCAATATTTCAATCAAATCCCATAATCGTATATCCTGATATTCTCGTGCAGGCGACCATTGATGCCTAATACCTGCTCCACAGGGGCACGGTGTGATAGGACTGGTTATGCTAGGTACTTAAGTAAGCAACTGCAACTATTTATACATTTCCTCCCCCTACCCCTTTCCATTTCCTCCTCTTACCCTTGTTTATCTCTGGAGCTGCACAGTCCCGCATTGTCTCACACTAGGAAGCATTCACAACAAGTTCTCCTACGACACACGATGGAATCAATCGACACATTAACTGGCGTGAGCAGGGATGTCATGGTAGCAAGGCTCCGTGAGGTCGCACTCTATGCTCACCAACATCGCATCACGCTCGAGAACCTGACCACTGACCAACTCGACATCTTTCACCGCGCCCTGTCACGCACACTTGGCTCTGAACTGGCCATAGAAACCTTTGCGCAGATTGTCGACGGCCTACCCACCGCTGACATTGCTTGGGACAAGCGCTATCCCTTCATCTTCGGTGACACCCACCCCATTGAGGCGCACGTAACAATCTGTCCCGGCGTGGAAGAAAAGACCCGCACCTACCTCCAGCAATACGACCTGCACTCTCTCCTGTTCGACCCACAGGTAGTCCAGCAATACCAAGACGCTCCCATTGGCTCCAAAGCCTTTCATGTCCGTCTCATCGAGCTCGTCGCCTTAGGATTGCATCAGATCGCCGTGGATCTTTTCAAGCGGGAGGAACATCGCTGTCACACCCAGGAAGAGATCGACCATGTCAACAGCTGTAGTTCAGGGCCGCGTGAAGGCACCGATCCAGCCGTTCGTGAAGCCACGGTGCCGCCAAGGCCTACCCTCTTCAACCATCCTTTCTATGTCGATCTTGACATCTACCCTGAAGGCCTCGCGGATATTGTGGGGTACTGGGCTGAAGACCGCATAATCGGGGGTGTCGTGTTGTTCGACAGAAAGGCTGACCCGCGCGATCCCCAGGATCGGCCGACCATGGGTCAGGGCGAAGGCTCGGAGGTCGCAGGCGTAGGCACAGGCGTAGGTGGACAGAACCCAACCGGAGACCCGCCCAACATCTGGCTGCACTCCGCTCGCGACCGCGTCACATACCGGATATGCCAGCTTCACGACGAACAGCAAAAGGCACTCGTGGACTACCTGCTGGCCGCGCCGGGAGACTTGAGCAACCCACTTCCTGTGCTGCCCCATAAGGGCAACCGCAGGCGGATCGATCCTGACATTGCGCACACACACTTTCTTGTGTTTAGGGAATACTGGGATCGGAAGCCAGCGACGCAGGAGTTATTGGATTTCAATCGACGGAGGCCGCGGAACGAGGGCGACTACCCTGAGATTCGGGATATGTTGCACCGTGTTAACGCCGTGGAAAAAGAGTGGAAGGAGGCCAGAGATACCAAGAAGTTATCTCTAACACACAGACCTCGATCACAATAGATCTAGGTATAACTTATAGCTAATGATGATATAATGAATGGACTACATACCGTTCTTTGAAACGTGGAATACTAACTGGTTTCGCTTCTATTCCGCATATGCCCGCGGACATACACGGCGCCTTCAAACGGTAACAAACGCTCAAGACAGGATATATGTAGAGAAAATACCGTGTCTATAACTATAGTTAAAATACGATAGGTGCATGTGGCCTCAGCCTTGCGACGCACAGATACGGCTAAGGGGCACCATCTTGATGTGGAATACTAAACACCACGGATGACGTGAACAACGCCGAAGGGAACGCGAGCAAACTCGCGGATATTACTGCTAAGAATTTGCAGTTTAAGGTATTCAGACGGATCTGTCAACTGCTACGTAACAGACGCCCTGGCCAAAAGACCATAATTCCAAGTTCCCCAGACGTGCGATTCAGCAGTTATAAGTCCGTACCGTCACAGGCACAACTAAGAAAACGGAAGACTTTTTAAGAATTACCAAGTAACATTACTAAAATATAGATAAAGCATATGATAGTATTATCCTGTTGTTAGTACTATTTTTAGTACCTTAGAATGTATAAACGCGGAGTATACACGGTAAGTAAGGCCGCCCGAACGCTAACAACTATACATACTTACTTTCCTATTAATGTGAAAGATCAAGTCAGTGAGGAACACAGAATCGGCCGCAGCGCGCAGAACATCAAGATGCATATTCATGGTATCTGTTTATATAAATACGTCGTCGTCATTCGGAAAGCCCCAAGTGCACCAACAAGTCAAACCACCCACCCACCCACCACAACCCTCCGGAGACGCAAGAGAGCCACGCACACACACCCACGCTCAGGCAACCACCCCCCGCCTCCGGTGACAAATAGGACACCCCCCACGGACCCGGTCCCGCAACAGCCGCGCGTGCGTGACCTTTGTCCCGATCGTCCGCCGCCTGCCGCCGCCGCCGTGGCCCCCCTCCCCGCCGCCAAAGCCGTCGTGCCCAAAGTCCGCCACGTCGTGCAGGCGCTCGTCGCCCGGGTGCAGCGCCTCGAGCAGGTGGGTGAGGTGGTAGACGTGGCCGCACGCGAAGCCGACGAGCGTCTCGTCCTCCCACTGGGAGAAGGGCTCGAGGCACTGCGGCGCGGCGCAGTGGCCCGCCGCCCACTTCTTGGCCGGCTTCTTGAGCGATGCCGTCCCCGTGGCGGGCCTGTCGTCGTCCTCGGCTTTGGTGCTGCTGCCGTTCGTAGTGGGCGGCGCCGGCGCCGGGGGTTTGGTGGTGCCGGAGTGGACCGAGGAGGCCTTGTCGGACGGGGCGTCCTTTGCTTCCACGTCGACGTGGTCGTCCTGCTTGACCACGACCTCGAACTTGATCCCCTTCCTCTGCCCGTTGCGCAGCGTCGCCTGTGCGGCGGCCACCTCGCTCCTCAGCACCCTCGCCACGCCCTCGCTGATGGAGTACTGTATCTCGTGCTCCTTCATGATGTGCTTGAGGCCTTCCCTCAGGCCCTCGATCTCCAGGCCCTCGGGGATCCGCCTGACTAGGGTGATGGGGTTGATGGCTGTGCCGACCTCCTCCAGCAGGCCGCGGATGAACCGCGGCTTGTCCATGCTGTACTTGAGGAGGTCTTCCCAGAGGTCGGGGTCGTCGGCTTCCCTGGCGAAGGCGATGGCGCGGGAGACGTCGCGCAGTCGGTCTATTATCAGGTAGAGAGCGCGCTTCATCTGCCCCGTCTTGGAGTACAGGTATACCAGCTCAGGGATGTAATTGTGGTCCTCACATTCTTGCACCGCCTATCATCGCGTTAGCAGCAAATCCTTTGCGTTATATACTGGATGCGTTATGTTATCTGCGTGGAGAACTTACCTTTTCGAAAGCGTAAGACGTAGAAGATTTCAGGAAGTTCATGAGAATGGACTGGTCGAACTTGGCGAACAGGTGGACGGCCAGGTCTGCGAACCCGTCCACTAAGCTCTGGCTTTCCATTACCAGCCGATCGCGGTTCTCCCCGAGGTGCTCGCTGATGCCTTCGCCCTTGAACAGCGCCCTGAGGTAGAAGAAGAGGTGGATGTTCAGCTCCTTCTCTTGAAGCTGTGAGACAACAACCTCTGGCCGGACGAGTCCGTGCTGAGCTTCATCGACCAGGAGTGTGATGGCCTCACTCGTCGCATTCTCAAGTTCCTCCATGGACATGCTGTCCTCTTTGCCCGGCGGGATGCGCAAGGTCACAAAGCTGGGGATATCATCTGCCACAGCGTCCGCCAGGTGGCTTTCCTTGATGAGACGCATGGCCGAATCGGCGTCCTGCAGCTTAATGTAGCAGCGGAGGGCCTCCCTATGGCGTCCGTCGGCTTCACATAATTTTGCAAGGCTTCCCATGACAATGCTCCAGTCTCTTCCTCTGATCCCGTCTTGGTACGTGTCCGGTCTGACATCACGGTACTTGAGTTGGTTCTCAAGAGCCGTGGTGATAGTGTTGACGTCAAACAGGTCAGGGTTCCACCTCTCTAGCAGGTCCTTGAAACGCAGCTTGTCGTTCTGGACGTAGTGGTTCAGCACGACCTCGTATATAGTGGAGGGAATGGGCGGCCGCATCGGCTCGATGGGGATGAAGTTGGTGATCTCGTCAAACTTATTGGCGCCTGCGAAGATGTAGACCCACTTCTCCCAGCCCTCAGATGAGGTGAGGACTTTGCCAGCGACTTGGCCGGCCCTCTCCCACTCGCTCGCGCCGACAAGTTTTTGGAGCCAGAGCTCTCCGATGCGGCGCTTTTCCTTCTCTGCCAGCAGGTTCAAGGGCAGTCCGCCAAGTGTAGACGCGGTGTCGTCGTAGAAGTCATCGCTGCTGTGCGTGGGATGCGACCGAATGGGTGTCAGGGGCGAGCCCGGTTCCGCAGTACCGTCCGCCGCGCTGACAATTTCCGGGTTCTCATCGACAAGTTCCCAGGCCCGCTCGTATTCCTGTCGCTCCAAAATCCACGCCAGATGGTCAGCAAGATCTCGCTTCGAGGCCAGAATACAGTCATATGGACTGTGGACGAAGATCTTGGTGCCGGGCTTAGCGAGACTGGGGTGGACAGTCTGCACGGCCTGCCGCTGACCGAACTGCCGAATGCTGCCGGCGGTGCTGCCAGTGGCTACCCTGGCGCTGGATGCCCCGTCGTTGCTGTGCCCGCTCCGAATGCTAGCCGCCGAGCTGAAGAGAGCCTTTCCAGGCATCATGGCGACGTTCCACATGTCCACGCCGATACCAGCCATAGCCTCAAGATAACCCTTGGATGCAACCATGGCAGATGCCGTGTGTTGCGGCAGCACACCAAGATGGTAGTCGTTCGATGTTAGCCGTTCGAAGCGGCTGATGCTCAAGCTATCCCTGTCGATCTCGGCTTGTGAGACAAGATCGATCAGTCTGAGCTCGGGTGGTGAATTGTTCTGACGCTTTCGCACGCCTCCAGATGGCCCACCGGCCCCAGAGCTCGCTTCTTTCTGAGCCTTGTGGCCTTTGGCGGATGCCTTGCCTTTTTTGTGGTCATCGTCCTCGTCCTCGCCGGCTAGAGGATACGCTAGAACCAACAGAAGGCTCTGCGTGTATAAAGAGATACCGGATATGATACAGTCCATGCGAAGACTGAGAAAGTCAGCTCTGAAAACCCGGGGATACGTAGCTGGGCGCACTCACATCTTCACGATCTCTGCCCGACCAATTGTCTTTTGTCCTGCATCCTTCCCGACACCAACGCCACCTGCGTGGACGTGGATAATCCAGATGGTACCGCCCCATCCGACCAGAAGCCTTTCTACGTTCTTCTTCTCCTTGTTCAGACGGAGCTTGAGCTTCTCAGCGGCGGGAGAAGGCGCAGCGAATTCGTCCGGATCCTTCTCGCCGTCGGTGTCGGGGACTGCTGCTTCATCGATCCATTCCACGCGCCCCTTCCACACCCCAGCCATGGTTTCCCACTCGTCCGTTTGTGGTCGGTCAATATGGCCGATTCTCTTCCAAGCATCCTCATGATCATCACTATCAAGGTGCAAGCTTGACCGCATGATCTTGATGCCGTGCTCGTTAAGCCACACGACGTATTTCCCCGACAGAGAATATTTGATGGTGCTGATGATACCTTCTCCGGAGTGCAGGATGGTGTCCTTGCCGGTGTTGGATCCCAAGCCCATAGTCCCCAGCCAGCCAGACGCCGTGGCCGCCGCTGTACCAACAGTCGTCGAGGTGCTTCGGCCGTGGGGTGCCCCAACGGTGAGGACGAGACTACCAGCAGTCCCACCAGAGAGGTATGTCCGATCGTTCTTAAAGTCGGGTGACAAGGCCACAGACTGAACCGGCCGCGCAAAGTTCCTCAGCTGCACATCCTTGACGTCGACGAGAGACTGCACGCAGACATTGCCGTCCATGGAGGATGTGGCAATAAAGATGTTGTTGGAAGGCACATTTGGCACAGGCATGGGTTCTCGTGGCTTTCTCATTGTGGCGGCAGGGCTGGGTCCCGACTGTCTCGATTCCGGCCGGGAAGAGGTGCCTCCTCCAGCTGCAGCTATGGCCCGAGAGGCAACCTCTGGCTTGATGGGGTTCATGGGCGGCGGGTACGGCGAGAGTGAGACGCTCGTCACGGAGGCAGAATGGGCGTGGTAGACTCGAATGGATTGGAAGGCAGGCAGTTGGATGACATTCTGTTGGTGAGGGTAGGGTCAGCCAGGCAGGACTGGGCAATCCATGGAACGTGGAGCACCTACGATGTTGCCATTGTGCGTGCCTATGACCATCTTGTCCCCTGCCACGAGGAACGAGCTCGTTGCGTCTGCATTCTTGTAGACACCACTCAGATGCTGCGTCAGCCTGGCATACTTCAAGCGCGGCTCTTCGTCGTCGTCGTCGTCGTCCTCCTCCTCCTCCTCGTCCCCATCGTCGTCCTCTTCGCTCTCGCTCGACTCCTCCTCATCGCCGTCCTCGTCTTCCTCGCTCCCATCGTCCTGTGACTCGCCGTCACCTCCAGCAGTGGTCTCCCGGGACTCGGCACCGCCGGTGCCCTCCTCCACTGGCCCAGGGTTCGGCTGGTCGGCTGTGGCTGCTGCAGGACTGGAGGCAGTGGGGGCAGAAGTCGAGGAGGTGGCGGCGGCGATGTCTTGAGATTCATGATGGCTGTCATGATCGCCTGCACCAGGCGCAGGGTCCGTCATCTTGGGTCAGAGCCTGGTGGCCTGAACATGGCGCTCAACGTGGGAAGAAGGGCCGAGTTGGAGGAAGCTCATGCAGGGACAACGCAGGAGCTTCGAATAACTGGACCGGGGCAAGCTTGGTGCAGTACAGTGCAGTGCAGCTGCAGCTCGACCTGCCGAGACGTCAGAGGCGGCTCCAAGCTCCCAGATGGCCGGCACTTGGGGGAGGGGTGGGTCTAGACTTACCCCCACCAAAGCAGTGCACAAAGGGGGCGTGTTATCGGGAGCTTGACGTTTCTTATCAGCAACCGCGTCACGACGCGACTTCCCCGACGGCACCCCTCCAAGACGACAGAGGGCATCGCCCAAAACAGCCATTTCCTGCTCCCCTCCAGAGGCAATACACACAGCAAGGGGTCCGAAATTCCCCCTCGTCCTCACCCGTCGATGCCACCGATCAGACGAGCCTAAGCCGGAGCTCGATGGAGCCCCGTCCAGAAGATGGCGTCGGTCAAGTCTCTGGGCTTGCATCCGCCCTTGGGGATCGAAGGACAGCCTGTCGATGGAAAGCACACATGGGAGGTTGTCACGGACGAGGATGGCGAGGATGAGCTGCTGACGGTCGGCAATTGTGTCATCTGGAAGAGAGGAGGGCTGTTCCGCAAGAGCTTCAACCTCGAGATCGAGAAGGACGAGCCCATCCTGCAGGCACTGATTACACGCTTCCCTACCACCGATGCCGACCATAATGGCAATTTCTCCAACAAGAAGAGCATGGGCCACGCGGGTCACAAGGCACAGGCCGGAAGGAAGAGGGGCGGCCGCCGCAGCACAGAGGGCGACGAACCCCAGTTGGCCAAGGCGCTCGTCGTGTTCCTCAAGACACAGGCCCATATCTACTTCTTGTCCGGCACGAGCCATATCGTACACATGCCATTTGAGGTCGAGTCTGCCTGCGCTGCCCCTGTCGGCGTCATCATCCAGCGCAAGCCCAGGACCCAAAACCTAGCCCCCGTCAGCCTCAAGTTTCCAAGAGTCCCGCCAAATTCATTTGTGTCTTCCTACATCTCGCCGTCTCGCCAGCAGAATCAGAGCACCGCTAATTCCTTCTCCGTGGAAGGGTTGGGCCAGCCAAAATCACTGCCGCTTCATCTCAATGCCACCATGGAGAACATGTTCGAGACCCCGCTGGAGGCGAGTGACTCCCACTGGCCGAGGCTTGTCTGTCTGACCGACCCCTTGCTGGAGCTGGGTCTTGTTGTCAGCCATGCGCCGTCGTCAGGCCCTCCTAACTTTCGCAGTAGCTCTGCGAAATCACCATTCCTCGACTTGGCGGAGGAAATCTTGCATATCGAGACAGTCCGGGAAAACTTGACACTCGCCGTGACGGCAAACCGAGACCTCAACTTATATACAATCTGGCAGGTTGCCTACATAAAAAACGAGGATGTCTTCACAAAGCACCAGAAGAGAGGAAAGGCAAAGCCAGGGCGTAGGAGAAGCTCCATGCAGCCCAGGATTAGCAGCGGGGCCACAACACCCATCCTGCCCTCCTTCCGGGAGAGCTTAAATGCCCAGGCACAGCCGCCTGCCAGGAGAAATCGCAAGAGCGAGCGGCTGGAGAAAGCCAAGTCAGACGACATCGCCCTGGCGCTTGGCGAGGAGAACGAAGGAGACAAGATAAGGCGCCAGTCACGTAGGGTCAGCTCCTTGCTAGCTAGGGCAGACCTCTCGGCCTCCCACGAAAGGACCACATTTGCTGAGCAGGCAATTCCTTCGTCCCATGGTGAGAGCCGTCGCATGACTGGGGCGCGTGCCCGCCAGAGCGGAGGGCCAGGCCCCTTGAGCATAAGCACAGCGCTTAGCATGAACAACCTGGGCATGGGCCTGGGCCATCTTCTAGAAGCCCCGACACCCGACGATCTCCTAGATGAGCTGGGAGGTTTCCATGATATGGGGCTTGATGATCACAGCTTTGACGGACTCACGCGAGAGATTCTTTTGACCAAGGTCCACAGCGTCGCCATGGACAATTCTAATGTGCGCTACTCACTGTCAAACCAGCCTGCTCGCGCCCATTCAAAAGTGTTCATTGTCGATGGGCCGCCTTTTGCGACTGACGAAAATGGGAACCGAGATTTGCTTATATGTATACAAGACAAGCTGGACAAGCGCCTCCAACTCCTTCCGCTCCGAATCGAGTACCAGCAGAAGCCTGACACGTCAACGCACGATGGTGCACGGGCGGATGGCGGCCGTGTGATATCCAAGATCACGCCTGATGTGTTAAGACGGGCTCACAATGTTGCTGACTCCTGCAAGGTCTTTGATGGAGATCAGGCTATGATCCTGATCCTGTCCGAGAACACAGCCGGCCAGAGAGAGTTGAGTCTGCAAGCACCATGGAGCGCCATGTCGACACTTGCACTTCCCCTGTTGTACGCTGATAACCTGGGAAGCCTGGAGTACGCCGGCACACATGCCAATAAGGAGGTCAAATGTCGGCGCTCCGTTGGTGCCAAGCTGTCTGCCAGCGACATCACCAAGATCCGGCATTCTAGAACATCCGGAGTGGTTGATCTCGAGGATCACAGTGGCAACACCCATCGCGTCCAGATCCAGCTTCAGCCTAGGAGCCCCCAGGTACGCAACGTTCTTCGAACATGCCAGAGCGTGCTACCAGTGGAATTCTCGGAAAAGCTGCTAGCTACCTGGTGGCAAATTGTAAAGTGGACCGAGGAACAGAACGTCGAATCGTCTGACCCCGAATGGTCTTGCATGGCCATCGAGATTCTAAGCATATTTTTGTCACTGGCCCCTGATCTGAGCGTCTCACCTTCGAGGTCTACGCATCGTCGAGGGAGGTCGCTGGATCCCACCTCTGGCACGTGGGAGAAAATGAACGATTTCACTGCCCCTAATGCTTCACCCTGCCCGCCGTGGATGCAATCTCACGCGTGGCGATGGATGCTCGAGACAGAGATTCCAGACCTCACGCCCACGCAGCCATCCCCCGGCCATGAGGACTTCCTGACAAGACACATTCGTCTTGCGAAGCTTTTCATGTCCTCCCCTTCAGGCCAGGCTGCCTTTGGGTCCGCCGGCTACCTTCCGACGGCCACCAGCCAACGTCCCGAAGACCGTACCAAGGCTGCGTGGGGTATTGCGTACGGGCTGCACCTACTACTGGAGGAACAAAAGCTCGATGTTATGGTCTCCGAGTACTCCTCACTCGGCAGGGCAAATGTACGGGTCCTTCTGTGTCAGATCTACAGCTGGCTCGGGTGGCATGAGTTTGTAGCTCTTCATGAGTTGGGTGTGCAGGTCGACATCAGTCCCAGCAATCACCATGGTATTTGCGCTGCCTTGTGGATTAACTTTGCATATGCTGATAGTTCAACAGATTTGTCGAGCCTCGGCCTGCCAGGTCCGCCCCGCCCAGTTGGAGTTTATGACTGGATCCAATCGCAACTTACAGGCCATAAGGGTTTCGTGCTTCCGACACTCGCCGATGTCTACAGTGCTGTCACACTCCGGCACGTCAGCGCAGAGAATGCGCACCGCCGGTGGTCTTCGGTGATGCCACGCACCTTTTTGCTTAAAAAGTTCCTCGCGTCATTCTCTCCTTCAACATCACACGTTGAGGTCGTCGAGTTGATGCATAGATGCGGTTTCACTGCTGACGTGCTCGAAACGCTGCCCGAAGCGGTGCTTACACCACTGAAGGATGCCATTTCCATGTGCCAAGCAAGACCACCTTCAACCTGGCCAGAGGAGCTGTTAGCGCTGGTACACCGAACCGACATCGCCACGGTCCTCAAGCGACACCGCCCGCAGCAGAGCTTCGCAGCGAATTTGGCGGCTCCGTCCCACAATGCCACTCGGGATTACAAGGCAATATGTGCGACACTCGATCGATCCGCCGGGTACGGCCACTTGCCCAACGAGTCCGCAGAGCGCCAAGCAATAATCCATGCATTATTCAGAGAAGATCGACGCCTCATTGAGGCGGAGAACATGTTATCCACCAGACATCACAGGACCATCCAGTGCTTAGCTGATCCCAAATGGAGCGAGTCGGAGTATTTGGAGAAGCAAAAGGATCGTGTCACTATTGTGGCCACCAGCACCCTCGCCATCCCCGCAGGCCGCGGCCTGATGCAATTCGGATTGCGGTTCCCGCTCCCGACGGAGAAGTACGAAGTTATGGGCTTCAACCTCACCTGTCTGGTGAAGCCAACCAACATCCTTGTGAACGCAAACAAGTCTCTCTTCGTAGAGGACAAGGTCAACTGGGCCTTTTTCCACCAAGGCGCCGCCGCTGGACTTCAGGTCTCGCCACAGGCCAAAGGGATCGACAACAACTGGATTATATACAACAGGCCGGGTGGCGAGCCTAGCAATCGACATGCCGGATTCCTGCTCGCACTTGGCTTGAATGGCCACCTGAGGTCCATGGTCAAGTGGGTGGCCTTCAAGTACCTGACCACGAAGCACACGATGACTTCCATCGGCTTACTTCTGGGCTTAGCTGCTTCTTTCATGGGCACCATGGACAACCTGATCACCAGGGTCTTGACCGTTCATGTGACGCGTCTGTTGCCACCTGGTGCAGCCGAACTAAATCTTTCGCATCTCACGCAGACAGCAGGGCTTATGGGTATTGGCCTGGTGTACTGCCAGAGCCAACATCGACGCATGAGCGAGATCATGATGTCAGAAATAGAGCATGAGGCTGACGAAGATGAGGAAGACCCACTCCGCAATGAAGGATATCGTCTTGCGGCGGGCTTCGCGCTTGGGCTAATTAACCTGGGCAAAGGCACTGACCTTCGAGGGCTACATGACATGCGCTTGACTGAGAAGCTGCTGACGTTGGCGTCAACAAGCAAGAAGGTCGAACTGGTCAACGTGCTAGACCGCTCGGCCCCCGGTGCTGTTGTCGCCATTACGCTGATCTTCATGAAGTCAGAGGATCACATTGTGGCACGCAAGGTGGACGTGCCCGATTCGGTCCTGCAGTTCACTTATGTCCGCCCTGACGTCCTACTCCTGCGCACCTTGGCAAAGAACCTGATTATGTGGAGTCAGGTCAAGCCTACGGTGGAATGGATCAGGTCCAGCCTGCCAAAGGAGTACCGATGGCGACACATGCTACAAGGCCCACGGTCATTACGCAGCAAAGATATGCCTTTCTACTCCATACTGGCGGGCCTTCTGTTCTCGATGGGTCTGCGCTTCGCTGGCTCGGGCAACACTCAAGTCCGCGACTTGCTGGTTAAGTACCTGGACAAGTACAGGGACTTGGCGAAGCAGCAAGCCGAGAACTATGATGCCGAGCTGGCGCGCAACAATGTCCAGATGTGCCAGGACGTCGTCGCGCTGTCGGCCGCTTCCGTCATGGCCGGCACAGGGGACCTCGAGGTTTTCAGGAGGCTGCGTTCCCTGCACGGCCGAGACGATCCGCAAACCTCGTACGGGAGTCATCTAGCCGCACACCTGGCCATCGGCGCGCTGTTCCTGGGAAGCGGCACCGTCACCTTCAGCACCAGCAACCTCGCCATCGCGTCCCTGCTGATCGCCTTCTACCCCCTGTTCCCGTCGGGCATCCAAGACAACAGGGCTCACCTGCAGGCATTCAGACACTTCTGGGTCTTCGCCGCGGACTCACGGTGCCTGGTCTCCAGGGACATGGCCACAAACCAGCCCGTCAGCGTGCCAGTCGTGATCAAGCTGAGGACCCCGGCACCCCCGGCATCCAACCAGTCGTCCCCGTCCAAAACAAGAGCAAAGGGCCGACAGGGGATATCGAGACTGAAGCAGGAGCAACCACCAGTCACCCTCCGCAGAACCACGCCGTGCCTCCTCCCGCCCCTCGAGGAGATCTCGTCCGTCCGCACCGAGGCCGCGGCCCAGGGCTACTGGGACCTCGAGCTCGACTTTGAGCACAAGCCCGAGCTGGCGGCGGCGTTCCGCGACAGCCAGACCCTGCACCTGCGGCAGCGGCCGCTGCGCGAGGGCGTGTTCGGGGCGACGCTGCGGGCCCTGGGGCGCGAGACGTCTTCCCCCGCGGGCGCGGCGGGCAGCGACGCCAGGGACCCCCTCGAGTGGGTGTTTTCCCGGCCCGCGCTGGCGGGCCTGACGCACGCCGAGCGGGCGATGGTGCTTGACCGGCGGGGCGTGGGCGAGGGCGGGCGCGAGGAGGCGGCCGTCACGGAGGTGGATGCGCGGCTGGCGCTCGAGGGCGCGCTGGATGGGTTCAGCCGGGATGGGCTTGAGGGGCTTAGGTTGTTGTTTGGGTGGGCTGAGGCCAGGGGTGGGGATGGTGATGGGGTGGATGCTGCGAAAGGTAAGGGCAAGGACAAAGAGGAGGAGGAGGAGGAGGGCGGGGGTGGTGGTGGGGATGCTGAGGAGCGTGGGTGGTGGCTTCGGGATAGTGTTGTTGAGATGTTGAAGGGGAAGGCTTGGCTTGCTGCTTGTGAGGAGGGGGGCTGAGGGCCCGGGCCATGAGCGGGTGAGATAGATGGTGAGTAGGTTAGTATCATTTGGGGATGATTGATGATGGGAATACAGCAGACTTAATTTCAAAAAAAAATAAAAATTGTTCAAGACGTTGAAGGGCGTTGGTTTCTGGGTGCTCACTGCTCGACGTCACCTCTCTCGGCTTATTATGGTGCATTACGATGGTACGTGCCCTCGAGGGTATCTGGCCACAGTTACTCGGGCGTCAACGAGTCCCGGTGTCACGAACAAGCCACTGCACCATTGGTGCAACAGAGCGACGCAGCGATCTGCCATCGGCAAATTGGTAGCGTGTGGATTGACACCCGGCATAGTTGTTGAAATTTTTATCAGTTGATTGTGTTTGAGGACTAGGTCTCTATGTGCCAGACACGGCTAAGTAATATGTACAAAGGAAACCACAAGGCCGTTCAACTCCGTCTAGCTCTGAAAGCAGGGGTATGTATATCATGCGCCGTCCCAAGAAATAATGACCCCCCCCCCGCCGTCACACAAATCAGAATGTTGTTGGTGTTGTTGTTGTTGATGCAGGCCGCAGGCACTTTCTAGTGTTCCATGGCGGCGACGTTGGTCCTCTTCAGCCTCAGGTTCTTGTCGTACTTGAATTCTCGGGAGCCGGTGTATGCGGCGAAGGACAGCTGGGAAAGGGAGAGGGAGAGTTAGCAGTATGTACTTAGGTAGGGTTGTTTGGCGGATGGCCAGGCGAGAGGGTGTGTGTGGGGGCAGGGGGGGCGAGACGGGGAGGCTTACCATGCCTACTGGCAGGATCAGGATGGGCAGCACCTCGACGGGTGGGGCCATGGGACTCTTTGCCAGGCGCTGCAGGAAGCCGGGAGCCGAGCGGGCGGCTTGTTGGAACATTTGTGGGGTGGGACGCATGTTGGTTGGTTGGGTTGGTGGTGTGTGGATAGTAATAAGTGTGAAACACAGTAGTGAAGTGTTCGAGATGTGTGTGTGTTTTGCTTCTCAATAGGATGGTCTGAGAACGTATGGTATGTGAGTATGTCTTCAAAGTTGTGTGTTTTCAAAGCCAATGTTGTGTGATGGTGAGACAAGAGTGAGGTGGCAAGCGGCATATCCTAGACCTAATATACACTGCAATCACTCTACGTAGTTCCTATTCCCGTGCCACCAACGAGGCTCTCGTCCCGGTATTTCTCACCTCGTGGTTCGAAGGTGGTTTGCTTTGTGCCGCCAGGTGGCACGCCCATGGTGTGAGGTCGCGCGCCCACGGCCTGCGGAAGCATCCCACCGTGGCGTGATGTTGGGCCCTCCACGGCCGCGGGAATAAGCTGCTCGGCCCAAATAGGCGAGGGGCAGGTCGGGCCTGGGGCGTGTCCTCTTTTCAGGAAATCCTGCTGATGGGTGGCCCCCACGGGAAATACAGGAGGGCCGCTGCGGCTCCCCTGTTATGACTCGGGAATGGTTCGTCGGGTCGCTTCGGGACCCACCTGTCACTAAACCTTCCCCGGATCTTGTTCGCTGTCACCAGTTTGTCGGGTCGGGACCTGCCACCCGGCGCACTGTAACCTGCCACACGTGCAGTGCATGTTTGCATGTCGGGTCTGTCTGCATTGAACGTGGAGGCCGTTGCCGGCCGTTGCCAGTTGTCGTGAACGACACTCAGGTGTATGTTTTCCCATGTTGGATTACTGTTATCGGAAACCCCACCATCGATACGGGCCTGTCCAATGTTGCTCTCTGTCGCCAAGTCTTCGTGGCATCACAGAAGTGGTCAGCCGTTCTAACCACGGGCAAGCAGCTATGACGAGAATTCTCGTCGACGTTCTGAATAATCGTATGATACTCCATTGCCCAAATCTTTGCTATGGCCATCCTATGAACTCAAACGCATACATAGACCCCCCCCCCCAAACAAAATGGATTTGCGAGTTTAGATACTCCAGTATCCGTCAATTCAATGACTTTTCAAATGTGCTTGAGTCACATGAACCACGCACAAATTTTGCACCCTCCTAATCGCTGAGTCCCATAACCGCACTCGAACCATACTGACATTGGACGTCATTGATGTATGCAGGGGCCTCTGCCACAGTGCTCACAAGCAACATACCAACGCTCGAGCTTTAGGCCTTTTGCTTGATAAGTGGACGACCCGTGGAATGCTACCGCGCGAAATGATTCTTTTTAAATTATAGTTTATTACGATAGAACTGGCAATATTATTTTCTATAAAGTTGGGGATTCGCATTTGGGAAATCGAGGGGAATACCCCATCCCTATATAACAACCTCCTATATAACAACCCCTATAAGACAACCCCTTTAGGACAAGCTCCTATAAGAAGACCTTCTATAGAATAAATCTTATATAAGATACCTATTTAAACATTCTAATACTTAGCTTAATACCACACTACCTAAAATATCCTACACCTTCTCTAGCTTAACTTACTATAAGCCTACCCTAGGTAGTTAGCCTTAATAGGTGTACCCTTTGTTTTTACAGGTACCTAGGTGTAAATCTCTGATCCTATATTGAAATGGTCAAACCATTGATTGGCTGTGGGTGGGTCAGCGCCATTCTATCAATCAACGACGGAGGGGATTTATCTCCCTTGCACCTGGCAGTCGTACTTGTACAGCTCTTGTTGCATCCATCTCTACTTCACGAACCGAGCTTCATGTTGTTGACCGACATGTAAGGACTGTGTTAACGCATAACCCGGCAGTTTTAACGTGATTCGTTCTTGAACCTGGAGCCGACGCGAGCCCATTATGCTATTGACAGAGAAACCAGTAGACTCACATCGGCAACGAAACATCGCCACTCAATGTTGTATGAACTGCCTGAGCTGCCAATAAGCATGCCCACGTGTCCTTTAACCTCAATTTTGTCCACCAAACTTTGTCATTTATACTGTCAATGGGTATTCTGTACATTGTTTTTCCCTCAGTTTCTTACACTTCGTGCCAACGGCCATCCCCTTTACCCGACCCCAGCGTGGGAACCTCTTTCCGCTACTAGGCGCCCCGTTGTGTTATCGAATCCCGTCTCTCGGGATATGAATGTCCTGTCGATCTCAAGTCTGCCCCTAGTAGCCACTCTATTCGTTTGCATGGTAGATTTCACAAAGGATTCGGTTAGTTTAGACCAATCTTAGATCGTCTCGTCCCACCTAGATGTCCCTAATCGGACCACCTAGATGTCCCTAATCGGACCAAACGGGCATCAAGAATAACGCGAACATCCACAAAGGGAAGAACTTCCAGGTGAGAATGTCCCCTCTCCGTGTCCTATTCAGAAGCATGTGTCCTGCCATGACCGCCCCTGCAGCACTCAATATTCCTCCTTTCATGAAGCTTAAACCCCAATATGCAGCCGCTATGCATGTCCAGCCAAAAATGCCTACCACGGCGATAAGTCTGGCATTCATTTCCCCCACCATGCTGGGAAGGGTCTTCCTCCCAGCCGCCCTATCTCCCTCCAGGTCTCTGAGGTCTTGAGCATGGCTAGTCGTGGCAATAGCTGCCATGATCATGAGCACCCAGACCGCTGCATCTCCCTTTCCAGACAGGATGGAACGCCCCGTGATGACCTCGAAAGGCCCGTAAAAATAGGAGCCGATGCCCATCCCATTGATCAGATTCTTGACAATGGGGTTGGAAGCCGCACCTCGATCGTCGTACCAATATGATAAACATATGATAGAGATGCTGGGTACTAGACCACCGACCCAAAGTGATAGAAGCAGCACCGTAGGGCGCATGCACTGCAACAAGCGGGTTGCGGAAGCTGGTGTGAGACGTCCGGACGGTAGCGGTCTCCAAGGTTTGTTGACCATGTCCTCCTTGATGGACGATTCACCCCGTTGGTTGCTCAGGTTAAATACCAGAAGGTTTGTCCAAGACCAGAGCAGCATCTTGGGTAAGGACGCTGAGATGGCGGCTAAACTTTGATCGGGTCCCATTGAGAATCGTGAGGCAACGTATGCGCTAAGTGAAGCAAATAGGATTCCTGGGAATATGACGTCTATGAAGTTGTTGCAGGTAAATAAGTAGAGAGTATGGATGTGATATCTCGGAGACGTGAACACTTGAAGCAGGTCAGGACTAAAGAAATGCCATGCATTGTAGATTGTCCTGTCCTTTAGACTGTCCTGTGGACAAGACGATGACTGTTCCATCTCAAATGAGTTGGGGAAAAAAGAAGCGAAAAAGAGAAAACCCGCAGCGTCAATGTTAGAACTGATTCACGATGCATAAAGGCTTCGGAGCGTGGTTCCGACCAAGGTGACCACAGTTTTGGATGGGATTAACGACTAAGTATGCCGATATTTTCACGGACAGGGCCCAGAGCCCTTGAATTCGGTCCAACTGTTAGCCGTAAAAAATCCCGCTGTTGGTGCCCCCACGTCTTATTTCTTTACCTAGGCATGCAACTTGGCAGATCTGAACTGGCAGCCGGCGCCAGCATTCTATGCCCGAGCCAAGGGTCCCTCACCTCCCGGACCCCCCCCCCCCCCCGGGGTTAGTATTCATAGGTCTGCTTCAAGAAAATCTCCGTGCCCTGATGTTTCGACGAATTGTGATTTTCACTCAAGAGATGAAGGTGAAGCCTCGACTCAGCCTAGTAGGGCTGAATCAGGGGGTGGGCGGAATGTCAACACGGCACGGCAGCTCACGGCAGCCCATCCTGGCGGCCGCACCTCGTCTTTGAAAAGAGCATTTGGCTAGGGATCGCGAGGGATTGCACAAATACTGGGCTGCCTGAAAAGCTGACTGTCACGGAAAGACGTGTAGGAGCTGGTAGCTTTGTCGCCAACCACTCCTATTCGCGGATCTGCGGACGAATCCTCCGGTTGAGAGCGCTCACATGGGACGATGATCACTTAGCCGCATATGCGACCCGTTATTACACATGCATGCGCCCCTTCCTACCGTAACGCAAGGCTGGGATATCTGTGGCAAATCTGCCTGCCATGCCCATCTTAGTGCGACAGACCCGGCGAGATGTTGGCTTTGTTTCTGTCTAGATCATCGCAGGATAGCTGGTAGCCCACCCAGCGGCTAGGAAAGTAAATTCAATAGTGCAAGCTTCTGGTCCTACCTAAGTAGGGAGGTAGTCTGCAATTGCGGCAGGGTCTGGCTAACAATACCAAGGCCTCTTTCTTTTTCTCCAACACCCTGGGCACGAGGCTCCTCCCCGGACACGGATCATTATCCCAGTCTTCTGTTGGTCTTACTTGCATGGCACTAATGCTAGTTCCCATGTATTGTCACCAACCTGAATGCTACTCCATGTTCCCCTCATTACAAGTCTACATGTAGAAAAGCAGCTAGCTCAATATGCAATTATGTGGTCCAACGAGTGAGCATCCAAGTAGAAGCCAACACGCACATGAGATGTTACAGGCTCCCAAAAAGTCGATGCAGCGGCGGTTACATTCTGTCTCTGCCCCGCTTACACAGCCAAGACAGCCTGCTGTGCTGTGCCTCCTGTCTCAAGACGGACAGTTGCTGATGTTTGCTTTGCAGTCCCCCACGTCGCTTGGGCCGCCCAGCTAAACACGGCCTCCGAAATAAAAGGTTCTGTCGATTATAGAGACCACTTCAACATCGTAGACTACCGAGACCCTACTCTGGTGTCTTTGATTACCAACATTGAAGTCAATCTGAAGCTACTTTCACCTCCCATTCACAACAACGCAGCCATGGCTACCGACGCTTCAAACGGCACTTCTTTGGATTTCACAACATTTCAAAATGTCATTGATGGAAAAGTCGTTGGCACAGCCAAGACGCGACACACCGTCAGCCCTTCCACTCTGGAAGATAACCCGCCACTTCCTCTAAGTACGTCCGAAGACGTGGACAAGGCAGTGACAGCAGCCCAGAAGGCAGCAACAGAATGGGCTCAGGTCCCCTGGGACGCGCGAAAGAAGGCTTTGGAGGGCTTCATCGAGGCCCTGGAGGCAGAAGCGGAGGGTTTTGTGCAGATGCTCAACAAGGAGCAAGGGAAGCCGGTTAGTGGCCACATCTGCACGTACTGGTTCCCACTTTTGACATCCTGATCTAGCTCCTGTGGGCTCGGCATGAGGTTTCCATGGGGGTGAGCTTCCTCAAAGGCTTCTGCGGCTTGTCTCTTCCTGAGGAAGTTCTTGAGGACACGGCCGAGCGCAAAATTACCACACACTACACGCCTCTTGGTGTGGTTGTCGGGATTGTTCCTTGGAACTATCCTGTCTTCCTTGCGTGTGGGAAGATTGGCCCTGCCCTGCTGACCGGAAATGCCTTCATACTGAAGCCGTCCCCGCTCGCTCCATACTCTGCTATGAAGCTTGTTGAGCTTGGGGCGCGCTTCTTCCCCCCGGGCGTTCTCCAGGCTCTGAGCGGAGATAACGACCTTGGCCCTCACTTCACGGCACATCCAGGCGTAGACATGATCAGCTTCACAGGTAGGTCTCTATCTGATCACGCGGCCGATCGATATGAGCGAGTACTAAGACGATAATCATAGGCTCTGGTCCGGTTGGAAAGCTGATCGCCAAGTCGTGCAGTGCGACCCTCAAGCGAGTGACGCTCGAGCTAGGTGGTAATGATCCTGCTATTGTGTGTGCCGACGTCGATGCGGCAGCCACGGCTGGTAAGGTGGCATTGTTTGCGTTCTGCAACTCGGGCCAGATATGCATGGCCATTAAGCGTGTCTATGTCCACGAGTCGGTCTATGACGAGTTCTTGGCTGCCCTGGTGCAGAACGTGAAAGCTCTTCAAGTTGGCGTGGACGAGACCTCGTTCCTGGGGCCTTTGGCCAACGAAGACAACTTCAAGCGTGTCAAGGGCCTGCTGGGTGACGTTGAAAAGGCTGGACTGAAAATCGCAGTTGGGGGGACCCAGCCAATTGCCGACAGAAAGGGCTTCTATCTCCCCGCCACCGTCATCGACAACCCACCAGACGAGTCGGCTATCGTGGAGCAGGAACAATTCGGTCGGTATCTCACCTTTTCAAGGTCATTTTCACCGCTAATAGATGGCAGGACCCGTACTCCCTCTGCTGAAGTGGTCAGATGAGTCCGACGTCATCCAGAGAGCGAACAAGACCGAGGTTGGGCTCGGTTCTTCTGTGTGGACTCGGGACGACGAACAAGCCACACGCATAAGGAAACAGCTGAAGTCTGGAAATGTGTGGATCAACACACACGCTGAGATCGTCCCCAACGTCCCCTTTGGAGGTCACAAGCAAAGTGGACTCGGCGTTGAGTGGGGCGTGGAAGGGATGAAGTCCTACTGCAACTTGCAGGCTGTGTTCACCAGACCACACGCCTGAGATATCCGAAGGTTCGAGTAGATAATGTACATTGTTACCCATTTTCTATGCTCGGTGCAAATCGTTGTGGGCTACCACTCACTGGTGGACGCAAGTAGGGCTTCGGAACATTGAATGATGTCAGATCTTTAAATCAGTCCTCGGGATCCTTTCGCTTTTTTGGCGGGACCAAAAACAAATCAATTACAGCGGCCGCTTTATCAACATCCGAGTTGGTGTTGATTTGTTCCTAGCGTAAAATTGTCAGGTTCCCGCACGAGCAAGGGTTGTTCATTAAACTCTGAGCATTTAAGCAGGGTCTTGTTCATGTGTTCAACACCAATGGTCAGCCATGGAACACTGATGACCGATCTTCTACCTGGCCATCTGCTGCTGGGCAGATTGGTATTCGGGCTTGTTCATGGGAACAGGTTATCCTGGTTCCATGGCTGCTGTGAACCCAATGCCAGTGACGTGTCCAGTTCTTTTCGATACATAATGACCACCTACCTAAGTAGTTATCCGACACGACTAGTAATGATATAATTAGGACAAATACGTTGCATGGCTTCTTCCCGAGGGTTCTCGCAAAAAGGTCCAAATGCAGAATACTGTATGCACATTGGCTGGTTCTGGAATCCTTGGCAAATTCGATGCTCACCCAGCCTGCATGCCTAGGTACATGCATGCATGCATGATGCATGGTGTGCACACTCCCAGGACTCCCTCTCCATCTCAAGCGAAGCTAACATTTGAACCCGGCCCAAACCACGGCTCTGGCCGAGTGGATGGATCCTCAGCGCTCAAGTGGTGGGTGATATTGTTGGCCACTAGTGTAGGAAGGAAGGATGGCAGTAAGCGCGCATCCGCCATCTGACTGTGTCTGCTGTGTACCCAGAGAGGCATGGACTTACACGGCTGACGGTCAAGTGCTTAGCCAAATGCTCCCCAAACCCCAATGAGGATTGCACCGCGCCGCACACCCGCAGTAGAGGCGCATTGCAGCCTGCAGTCAATCAGACGACTAGCAAATGAGCAGCGAGTACATGTGGCTGACAGATTAATTTTTTTGACGCTGAAGTGCGCGGGTGCCTCTTTTGCCATATGGCATCTGTGGGAGCATCCGGGACACGCCGCCCCGAGAATAGATTTTTATTTTCCAAACAAGGACCAGGCCCGGCCTGGAAGTCGTGGACTGCGCCCACGACATCCAGAAGTCCTCGCTCAGTCCTGAGTTGCCAATTACTCAGGCTTGATTTCTGCAAAACCCCGTTCGGCTCCCTACCCGCCCCTGATCGGGGTCCATCTGGGAGTTGTCAGCGCTGATTCAACACTTTCCATTTTCACCCTGATTACTCTGTTGTCGCGTGGTGGAGAAAATGCCAGGTCCCACTCTCCCAACACCTGAGGAGGTGGCATACATGCAAGAGCATGCGAGCGACAACATCGTCCCCAATCTCATCGCCTGCGCTACGATATGTCCCATTTTGGCCACAATATTCATTGGTTTCCGCCTTTGGTCCCGCCGGATTAACCACGGCCGTTTGAGACTGGAAGCCAGTGATTACCTGTCTATTGCTGCTTGGGTATGTGTTTCAACTCGATCACGACTGAGTTGCTCAGAGGCTTACAAAGAACAGGTCTTTTACATACCCTATAATGTTGTCATAGGCTTGATCACTCGGTACGGTGCTGGCCGACACATCCTTTTTGTGACGAATCCACGGATGCTTCAAATTGTCAGTACTACTTATTATCTCATTCAACGTACCTGGACTCAGGGCAAGAGGAACTAATCACGGCAACTGCGGATAGCTGGTCATCGTCGACGAGAATCTCTATGCCGTCATCTTGGCATTACTCAAGTTCAGCATCCTGAGCCTGTACCGAAAGCTTTTTGGTAGCACGCGTTGGCTGTACATTCTCACATGGGTCATGACTGCCTTGGTCGCCGAGTTGGCGCTTCAGGTGATCATAGCTACAAATTTGCAGTGCATTCCTATCGCAGCTACCTGGGACACGACGGTCAAGGGTACTTGCATCAACTATGGGGTGGAGGCTCTTGTGGCTTATATCATCAACATATCCACCGACATTACAATTTTGCTGATGCCGATCCCGGTGGTTCGGAGACTTCAAGCCTCAAAGTCTAAAAAACGGGGCCTGTTGGCTGTATTTGCTGCCGGTGGGAGGTAAGACGCTCATGCCAGGCCCGTTTTTATTTCGGTGCTAACCTGTTCCTGTCAGCGCATGTATCGTGAGCATCGTCCAGCTTCGCTACATTACAAACCTGGGCAGTACTGCAGATGCCAGCTGTGAGTGATGCCCTGAGATATTGACGGGATTTCGCACGGAGGCTAATTCATTGTGTCGCGATCCTTAGGGAACAATATGCCGTCAGTTTTCTTGGCTGATATAGAGATCATGATTGGGTTCCTCGCGACTTCAATCGCGACATATCGGCCGCTGTACCGCCGCATTTTCAAGGGCATCGTACCGACAAACATGAACAAGTACACGCCGGAGTACTCGTCCAACTCGAGACGTAACAACCATGTGACAAGGATATTTGCGGGTGGAAAGCACACAGACCACACGTCGAGCACAAATACCTCACATGGCATTATTGTGACTGACCAGATTGAACTTATTCACACAGCACGGCCGGCAGGATCCTACGACGGTACTACTGATGGGCAACACACACCGATGTAGAGAATTGCGAGCACTTGACGTTGACAAATTTGCTGTGGTGGTAATTTGGTACGATATATATTTATAGCCAGGATACTGATGGCTTTTTACGATGTGTAATTCTACGATCTGTACAATCTCCAAGGAAGCAAAGAAAACATTGCTTTCACTCCCGGGTTACCGCGAGACTACTCTTGTATTTGGCATAGATCTGACACAAGATGCTGGTCCGCAGGCATGAAATCTCTAATCAAACAGTCGTACCCGTTTTTGCAACGCTGTCTCGTTCAGGGAACCTTCCCTCCCACAAGGCCCCCCTTCTCTATTCAGTACATCGCTCGCCCTGTCTTGACCTCACCCACGAGGAGCCCTGAATCCGCCATCCCAGCCACCAGGTCCACCAACATCTTGTCACACCCAGCAGCCGCCATGACGCCCACGGTCACCGGCAGCGTCTCATTGCGCCGCGTGACCCTCGAAAAATAAGCCCGCTCGCCAATGGGAATCGCGTAGTCGGGAGCCCCCGACAAGACGCTCATAAAGGTCGCAGGATAGCTGCCGCCGAATACCGGACTGGGCGGTTCCGGGTAGATATCGCGGTATTCTTCCAGTCCGGCGCCGAGAGGGTATACAAGAACGGCAGACTCGCAAGTTGGTAAGACGTGCGAGTTGAACCAGTCCTTATAAGTCTCCACTCGCGTGAGGGCATCGTCGTACAGGGCTTGGGTGAGCGTTTCTCCCCGCTCGATGCGCGATGCTGGCACGGGGCCTATGTAAGGTGACCGCCCGAACCTGGCTTGGTACGCGGCGTTGAAGGGCTGCCACCACAGCCTCACTTGGTCAAAGTTTGTTATGTTTGAGTACGCCGATTGGAGGTAGGGCTGTATGCCCTCGGGGTGATTCGTGTGTAGCTTGAACGAGCTGTTGGTGTCTACTTTGTCGATCGTAGCGTTTAGGTACGATGATAAGTGTGACAGAAAAGACTCGAAAACAGGCATGGATGTTGCATTCTCCGTTGGCCAGAACTCGGTTGGCAGAATGACTCGATTTGGCAGATGTGCGTAAGGTTTGCTGGGGAACCAGTTTGTATATGCGGTCTGCAACAATAAGGCCGATCGTGATAGAAGACCCGGGACGTCGAAGATTGGAGACTGCGGTAAGATATGCGTGATCGGAAGACTCCCGTTTGTGGGCCTTAGGCCGAAGAGACCGTTGGCTTTTGATGGTAGTCGGATCGAGCCGCCTGTGTCACTTGCCGTGCCGAAGTCGACCCAGTCGTACGAGGCCACGCCGGCGCCGGTTCCACAGGAAGAGAAGGCAGGGCTTTGGTAGTTATCGCCGCGGGGGTTGAACGGGGCGATCTGGTCAACGAAGTCACTGGCGAGGTTAGTCTGTATCAATTCAATGCAGGAGTACCCCACACTTACGCGGGCACTTCACCCAGTGCTACCTGGGTTGTTTTCACTGTTCCGATGACAACTGCGCCCAAGTCGATGAGCCTCTGTAGACTCGGGGCACTCTCGCTTGCGGGATCGTTCAGCTCGCGGATGGCGCGCGAACCGGAAACGGTGCGGATGCCCTTCAGATCGTAGTTGTCCTTGACTACTAGTCGCTTGCCAGATAACGGTCTCTCCTTTGAAGGTGGTGGATAGTATAACCTCGACGGTACAGCAACGCTTAGTGCTCCATTGGCATCGGTCTCAACCGCTCCAGTCAGGGGAATATAAGATCCATTGGGCCCCTCGGTGACAGGCGTCTCGAACGCAAAATTGTGGTCTCTGTATAACCGATAAACCCTGGTGATCTTTCCAGATGGGTGGAACAAGTAGGGTCCGGACGGAAGAGATTGGTCGCGATCAAAGTAATTCAAAACCTCAGCTCCAATGGAATCAAAATACTGCTCTGCATCCTCTGATAACTGGTGAGATCTCTCGCTGATTACAACTGCTGAGAGAAAGTTTGGCGAAAAGACGTCATCTCTCTTTCCGAAGTCTGCTATCACTGATTCGATTTGGCTCGCAGTCATAGAGTTCCAGTTCGATGATGAGGAGAGAAGGGTCCCTGGTGTAGGATAATGGATATATTGTGACCATTCTGCCGCCAGATTTCCAATGGCTTCGTCCGGTGAGTAATATGATGTGCCATTTAGTTGGAAGACAAAAGAAGCCTTTGCAATGGTCAGGAGCGCAAATAAGAAAATGCTTCGCACCATCGTTGAACCCATCTTGACAATCACTGGCAAAAGGACACGCAGGACTTTCTGAAGCATTTATCCACGTTTTGTGAGCTCGCGGAGCCTTTAAATGGCTCTGCCCTCGTCCGATACATCCAGACGGTTACGTATTCACAAGGAACGGAAAAGCGCACACACTGAACACACATATCTTGTATCAGGCTCCCGGTAATGCACTATGCCGGCAGGCGGGCCAAAACAGGCTTCACCCCGTTCATATTACAAAATTTATGCACGCCGAGACGTCGAGAAGCGGAGACAAAATGCTGTCTTTGGAATGCGACAGGGTACAAAACCGGTCAAGAGGACTTTTCTCTTCGGAAATGTCAAGTGGTCTCCGTCTTTTCCTTCAACATAATTTCCATGATCGGCATTAAACCACCGGAAACTCCTCATCCCTCCTCCTCCATCCTCCCTCCTCCTTCCTCCTTTCTTCTCCTCCCTCTTCCCCCTCACCCCTTAAGGTGTAGGCACCGGCACCTGGCAGATCGGCGTCCCACTGCATAAATTCCCGCCCGACCCTGCCGCCCTTCAGGCTACCTCCTTTGTGATGATACAATGATCACTTTTATGAACAATTCCCCCAGGTAGGTCTCCTCGCTGTCCGTCCTCATGGAAAGCTCTCGCCAAATACAGCATGCGGCTATTGATTAGCGAGGCCAAGTAGTCCAGATTATAGGTGCAGCACTTAAGTACTATATTTAACTTAATACATCTCTATTATTTCTCTTTTTCTTCATCTTGTTTTTCCTCCTTTTACTTACTTTAATATTTATTTACTTTAATATTTATTTACTTTAATATTTATTTACTTACTTTTTAATTTATTTCCTTTTTTACTTATTTATATCTTTATTTACAAACTTTTATATTTATTTAACGTTTTATTAATCTATATTTTTATTTATATTTTTCATTACTTTTTAAATAATTTAATAATTAAGTAAGTGTTTAACTTATATTTAAACACTATATATTTAAAATGTATATAGCACGTTTATATGGTAATAAACACCTAAGACCTAGCTTTTATTAAAAAGAAGAAATATAGTGCTAATAACAGCCTAAAGATGAGCCAGACCACACCTTTGGATTCTTGATGCCGTTCCAACGCCTTCTTGCCAGAGCGCCAAACGCAACATCGCCCTTCAATACCTATGTGAAATATTTAGCCCTTTATGCTAGTTGAATATCTTGTTAGAGTCCATTTTCCTCATGAAGACTTGACTCACTTGCGTGCGCGGACATTTTAGCCAAACTGTTGCACATCGAGGATGGATCAAACAAAATGGCGCGTTGGAACTATGATTTCAAGCTTCAGCTGACAGGTATAAATGATTTCAAATGTTTCCTCTATGGTCTAAACGTGCTATAAGTGTCGCTCCGAGCTAGAATCCTTTCTTCGTAGTGATCATGTTGCGCCTTCACTCAAGGAAATGCGTGAGTGAAGACTTGCTTTCCACTCTCATCATATCTCTTTGGAATGACGTTCTGAACTCCATCGATGTCGCGAGGCTCAAAGTCCAACATCGCAGCAGCGCAGATGAGAACATCAAGTCCAAAGTTCTCCTTCAGCCAATGCGCAAGCATATCCATCCCAGAGACGGCGCCGCCCGCAGTCCAGATGTTGCCATCCACAACCCACTTCTTCTCAATCGTCCACTCAACCTTGGGGTACATCATCTTCATCGGCTCGTATCCCAGGTTGTTGATGGTTGCCTTTCTCCCGTCGAGGACACCGGTCATTGCCGCAACCGCAGCGCCGGTGCAGTTGGTAAAGAGCGTCTTGCCCGCTGCAACATGGTTCCGGATAAAGTCGGCCAGCTTGGGGTGCAGATTCAAGGTGGACGGGTCGGGCCCCCCGAGCAGCAGGTAGTCCAGCTCGGGGCACTCGTCCGCCGTCGTGGTGGGCACGATGGTGAGAGAGCTCGTGGCCAGGCGGACGGGGTCCAGGGTGGCTCCGATGTGGTGCACCACGATTTCCGGCGCGCGAGCAACGGTCTCCTCGCTGATATGGCTGAGGGCGCTTATTTGTTGCAGGTATTTCTTGTCCGCAGAACTGACGAGATCGGTTATCCCCAGCACGTCGATGGGCTGATACTCGAAGACGAGACAACCGAAATGAATGGGCGCCATCTGAAGAGAAAGTTTGGTAAAGGGGAAGGGGTAGTTGATTCTGGGAAGTTAAAGCTCTAAGAGAAACTTGACAGTTATGAGTATATGTAATTGCTGATAGGTTGGGAGTTCATTTTCAGAGGACTTGGATGCTATATATATAGTGATGTGGTCAACAGGATTCTTATTGGGATTCTTACTACATTCTTGGCTCAGGTTAAGAGCCGGGACAGTTCGGTGGTTAGAACGCTCGGAGCGGATGTCAGCACAAGTGGATCATTGCGCGTGTACCGCCGACGATTGGCCACGTCAAAGCGCAGATTCCCACTATATTCCTGCGACAAGCTAAATTCAAAGTCCCGAGACTGGTCGGGCCTTCCAGCAGCGTGGGATCTTCTGAAACGCGGAGGCTTTGTACAAGGAAAATATAAAAAAGGATTAACGTTGAGATCGGGAATTCACGCCCGCAAACACGGAGGGCACACTCGAGCCCTGTCCCCACAGGACAACATCTTTTAAGATAATTAGTCAAGTGTTCATTTGAAGACTGTGATCTCTAAGTTATTCTTTACTTCTCCATCCATTATTTACAACAATTAGTTACCTAGGTAGGCAGTGGCCGTAACGAGTGTACCCTCTATGTCTATGGGCGCGAATCTCTGATCTCACACCGGTGTCTTGAGTGGAATTTGAGTTGATAAGTAATATGTATTCGAACAGATACTAAATTACTAATGACTGTAACATTTTTCAAGTCTTCCCATGTTCTATTAAGGATGTATTTGATTTTGATAGGGTACACCTGTGCTGTCTGAGGTTGATTCCACTGCTAAGCACAGTCATCGTCAAAAGCAGCCGTCGATGATGAGCCTGGAGATGTCCCCCTTTTTCAAGTCCTATCATAATTGAGCAGCAGGTTACGGTGATTGCTCAGAGAAGACGTGTTGGAACACATAGCCGAAACACGGGATGCAATTGATGATTGCCTGCTGTTGTCACCGCCAGATCTGCGTCATGGCAAACTCGAATATTGACATCAATGATTCACTCGATCGTCCGTCCAGTCAGATTATTGGGGCATATAAACTTACTTAGTGCTTGATACCAAGCCATCTCTTTCGCCTTTAGTCCCTTTCATAAACAGTCTCCATACAGCCAATCTCTTCTTGACTGTTGTTATCACGGATACATACCACACCTTACTATCTCGAAGCCGAAACTAGGCAGTCCTCCGAACTCCCCAAGCAGTTTGAATTGTCTGTAAGTCGAATATCAGAACCTGACGGCGGCATAAGTCCGCACTCGGCAGTAGATCTGTTGCTGAAATGAACGCTAAGATATTGTCCAGAGTCACCCAATCATCCAAATCACCTTCTGCCACAGAACATTGAAATCACCCGCTCCTTGACCAGCCATGCCGCCTAGAATCGCCTCCGCTGTCCGCACCCTACTGTCAACCACCGGCTCGTCTGGGCTTGTAGGGCGTGACTCGGACCCGGGCTATACAGAGATACCGTCCGGGGCCCTCATTGGCCTTGGGGGAGGAGCGGGTATGATCCTGGTCTTGTTGGTTGGGCTAGGTTACTTTAATTGGCGCATGCGCCGCGCAGGAGGACGGAGCGACGGTCCAGACACCTCGGCGTAGCATATTAGCAAGGGGGTTAGCAATGGCATGTTCTTTCCGCGATGAGGATGGAACGGTGGAGGTCAGCCATGGGGGGTGTGCGTGGGCGAACTCAAGGTGCTGTCAAAGACGCTCTAGCTACAAAGGCTCACCCGGTTCGTCAGGTCTTGAGTTCGCAGGGTAATTCTTGGAATGTTGTTCCCACCTGGGTATTCTTGTACTAGATCTTTCACAAGTAAAGACATCTGAATGCGTAAAAGGCTACCGTTGGTATCGGAATGATGAATTGTGGGCAGGATGCCGTAGCATTTCGAATCATCGGCAGTGTTGATCGGGCATTTAGACGAGACGGTCCACGCATCTACACCCCCACCCGGGTTTCTACCTAAGTTCCCTCGCTGCTGGCGTACCTCGCCACTAGATCCCGCATGTCTCCCAACATCCTTGTTATTGAATTAGCACCTCCACAGACTGAATGGGGTTCATTTAAGCGTCTCCTTGCGCGGATAAAAGGGATTACTTACTGCTCACGAAGGGCATCATTGTCCTTGAACAAGGCGGAGACGTGGGTGTTGAAACGACTGGAATCCACGCATGTCAACTTTTCATTCGCAAAATGATGAGGAAAAGCCTCAGGATACATGCACAACTCACAGTTTATACAAGTCCAATCTGCCCTGGAAGTCCTCCTCTGGTGGCGAAACAGTCACAATGTCGTAGTACGCGGCAAGATACTCAGCTCCGAATCGGTTGCAGGAAGGCATCCACTGGCCAAACTCGTCTGCGGACAGGTAGTAGTCAGCCCCAGGACGAGCAAGAGGAGGTGAGAGCATTCATGTCCAAGGTGTAACGCTTACACTCATTGTGTGCATAGAAGCAACAGGCGTCGAAGATGATCGGCTCGCCCGTGTCGGCATCGACTCCTGAGTTTGCGTACCACAGGTCACCATGGACCAGGGAAGGTTTGACCGACCGGCCCTCGCTCTCTAGAGGGCGAAGTAGTCGGGGGATGACCTTGTCAAAAATTGCCGGCACCAGAGTATCAAACTCTGGGTCGTAGCCCTTGGCCTTGATCTCAAAGTCAAGAGCAAACCTCAGGTTATTGGCGAAGAAAGTCTCCCAGCTTGCCTCCCAGCCAGTCATCTGGGGCAGATTGCCAGAGTATGTCTGCAGATGAAACCCAAACTTGCCCGTCGGCGACTGGCTCGACTGGTGCAGACATGCCAAGCGAGACGCAAACCTCGTCGGCTCGGGCATGACGTCGTCTGGGAAATCGCGGAATTCGCACAGGAAGTAATGGGTGTCGGGCCGGTTCTCGTATGTTCCCCAGGCTAGGGGCTTTGGGGCGAAATCCGGGGCCAGGGCGTATATCGTCTTCATGGACTCGAATTCACTGTGAACCATGTTTCGTCCTGTATCTCCGGAGAGAACTTTGATGAAGAAAGCCTGGTCATCTCCGTCTAGGAGTACCACATTGATCCGCCTAGCATGGGCCCAATAGCTGACGCCATGGCTCTTGGTGGAAGTGACCCGACAGCCTGGTGGCAGGTCTGAGATTGAGCAACAGCGTCAAGTGTGAGTATGGGCTGACGGTGAACCACGCAGGTATCGGAAATTTTGGAAGCTCACCTGCAACGACCCGAGGGTCAAGCTCCGTGTTTCCTGAGCCGACTTCCAGGCGGGAGGTGCCGGCAGAGTTCATAATCGAGATATTTGGCGGCTCGAATCAATGTTAGTTAATATGGACTTGTACGGTCAACTTGGGAGGTCGAGTCGAGTCTGGTGCTGGGAATTGGGAATGCGAAGTGTAGGACTACCTGGTGGGTATCTTCCAAGCTCAAATCCACCGGTACATCCCCCTCGCCTTCGCTGGAGCTTCGAATATTGGTTAGGCTTAGGTTTGTACGTAGGAAGGGTTCTGGTTGAGGGTAAACATGGGTTGACTGAGGTTGGTGGAAGCGTGCAGTTGGAAGGTCTCGAGGGCCTGACCTTGGCAACCTGCAGCGGGCCAGTGAATACCTGGGTGAATCAGAGCCATCAGTCGTGTGATTGGTGCTGCTCGGCAGACTAGTATTGATAAGGTCTAGTCACTGTACATAGAGGTACCTGGGTCCATGTTTCTTTCATTTCGAATCTCCAAGATCATAGCCCAGATATCGACGACTTTCTCTACTCATGCCCTGCCATAGTGACCTCCATGATCGTATCCTCCAAGCCCTCCAAAAATGCCATGTTGATGCCAGCAGCCTCGAGCTTTTCCCGGCCCGAATTCCCAGGAATAAACGTGTCCGGCTCCCTGATCCCAACAAACACAGTCTTGATAGCCCCCTTTAGTCGCAGAATCCTCTCAACACAGGGTCTGTTCCCGCTTAGACGGCTGTTACAAGGCTCCATTGTCGTATATAAAACCGTGTTTGGCGGCAAGAAATCCCCTATGCTGTCCTCGGGGACCTTGTGCTTCTCTGCAATCTTGACGAAGCAGCAGTGCTCCGCGTGTGTCGACCCTGGATCACCGGGTCTGTCTCGAGGCAGCTCTTCAGAGTATCCCGTGGACAGGACCTCGCCGGTGTCGCCGTCGACCAGGCAGGCTCCGACGCAGAATTTGGTCGGTGCCGGAGGGGAGAGGCGGGCTTTCGCCAGTGCGTGCAACATGAAGCCTTTGTGGTCGCCAGGAGTGATGGTGGGGCTGTTCATCTTCGGCTGAGGTTTTGGACGGCCTGATCGTGCTTTATCTCGACTGAATGGTGAAGCCAGGCTGGGGAGAAGAGACACGAGATTGTGCTGCGGGGCTAATTTGAGAAGGACCCCGGCACAGCCAACACTGATGCGAACCAACGGGTCACTTTTGCGGCGCGACTAGTTGGCCAAGATCATGATGGTGACTCGTCCGACTCGATGACACTCTTTGTTTACATGTCGTGGAGTTGCTGAATAATCAACGGTCTCATTATTGACATCTGGAAGGACCGCAACAGCCCATGAATAAGAGAACGGATATTCGCACAGGAATAAACGGCTGGTACATAGGTATAAATGCCCACCTGGGCTGCAGCCAATCAGAGGGCTTCATTCAACCTCCCCCGACTATACACACCACCCACACACACCACCCACCCTAAGGAACATACACTACTCACATAAAGTGCTTTCTATACCCTTATATAGACTTATTAATTCTTTTTTATTTATTAAATAAAGCTCTTTTATTAAAAACTTTATATAAAAGTTTATAAAATTATTAATTAATTATTAATATTATAAATTAATTTAATTATAAAAAAATCTTATTAATAATAAAAAATAATAATAAATTATTAAATTAAAAGTTATAATAAAAGAATTAAAAATTAAGGGCTAATATATATAATTAATAAGTATAAATTTTAGTTTTATATAGTGAGTGGGTAGTGTAAATTAAGATTGGCGCACTGGGGGGTATTTGTACCTGTGTACTAGCCGTTTTTTCCTATGCGAATATCCGTTCTCATGAATAATCACCATCACTGTAAACGCACTTTTACCATGTTTTGAATGGATAAGACTACGAGTTTTAAATGCTATATCGAGATATTAGAGAGGCTGAAGCAAGAAGTTCCAGTGCTGATATATCTCCAATCTACCCAGAAGTCGGCAGATATTACACCCCTCGCTTGGACAGCATGAGCCAGTCAACTATCAAGGCTACTCACACAACGCTATGGTGGTATCAATCCGCCTGGGCTTGATGTTCCGACAGCACCAGTCATCGATGCTTCTGCAGCATGAGTCGGCCCGGAAATTTCTCCCCGGCCGTGCAGCCTGGTACAGTCGAATAGCAACAAATGACTGTAGATACATGTTGGTTAAATTTGTGCAAGGTCGAGGCTCAGCGTTAGGAACAAGATACTCTAGTTATGCGAGTAGTTTAACTGTATCTTTTGGTACTGCAATACATCTTCCTGAATATCCAGCCGGCCGCCGCGCAAGATTGACAGGGAAATTATTAACTACCTCGATCATTACCTGAATCCTACCCTACCTAGGTAGGGTACACGTATCAATTCAAGTCCAGCTCTATAAATCGGTATCCGCGGAGCGAAACCATGATGCAAACATAAAACGCCCTTCCACGTTACATCGAGAACACTGCTCAAGGAAACCACTACAAGCATTGGGCCCACGCCTCAGCCTCGCCATGATTGCGGCTGACATTCCAACATGTAACTGTAGTTTCCAGCCAGACGTGTTGCTGTCTGGGCAGCTGAGGGAATGCAAGATTCATTGCCCCTTGGGGGTTCTCGACAGCTCTGTGGAGTCTTGACTGACTGTAGGCATCACTCATGTGACTCTAAAAATTCGTAGCACCGACAGCTACATCTCCAACATTGACGTGAGAGTCATCACCGCAGTCTTATGAGGTTGCTGACTTGTACCGTTCATCTATGGAGGTGCATTCAATTTTCCCTCGTTGGGGATTCCCATTCTCCAATCTCTAGTCAAACCAAGACCGCCCGCTGAGGGGATGGATATGCCGACTGTTCTGTATAGCACCGCATGAATGGGATGACGGGATGTCGTGGATGAAGTCAGGGCAGGGCAGGCCAGGGGCGAGTCTAGATGTAGGGATCCCTCCTGCATGCCAGTCACGTTCTCAGGGTACTTGCTTCGCCGCTTTATTCAAGATATCCCTTTTTCCTTCCTCTCTCTCTCGTCTCGATATCTACCTAGGTATGCCTGCCTCAGGCGCCTGCCTGCCTATCAGCCCAGGTGCCCTCCCGCTACTAGCAACTCATGTCTGTCTACATCAAGCTCATCAACATACTACACGGATGTGCGACTCCTTCAAGAAGATTCAGCGCATATCGCTTCATCGTGTTGATATGTTTCCCTTCTGGTGGGCCTGCAGATAATCCCAGGCCAGACAGACAGGCAGAGGCAGACAGACAGACAGGCGAGTATACTACCCTGGACAGCTCTGAGCTCCGTAATCCTCGCCCGTCCGTCCGTCCGTCGTTGACAGAGCAGGGGGGGGGGTCCCCAGAGCCCCAAGCAGGCAGGCATCAACGCTTCGCTCGAGGCGACTCACCCACGCGGCTTCAACGCTGTCCCACTGATCGACAGCGGCCCTATGCGAAAAATACAGCCAAGCCAGCCAGCCATGCTGTGCGCGCGCGCGTGCGTGTGCGTGCTGGTTTGTCAGACGCGTAGCATCCACCCCTGGCATAGTGTGTGTGCGCGAGAGCCAGGCAACTCCCCTCCCCTCCCCGTCCGTCGCGCGGGGCCTCGGGGATACTGGTAAGGTAGGTATTTTGTCTATTCATTGTCGACCGACAACCGGCGACAGTCGCGGGCCCCTCTTCGGGAAACAAGCTTTCCCAAGGGGAGGGGGCCAGTCCCCTTTTCTTGCCCTAAAACGCCTGCCTTTTTGCCCCCGTACCTTGGAATACAACGTGCAAAAAAGCTCCGACCTGTCTGTCAATTGTTCAAAAGCTTGGGTGTTCACGCTTGGTTCATGCCCCGTCCGTCCACATGTCGTCCCCCTTGCCGCCCCATGCATGCTCTTTAGTCTCCTTCTTGTTTCGTCTTCTTCCTTCCCTTCGTCTCTCGTCTCTCGTCTCTCTCTCTACCGAGCCGCCTCGCCTCGATTACATTCAATTCACATCTACTTGGCCACCGCCGCGCTGAGGACCTGGGTCCTGAAGAAGCCGCCCTTGGTCCTCTCGATGACCTGCTGGTAGACGCTGCTGGGCGGGTGGTTCATGACGACGGTGCCCTCGCTCGAGTCGATCTTGGCGTCGAGCCGCGTGTCGCGGATGAGGTTGACGATCCACTTCTCGCCGGCCTCGTTGTCGAGGCCGAGCGTCTTGCTCAGGCCCTTGATGTCGATGCGCGCGTGGATCTTGCAGTAGCTCTCAAAGATGAGGTGGCGGGCGTTGTCGACGAAGGCGTCGACGCCGCCGGCCAGGAAGAAGTCGGCGCGCAGGACCTCCTCGGCGCGGCCCAGCTGGCGCTGCGCGTCGTCAAAGTCGAAGTCGATGAAGAGGGCGCGCACGAACTCGGTCAGGGGGTCGGTGTACTCGTAGGCCTCCTGGCGCACGATCCGGACTATGTCCTTGAGCTGCTTCTGCTGGACGCCCGAGTTGCGGGAGCGGCCGCGGCCGGTGATGACGGCGGCGACGAGGTAGCGCAGCACCCAGGGGCACGAGGTCTGGATGGTGTTGATGTAGGCGGGGGAGAAGAAGAGGTCGAGGAGGGGGTCGCGGGCGGTGTCGCTGTTGAAGAGGGGGAACAGGGCCCAGTGGATGAGCCAGGTGCGCTGCTGCAGCTGGGCGAGGGGGTTGTTGAAGAGCTTGGTGTCGATGTTCTCCTTGACCTTCATCAGCTCCTCGAGGGCCGAGTCCCAGCTGGTAGACAGGATCTCGGAGGCGAGCTTGCCCCACGTGGCGGCCGACACCTTGTCGTTGTCGGTGGAGAGGACACGGAACTGGTAGAGGAGGTCGGCGGACCCGCCGTAGTCGCCGCAGCTGTACTTGAAGTTACCAAAGTCGTAGAGGGCGTTGACCATCTCGATCGTGACCTGTTGTTGTCCGTCGTGTCAGCGTGTCGGTCGTGTAGAGCAGAGCAAGCAGTCAGCGCAGGGCAGGGCAGGGCAGGGCAGGAAAGTGGCGCCAGCGAAGAACACCACGATGTCATGATAGTGGGTGTGGGACACGGTGCCTGGCCTGCCCGTCGCCCATCGGATCGTGATACAGCCCGTCACAATATACGCAAAAGGGGGAGACCGTGCGGCGACAACAAAGACGTACATCATGCTCCTTCTTGAGGAACTCCAGGTTGGCAACCTTGTCGCTCCGCAGGTTCGTGACGACGTCCTCGCGCCCCAGCAGCTCCTGGATCTTGCCCGTGGTGTCCTCGAAGGCCTCGAGGGTCTCGATGACCTTTTGCCTCTTGTCGGCGTACTCCTTTGGTGGGTCCTGCAGGCCCTCGAGGTCGCAGTACAGGTTGGCGACGTAGTCGGTCATGTTGGTCTTGCGCAGCAGCTCGTAGGTGGCCTTGAGCAGCTCGCGCGACTTGGCCTCGTCCTTGGACACGCCGTCCTCGTTCTCCAGCTGGCCGCGGCGGAACTCGAGCAGCGGGAAGATCAGGTGCCGGTCGAGCTTGGTGACGAGCGTCGGCAGCAGGTCGTACTCGGCGACGGTGGTGTTGTCCTCCATCTTGGCTGTGGTTTGATCGGTCTTGTCGCGTGGGTCGGGCGAGGGTGGGAGAGGCTTGATTAATTAATCGTCTCTCTTTTTCTTTCGGCGGGAGCACAGGACCAGGAGGGGTTGTTCCTGTCGGCTGCAGCTGGGGGTGGTGGTGGGATGGCTGGGTGGGAGAGAGAGAGGGTGTCAGTCAGTCAGTCAGACAGACTCTGAGACTTCTCTAGCTGCTTGCTTGTCGCTCTCGGAATCCAGTCCTCTTTCCACTGGCGGGGCTGGCTCACCCAAAATTCGTTGTTCCCTCCCGCCGTCTCTGCCCTTTTTCGTGGGGTCCACTCTGCCATGCGCCAATTGGCTGCAGCCCCCCAGCACGCCCATTTGTTTTGCCGAAGCCGGATAGGAAGTACCCGCGTACCCTTATACCTATCAAGGTACTTTGTACCTCAGTACCCACGTTCGCTGCAGCTGCCAGCTCAACGTCAGACGTCCAAGCGTCCAAGCGTCCAAGCGTGGGAGCTATGAACCCCGTCCCTGGCCCCGGTTCCCCATTGCCTGCCGCCAGCCGCGATTTTTTGGTGACGACCTCTGAAAGATCACGACGACGCCGCGCCCAGAAAGAACCGCGAGTTGCTGGGGAGACACCAACGTACATACATACACACAACATCCACGATGCTACGCCAATTACCACTCCGAGCAGCAACAGCTGCCCCCAGCCGGCTGCTCCTCCGGCCCTCGTCCTCCACCGCCGCATCCGCGCGCCTCCTCACCACCGAAGCAGCAACACCATCATCATCATCACAGCCCACGCCGCCGGCCCCCTCGTCCCCTCCCTCCCCACAACAGGGGTCAAAGCAGCTCTCCTACCTCGTCGAGCGCACCGCGTCAAGACACCTCTCCGTCTACAACGACGCCCGCGCCGGCGGCACCAAGAAGCAGACGGTGGTCAAGAAGATCGTGGGGGACACGAGGGCCCTGCGGGACGAGCTGGTCGAGGAGCTGCGGTTCCCGAGGGACGAGGTCAAGATCAACCCCGTCACGAACCACATAAAGATAAAGGTGAGGATAGGTTTTTTTGCGACTCGCTCTGCACGGGCGGGGCAGGGCACATGAGAAAGCGAGCGAGCGAGCGATCCAAAGAACACGGCTGACTGACTGGTGGTTCCGGCAGGGCTTTCACGCGGACAAGGTGCAGAAGTGGCTCGAGGCGCGAGGGTTCTAAGGTGTTCTCATGTGAGAGGGAGGGGGCAGGATTACAAGCAAGCAAGCAAGCACCAACCCAACAAGGAGCCACACACATATCCTTGGGTGTCATTATCAGCCTTGGAAGACGCCCCGCCACAACACACGTTCGGTTGTAGCAGAAAGGCTGCCGAGGGGGCTGTACAATATGTTGCAATATACCCACGATGAAGAAGAACGCATCTACGACGACGGAACAGGGTCACGCCATGTCATGTCACGTCTTGTCATGCTGGCTTCGAGCGCAACGCCCCGCCTCTTCTGTAGGTAGGTAGGTACTGTTGGGCTGTCTGGCTCGGCCTGACCACTGGCAGTTCCCCCCAGCCTAAAGGTGTCGTCAGGTGTACAGGCATAGGGGGTTGAGTCTGTCGCCATGTGTTCCATATATTCCAGAGGGAGGCTCAACCCGCGCCCTCGGAAATCCCAACCCACATGCATACACTGTCGCAAGTGCCAACGTGGTCTACAAACCCCAGTTGCCCTTGACCGAACAACTCAAAAAAATAAAATCGGGACAGTTGCCATTAATTGATTGTACCTATCCCCGCGCGGTAACAAACCCCGTTACCAGTTCATTGATCAAAGTCCCGAGCAAAAAAGGAGGCCTGTCTGTCCGTCATCAGGTCCGTCGTCCTTGCAGCTTGCTTTTCTACTCCAAACACCACGTGGAATACAACCAAGACGTCCTATCCTGTCCTGCCCGCTCACTCGCCCTGTAAAAAAATCATCTCTTTTTGCAACTGACAGACAGACAGACACATCAGATCAGCCCTGTCCTTGCCTTGGGTCGGCGATGCGTTCATGTCGCGCGCACTCCCTCCCTTGCCCCTGGGCCATTTCGTATGGGCGCAACCAGCGCAGTCGTGGGCAACGCCTCGTACGCTCGTTCGTTCTCCCACAGGTTTCCTCTCCATCTTCTTTCTTTGGGTGGGGGGCTCTTTTTCTTCCTCCTCTTCCTTGCGAATCGTCTCGACTTCCGCAGCCATTTTCTTTCTTTCAAGGTCAAAGAACAACGCCCAAGGCAGAGGTGCTCCCTTACCTCCGCTCTTGTCCACCCCGTAGAGTAGGTAGGCTCCTGATATCCTCAGGTATTTCCGGCCACTGTGATCCGGCGGGCCTCATCAGGCCCGGCACCGGCACGATCAATCAACAAGACAACAACAAGACCCCAGCGAGAGCAACAACAGCATCAGCCCCCCTCAGTTCGGATCCGTCTGCCCCCTGGCCATCCTATCGGTCTTGCGGACCTCGGCGATCTTGTACTTGACGCTCAGCAGGCTGCGGTTCATCTCCTGTGGTTTTGGGAAGAAAGAAACCGGCTCGTTAGCCCACAAACCACCACCACGATAAGGAAAGGGAGCATTGGTCAATAGCCCCACGGACAAAACATACAGTGGCGATGTCGGCCTGGCGCAGGCCCCGCCCTGTGAGGCCCCTGAGCTTGTCCACCTCGGCGTCGCTCCACTTGGTCCCCGAGGCGACGAGCCCCGTGGGGGTCTGCTAAGTCAGTCAGTCAGACAGATAGATATGTGATGGAGGGGTGTGTCCTCGTACGCTGTCAGCCGCTGCTGCTGGGCTACTGCTCGCCGCCCCCTTCTTCTTGGCCTCGTTCTTCCCGTCCGCCTTGTGAGCCACTCGCTCCTTAGTCACGGGCGCAGGGGCGGGCGCGGGCGTCTCGGTCTCGGCCGCGGGCTTGGGCCTGAGCTGCCTTATCGGGCTCGGGGTCGTGGGCATCTCGGGCTTCGTGGGCTCCTCGTCCTTGAAGGGCTGCGGCGCCAGTGTGGGGCGGGGCTGTAGTGGTGAGTATCGAAACGGGTCAGCTCAGCTGTGAGTGGGTCTTGTTGCCACCTCACCCAGGCAAGTAAGTATACCCAGAGGCATAGCATAGGGGGGATGGGGGGGGGGGGGTGTTTCGCATACAATATCAGCCACGGGCGGCACAACAACAACAACACCGCCCGCCTCGTCCCGCCCGAACTGCAGCGAGACCTGGCCGTGGTTCCCCTGCTGCGGCGTGGCGGCGGTGCCCTGGGTCTGGGCCTGCGGCGTCTGCGCCGGGGCGACGAGCCTCGCGGTGGTGAAGGGCTTCGGCTTCGGGTCCAGGGGAGGAGGGGCAGGTCTCTTGACGCAAGTGGAGGCGACGGGGGTGGTGGGAGGCCGCTCCTCTGACCGGGGTCGCTTGGTGGTCGTGGTGGCGACGGCGGCGGGTCGCTCGACGATGCCGGTGGTCGTGGGAGTAGTGGGAGTAGTAGTGGTAGTAGGAGCAGTAGGCTGCGGCACGGGGCCGGCGCGCCACGGAATCACACCAGAGACAGGCCTGGCCTTGTCGCCGTCGCCTGCGGTCTTGGTGGTGGCAGCAGCTGGAGTGGGAGTCGTGGGCAGCTTGCACAATATCGTGCTGACAGGAGGAGGAGTAGTAGTAGTAGTAGCCGTGGCCGCATCCCCGTCACCAACCCCGATCGCCAGCGCGGCGACCTCGTCCGCGCCCCGCAGCGGCCTCGTGTCGGCGGTCCGCGGCGCCACGGTCAGCCCCGGGGTGATGCACATCGGGCCGCCCCCGCCGCCGGGGGCCCACGAGTTGCGGTACAGGTTGACGACGGGGGCCGGGCGCGTGGTGGTGTCCCGGACGTGGTACTCGCAGACGTCCATGGGGCAGTTGTAGAAGCGGAGGTCGTCGTCGGCGAGGGGCGCGACGGTGAAGACCCGCGGGGCGGGGGGTCTCGTGACGGGCTGGTTGGGGTTTGATATGGTCGTGTAGACCGTCAGGAGGCACCGCGGGCAGCGGACCGCGGTTATCTGCATTGTTTTGGTTGGGTGGTGGGCTGGGCTGGGTGGTTTTTGTTGTTGTTGTTGTTGTGGTTGGTGGGTTGGTGGGTTGGTGTTGGTGTTGATCGATGGGATAGAATTGCTGTGGGAGAAAAAAGACTGGCCGTTTATCCTTGGTTGGGGTCGGGGAAGAAAACTTTGGGTTTGTCGACGGAGAGGTTTGTGATATCCAAAGTCGATCGGTGAGAGAGTAAGAGGGAGACAGGCTTAGGAGCGAGAACAAGATCAGTGAATGCGCCCGTGGTGCCGGTCGTCGAGTCACTGGTTTCTGTTGTTGACAGAAGTTGGCAATTCTAAAGATTCCAGGGCTTGAAAACAAGAAAAGACAAACGCCCACAGGATGATAGTGGTGCCTCAATTTGATTCTGTAGTACTATCCAGGAACCAACATTATAAAGTGAACACTCCCGCCCGACGTGCAAAACCGTTGCTGGTGCCGAGTTTATGACGGGCTAAAGTTCACTTACACGCTGCTAACAAGACACTTTCACTTTGGTTGCCGCCACCGGCTCTCATGGGGCATGGGCTAAGATGTTGCTTTGCTCCTGCCATGTGTCCCTTACAACCACGGGGCCATGTTTTGTCTATTGTCCTTGTACTTGATGCCACTTGCCCTTTCCTAGACTGGCCCACATCATCCAGGGCATTGAAACAACTATTACAATTCACTACAAGTCTGTTCTGGCAAGCTGCTGGCAGGAATGACTTTGCCCCTTCAAGATAATCCACACCAGACTCTTCACTGTGGGTGCTTATGGGTGACATGGTTTTGTAAAGAATAACAACAGCATGGCACGTCAACGGCATGTGACTTGCATTGTGTGAGATCGTCTTCCCATTAGATATACCAACACAGGTCACAGGTACGCCCCAGGTGGCAATCGAATTCTTGCATCACATTGAATGGAACCGTATGGTGCAGAGACTCTGGTGGTTAATATGCAGATTAAGAAGCCCAAGGGCTCACCACGGTGATTTCCCTCCTGTTCTGACCAATCTGGGTAGTCTGAAAGCAGAGCAACCTGCAAGTCCCCATGTCAAAAGTCCAGTCCACTCTAGTCAGTACCTCCAGAGTTGCTAATGTGTTGCTAAATCAATTAATTGTTGGCTTCCACTCTGAAGGTGGCTCTCAGTCTCTGCTGCATTTGCAACATGGATCACAACTACACTGCTCATTTGTTATTACCTACATGGATGGTGGGGTACAATGAGCCAGGCACATGGGATCAGACAATGCAGACCTCGATCCCACAGACCATCCAAGTTGCACCCACCCTAGGTTATGTGTACCCATGTAGGTAGGCTCCCTTGCTGTATGTTGCGGCTATCTCAACCTGTCCCTCCCGTCCTCTCCCAAGTTTTGGCCCCGCTGTCTGCTGCTCGACCGTGGGACTGATCTATTTTCCAACTTTCTAACCACCTCTTCACTAGTAAGGCATAAATAATTAACTCTTCATGAGGAAACCTCATATGGAACCGCCTCTTATAAAGCAACCTCTGGCCCTCTTAGGGAACAACATGCTACTGGCTAGCTTCTTTGTCAACACCGACCCGTCGATACACACACACGCTACGATATGTGTGTGAAACGAACAAGGTTGGATCAGATCAGATCAGATTAGATTAGATTCGATGACAGCCTAAACACACACACACACATACACACAGTCTGCTCTGGTCAAGTCTGGCCAAGCCCGTTTCATACTTGCTTGCTCGCTTGCTTGCTTGCTTGCTACCGTAGGCGCATAGGGCACGTGACACCCACCCACCTGTTGTTACCCATAGATACATACATACATACTACATACACACGCACACTTCCACACACACACACACACACCGCAGTCACCAGAGTCACGTTCCAGAATGCACCAACACCAACCCAACCGACCAATGCTTGCTTGCCTGCTTTCTTGCCTTGCTCCATGTTCCGTCTATCCCTCCTTTGCTCCATTCCGCGTGGGCTCGTTGTGTAATGCAAATTAAAAATTGCGATATGCCTGCCTGCCTGCCTTCCTGCCTGCTAGCCATATTAATAGCAATGCGCCCTGCTATATGCTCATATCTGCAGTGACCCCAGCGCAACCACGTGCTGCAGCCAGCCGTCCTTTGAGAACTCGGGGCTGCGCATCTCGAGCGCCTTGAGGATCTTGTCCGTCTTGGGGACGACGTTGGGCGGTATGCTCTCGGGGTCGTTCGGGTCGCGGGCCTTGTGCGCCAGCTGCCGGAGCATCGACGTGCCCAGGACGGCAATGTACAGCAGGTCAGGGTCCTTCTTGGGCTGGGCCCGCGGCTGCCCAGGCGGCTTAATCCTGGGCTGCTCAAACTCGGCCGAGAGCTCCCGGACCAGGCGGAACAGGTTCTGGGCGAACCCGTTCCCGGCGGCCAGCCACGTCCGCGTCACGCACGTGTCGTAGTCCGGTGCCAACGACGCGACGATGTTGCCGGCGAGGAGGCCCTGCATGAGGATTGGCTTGCGGGCCTCGACCAGGGACGGCAGCCCGTTCGCGCGGGGTTCGCGGTGCTGGCCTGGCACCGGGGAGATGGCCAGGGCAAAGGTGCGGGTTATGAGCTCAGACGGTGGCGTGTTGGATGCGTCGGCGGCGAATATGCTCTTGTAGAATGTCCTGTTGGGCTCGTCCCGGGCGAAGAGCTTGGCCAGCGCGTCGATGGCATGTGGCAGGTACGGGTGCAACACGGGCTCGAACGGGGCAAAGTGCAGCTTGCCGCCGTCTGAGAGATGAGGGGCGGGCGTTGGCGCAAAGGCCAGGATGAACTGGAGCAGGCTCTCGGCCTGCTCCCGGGCCTGTATCTCCACCGCGTGGGCAATGTTGGACAGCAGGACAACGACGTCCTTGAAGAAGTCCAGCGTGTCAGCCTGCGTCCTCAGGAGCATGTTGCGCGTCCCAAGATACCGGATGGTGTCGCAGAGCAGCTTCACGACCAGCTCATCGGCCAGGATGAAATGGTTCGGCGCGTGGAAGGACAGGTTGCGCAGGACAGTGGTGATGCACAGAAGCCGATCGACCGCGCGGTCGAGCTCATACTCTTCCGAACCCACAGTGTGGAGCTTGCGGATGGCCAGGTTCTCCAGGCGGCATGCCCTGGACACATCCTCGTACGGGCTTATGTCTATCTCGTCGGACAGCTCTTCTGTGTGCTCGACGAGCATCTCGACCTGTTCCTCGGCGCACTCGACCAGGCTTTCCAGGAGTTCCTCGCATCTCGTGAGGTCGATCTCGAGAGCCTGCCCGCCCACCATGACCCCCTGCGGGCTTGTCACGGTGGCCAAGGTGTCGAGGGCCAGGCGCACCTCGGCAAGTATGCCGCACTGCAGGCTTTTGGTCAAGGCGTGCAGGTCGATGTTGCCCAGATGAGCCGGCGGGGGGACGTCGGGTTTGTAGAACTGGTATTCCATGCCGAGCCTGGCAGTCACGTCCAGCTCAACGCCGCCGTATGTTTTTGGTTCTGGCACGCGGGAGCAGGGTATGTACTCATCCTGGTCCTTGGTCAGGGGCGCTGGGAAGGGCATATTGGCAGACTCTGCGGAGGCGCCAGGGCCATCGGGATGGGCACTACTTGGCAGGGACATGCTGCCATGCTTGCTAGCCGGAGACGGCGCGGTGAACTCGTCGTGAACAGGGGTCGCTTGATGGCTCTTAGACATGGCGTTTCGCGCATGGCCCTGAGCGGAGTTCGGGGGTGGCGGCTGGGGCGGTTGGGGTGTCTGGAAACCGTTCACACCTGCTTGGGCAGCACCAGGAGGCATTTGCCTCATGGGCGACTGCATCTGGCCTGGCTGTATGCCAGCGTGCTGGCCAGGTTGCATCATGGCGCCAGGTGGCGCGTGGCCTGGCGACATCTGTTTCATAGGCGTGTTTGGCCCACCATGTTGCTGTGGGTGCTGCTGCTGCTGCTGCGGCTGCTGCTGTGGATGTTGCTGCTGTTGCGGGTGTTGCTGTTGCTGCTGCGGGTGTGGTTGCTGTTGTTGATGCTGTGGCTGGTGCTGTTGTGGTGGTGGTTGTTGTTGTTGTTGCTGCTGGTGCTGTGGCTGCCTGGACCGCCATGTCTCCTCGAAAGGCCTGAGGTTCTGATCGTAGATGTTTCTTAAATGCTGCGGCGCCATTGGCATCTGCGCCGGGTTCAGGCCCACGCTCATGGAGATCTGCGGCCAGAAGTTGCGCGCCGTGACACTGTTGAAGCCGCCGGCCTTGTTGACGGCCTGGAAAAGCTGCATAAGGTGGATGGGCCTGTCGCCGACGACGGGGTTGGTGTTGAGCGGCATCTGCTTCTGCGCCATGAACATGGAGAGCTGTTTCATGAAGGTATCCGGGCTGGAGTGGCTCCTCTGCGCCTGCTGCGGCGCGCCCATGCCGGGCTGCTGGGGCCTCATGGCGGCGGCGGCGTTCATGTTGGAGGGCACCTGTCCGTTAGGCATTTGCTGTCTCGCCATCATGTTCCTCTGCGCCATGTTCTGCCCGGGCATCTGGCCCTGCATCTGCCCTTGCATGTGTGCCATCTGCTGCTGCCTAGCCTGCATCTGCTGCATCTTCTGCATGTGGGCCACCATCATCTGCTGCTGCTCAGCCGGGTTCCGCGCCTGTGGCATGCCCTGCGGGTACATCTGGCCCGGCATCTGGCCCATCTGGCCCTGCATCTGGCCCTGCATCTGGCCCTGCATCTGACCTTGCATCTGGCCCTGCATCTGCGCCATGTGTTGCTGCATCTGGCCCATCTGGCCCATCCCCATCTGGCCGGGCTGCTGCATCATGCCGGGCTGCATCTGGCCCATCTGCTGCGGCATCATCTGGCCGGGCATCGCGTTCGGGTTCGACGGGGGCCGGGCGGGCGACGGGCTGGTGCCGTAGTTTGGGTTGAAGCCGGGAGGGAAGTTGCCCTGCTGCATGTAAGGATTGGGTTGCGGGGTGCCGCCGTGCTCGGAGGGGATCGGGGAGGGCTGAGGCGCGAACTGCTGGGCGGCGGGGGAGAAGGGGTGCGGCGACGTGGTGGAGACCCTCTGGGGCACGCTGCCGGGCCGCATGGGGTTGCTGCCCATGATGGGGGACGGCGTCGCGTTGGCTGAGCCGTTAGTCTGCAGGTGAGGGTACGGCGACGGCTGGCCCTGGTTTGGCTGCGGCATGCCGGGCTGCTGGCCTTGTGGGTAGCTGGGGAACTGGGACTGCTGAGGGGTTTCGGCGCGCGAGGTGGGCAGCATGCCTGGGTTGGGCCGTGGGGACCCTGCGATGCTGTCCTCGCGCGGGCGGGGCCGCTTTGAGGGGATGACGGGGTTGGTCTGGTACATGGGGTTCGCAAAGGAGGGCGACGCGTTGCGCATCTGGCCGTTCTGCTGCATGGCCATCATCTGCTGGGCCTGAGCGTACTGGGCGGGGTTGAAGGGCGCGGCGCCAGGGTTCGCCATGAAGTTGGAGGGATCCATCATGCCCGACGCGGCGGCTTGGGCATTCGGGTCGAAGCCGTTGTTGCCATTGTGGTTGGGGACAGCGGCCTCGTTCATGCCCCAGGCGGACATGGCTGAGGACGGGAGGGTCTATTCGAAGGTGGTGGTGGAGGTGGATGTCAACGGCGAGGACAAGGATGAGGACGAGGACGAGGAGCGACGCGACAGCAGCGGGTGGGGGCGAGGCTGTCGGAGCTGCTGCTGTTGTTGATGGTGTCGGGGCTGGAATTGGAGATGGCAGGATGCGATGGTGATGGTGGTGCCGAGGGTGGTCGCAACGGCCATCTGGTTGATCGCCTCTTTGCCTCTATCGCAAAAGTCGGCCAGGTGGGAGGCGTCCTCGGGTGGGGATGCGCGACGCAAATGCGAGGATGCTTGGATGCGAGCTTGGATGCGTGGAGAGTCGTCAAAGAGGCCTGTGGGGGACGAACAAGACACGAAATTAGAAACAGCCAATCATCAAAGGGCAAAGACAAGAAGCCATGGAGATGGAAAACAGTATAGAGGTGAGGAGCATGTGCGACGGCGGCGTGTTTGGCGATGGGCAAAAGAAGGAGGCGCGTCGGGTCGCGATCTGGAGCGATTTGCCCGGGTGTGTGATGCGATGTGCGATGGGGGGATTTTTTGGAAGGGGGCAGTAGGATGAACAGTGGACAGTAGGCGGCTTGGTAGGTGGACTTGGGCGGGATTGGCAGCTACAAGGCCTGCGTGTCGGGGGGAGGGGCCGGGGGGGAGGGGGAGAGGGTAGGTGCGGGTTCAGGTTGCCAGGGGAGGTCATTGGTTGGAGGGACTCATGACTGCCTGCGCCTTTGCATGTGTCTGTGCCTGTGCCTGGACTGAGAGCTGAGTGATGAGCGAGTGACGAAGTGAGTGAGTGGCTCAGCGACGACTCAGTCAGTCGCCTGCCTATCAGACGGCTTATTATTACGCTCACAAGGCCTCGTCTCTCTTGTCTCAAGCAGTTGGCACAGCACGAATTGTGGGGATATATATGATGCTGGCCAAGTGAATATAGGAGGGGGAAGATCATTGCTGCAGCAAAAAACTGAGATGAGAGTGGGTGGGTGCAAAACAGAAACAAGACGTCAAGGTTGGGAGATGGCAACACTAAGAAGCAAAACAACAAGATCCGCCCATGTTGAACAGACATTATTACAAGAAGCCATTGCGAGCGAGTATAGAAGCATTCAACACAGTAACAAGGAAAATTAAAATTCAAAAGCAGATAATGCAATTACCTCAGATGAAGCGGGACGAGATGAGGGGATGAGGGGACTGAGCTTGATGTTGAATGAGTTACAGTTCAACAACTCTTTTCAACATAGCACATCAATGGGAGACACACAAGACAGGGCATCGCAGCGCAGGTCACAGGAACTTTCCTAGCATGAATGAGAGCAGGCAGTGAGAAGCGAGTATCTCGCTGCGTGGTGTGCAATGTGTAAAGTGTGTTGGCAGACTGCTGGTGTTGCGTGGTGTTGAAAGTTTGGCGGGTTGGGTGGGGGAGGGGGGTAAAAGCAATACAGACTGACAGACTGACAGGCCCGGAGAAGCAGGAGGAGCATCGGCAATCAATCAACAGGATCGATTGCATCAACACCATCAACACCAGCAACTTTGGCCGGGACTCAGCAATCGGGTGTCAAACGCGGGGGGGGCACACACCAGGGTGGGATCCATCCAGGGAGAGGCGCCCGACCCAGGTGGGTTTTTGGCCTTACCAAGGGGGTTCGGACGGGCACTGGTCAAGACGCCCAGGAAAGGGTCAGGGCCAGGGGCAATGTGGGTGTCCATGTAAGGTATGTGGCATGTGGCATGTGGCATGTGGCAGGGCGTGTAGCAGCAAGCAAAGCAAGCGGACCAGTGAATAGGTAATACATACGTACCGTAACGTACCCTCTCCAAGCAGCAGCAGCAAGCAGCAACAGGCCAGCAACAACGGCGGCGTCGGCGTCGGCGGCGCGCTGGGCTGGGGCTGGGCCGGGCCTGGGGCTGGGGGCTGGGTTGGGCTGGCTGGTCTTCGAGGGGTGGCCCTCGATTCGGTTCGTGATGGCCCAACGAACGAACCGTGTGCGCCGGTGCGGGTTGCGGGTTTGCACGGGTTTGCGGGTTAGGTGGGTGAGCTGGTGTGGGTGTGGGTGAGTATTAGAGTGGGCAACAGGCAGACTGGCCGACTGGCAATCAAAACAGTCGGGCAGGACGGGTTTCACCCTCTATGGAGTACTACCACGGCAGACGAGGTGTCAGTCAGAGAGGGAGGGCGAATGGGCCGACAGGCAGGCGGGCTGGGAGCGAGCGAGCGAGCGAGCGGGTTGGCGAGTAATCCTTTCTTCCAGCGCGCTGTCCAAGTCTGCTTGAGAGTGGAGAGGGTGAGCGCGAGTGTGAGTGCGACCGAGCGTGTGCCGTGCTGGTGCGTGCAGGCAGGGTCAGTGCCAGGCTTGCAGTCAATCAGTCAGGCAGCAGGCACTCAATCATCAATCAAATCTCTGGCTGGACGACAGGCCGACCAAGACACAGAAAGGCTGACGGGGCGGACTAGGAATGGGCGGACAGAAGGGACTGACTGGGACAGGACAGGACAGGACAGACGGACGGATGGTCGAGTCGAATCCTGCTCCTAGGCCCTGCTCCTCTGTCCCCCTCGGGCCCTGCCTCGCCTCGCCTCGTCTCGCTTCTTTCGCCCCGCCCCACTCTTGCTCTTGGTTCCTGCCACCTCGGTTTTCTCCTCCCTCTCTGGCTGGCTGGCTGGCTGGCCCCTGCCGGATGTCCGAAGTGGTCTAGCGTCTGAGCTAGATCTCTTCCGGAGGCGTTGCCAACCAGAAACGTTGGGATCCCTGCCACGGGATCGGCAGGTCCCACGTTGTCTTTTGCCGAGCCAATCCGGCAGCCCAGTCAGCTGTCAGCCCAGGCAGCACCAGCAGCTGCGAGTTGCAACGAGTGATGGTGCAGTGCCGGCTCTGAATGGCTTCGTTCATCGAGACAGCGTGGGCGCGATGCTCCAGCAACCATGCTGTTCATGTGATGGAATGTAACTGAAAGGAGAGCAACCGACCATACCAACCTAGGAGGCAGATAAATCCAAAATGACTTGGTGTCCTCTGGCTCCAACACTTGCCCTGGGGCTGTCTTGCGTACGACCAAGTCGTCTGTTGCTTGGCCCAAGTCACTTCAGTATCCCGAACCGGTGGTTCCCTGTGTTCCTGCCACAGGGCCATGGCAGAGCTGCTACACTCGGCTGTTGAAGTCGAGTAGCAGTCGAGCTATGTGCCTCGTCTCTGGATAACTTGACTGCCAGGCCCCGCTGCGCCTGGGGACGCCTGGGGACGACATCTTGGCTCAGAGGGTTGTCGTCATCTCTTGCCAGCTTCAGTCTTGCAGGCTGGCGCAGGCGACGGTTCAGCCAAGCCGCGAATGCAGGAGTGTTGATGACGGCAAGGCCTGCTGGGAAAAGTGCGGGCCACGGGGAATGGACCAGGAGCAGGGCTGATCTCTCCGTTGGGCAACCTGTACATGTAGGTAGGTGAAGGCCAAACAGCAACGAGTGGTGGTTCGTGGTTGTGAGTGCAGGCGTGTGGTGCCCGAGTATTAAGTAGCGCCCATGGGCTTTGTTTGACGTGGGACGGATTCGCTCGATTTGCTCCGGCATCCTCGGCGATGCGTTCAGCCCTTCTCTGACAGCCTGTTCCGTCCCGTCTGTTGCCATGACCATGTCGAGTGCACCGCGTGTGCAAAAGTCCAGTCCTGGATGATCAAAAAACAAAACCCAAGTCCGGAGGTTGTCGAGGCTGGCAGGCTGGAGCCAGGCTCGGGTCCGACATGGCTGGAATTGGCTGCACACCTAGCGCATGTGGCCTGCCGGGTAGCGACAGCGAGGATATGCAAGGTTCACGGGCTCGCGCCAGTAGCGCCAGACGGGGAGTGCAGTGTACTGAGTGTCCATCCAATACACGGGGGTGCCCTGGGGGTGGTGCGCAGGATGCAGGTGGCAGTTGTCGCAGGTCTGTCTGCCAGTCTGCCAATCTGTTGCCGGTCGTGGTGGTTGGTGGTGGGTGGTGTCGTCGCTGACCGGGTCGAAAACGATGCCTGTTCCGTTGCTGCACAACCACGGGAACCAGGGGACTCGAAATAAAATGGCGGGAGCAGAACAGAACAAAACAGAACCGGAAGGGACGGCCAGAGCGAGGAGTACAGCAGGGGAGAAGCCAGAGCAAAGCAGCGTCTTATCATGTCCTCTCATGCTCGCATCCTTGGGGCACTTGAGCACTTGATCTTGGGCGGGCGCCGTGGCCAAGGCGTTGGTGGGGTTTAGGTCATGCCGGAGGTAATTTTGGCCTGATGTGATTTTGAGTGGTCCCCTCGCCCCCGCTCTGGTCCTGTGTGTTTGCACTCTGATGCTTTTGCCCTTGGATTTGCATGCTGCGTTGTGTTGTGCTGTGCTGCGCTGTGCTGTGCTGTGCCGTGAGCTGTTTCTGGTCGATCCTGGACGGTGCCTGTCCGGCTGCGGCTGGTTCACGGTGGTGGTGGTGGTGTCTTGGTGTTGGTGTGGTGGCTGTCTGGCTGGCTGGCTTGCTGGCTGGCTGTCTGCCCAAGTCATCTTCCCTCCCACCTTTCCATTCCAGCCGAAGAGCAGCAACAGTCCTCAACCAGTCTGTCAATCAATCAGATGTCGTGAGCATCGTGACAAGAGGCCATGAAACTGCCGTCTTTTGCTGTCAACTGGTCGAATGTGGGCTCTGCCTGTTCTGGCCTTCGGGGGAAGTGCCACCCCATCGCCCCAGCACGTACGCACACAGGGCTGCTGGTGGTGCTGCTGGTGTGTGGACTGGAACGGGGGACATTGCAGCGGTGACAAGAACCGGCAACAAAACAGCAACGAGGGGCCCAGGGGAGGCCAGAAGGGGTGGGAAGGGAACTGGAAAGGATGCAAGAACAAAACAGGGCAAAGTGAATCAGAGACGAGGGGTGCGAATGGGAAGCTGGGCGGGTTTATGTGTCTCGAGGGAAGGTATCTGGTACCTCTGTCATCTGCCATCGGGGCTACGACAAGAGAGAAGGCACCATTGCACCCACCTGCCTGTCCGTCCGTCTCGTCCGTCTCTTCCTTCCTTCTTCCGCCTGTGTGCTCTCCCCCCTCGTGTCTGCGTCTATTATTCTGTCCCCCGTTTTTATTCGTCTTTGCCTTTGTCCGTTTCGCTCCAATACACCGTAGCTCGATCCATTGTCATGGCAGTGTCGAGCTGTTTCGACATGGCCCCGTCGGAGCTGGAGCATCCACCACCCATCATCCCTCCCTGCACTCGGTCAACAGAGTTCGTGCTGCCTTTTTTTGGTCTCCCCACACCCTTGCCTCTTTAGCTTTAAGAGTAAAAGATTTCCTATTTTTATAGAAGCTTTTATCTATTTTAATAGTTTATTCTATTTAATATATAAATAAACTATTTCTAAAAGGAGACTTAGTTTTTCTAACTTTATTTTTTATTTATTTTTCTATTTATTTATTTTATTTAAACTTATATTAAATAATTAACTATATATAATATTTATATATAATAATACTTATTATAATTAATTATTATAAAAAAGAATATAAAAAGTTAAAAGGATAATTTTAAATATTATAAAACTTAAAACTTTTAATAAATATAATAATATTATTATTATTTTTAATATTAATTTTATAATTAAACTTTAAGTTAATATATTAAATAATTTAAGGTTAAATATAATTTTATAAACTTAAAAAATATATTAGTTATATATAAGTTATTTAAAATATTATTATATATTTAAAAGTATTAAATAAATATTATATAGCCTTTATATTATTATTTAAATATATAAATTATAAAGTAAGTTTTTATTAATAGAGTTAGGTTTATAATAGTTTAAAATAGTAATATTAAGTTATAATAGTTAACTTTATTAAATAAAAATACTTAAATTTTAAAGTTATTAAATATTAATATAATAATTTATTATTATTATTATAATTAGGTAAGTAATTTTATATATTAAGAAATAAAATATATTTTATATTAGTTTTAGTAAAATATTAAGTTTATTATTAGTTATTATTATTTTAATTTATTATAGAATTATAAAAGTTAAAAGATATAAGAATATAACTTTTTATATTTAATTTAAATATTATTATTTCTTTATATATATTTTAAAGTAGTTAAAGTAAGAGATAAAGTAAAAGTAAATATAATAATAGAATAAAGCTTTCTTTTATAATAAGTTATTTAATAAAATAAAGCTAATATTTTTATAAATTTTAAATATATTAAAGTAAATAGAGTTATTATTTTTAATATATAAAGTTATTAATATTAATTATTAAAAAATAAGTAGTATAGTAAGAATATTATAGGATAGAGTTTTATATTAAAACTAATAATTTTCTAAAATATTTCTAGAATGAAGTCTTATTTTAATTTATAAAAGTAATCTATTTAAAACTTTTATATTTAATAATAAGTAATCCTAATAATAGTACTTTTAAAACCTAACTTATATTTATAATATATTTATTAAAAGTATTAATATTTAATATTATATTTTAATTACTATTTATATAATATTAACTTATTAATTAATTAAAAGTTATTAACTAATATATTAAATTTCTTTAAGTATATAAATATAAAATAGCCTTTTCTCTTTTATAAAATATTATTATATTTATAACTTAAAAACCTATTATTTATACTTTAAATTACTTAAATATTTTAATAATAATATTATATAAAAGTATAATTTTATAAGTTAAAAGTATATAGTAATATTAATTCCATTTAAAGCCCTTTTTATATTTAATAAAATTTATAAAGGTTACTTAAAGGTTATATAATATTTATAATTAATAGTTTATTATAATTAATATTTTTACTTTATTTTAAGTAATAATAATAATTATATTTAATATAAATAAGGTTAACTTAAAGTAAAACTAATTATTAATAATATAAACTTAAAATAAAAAGTATTACTTTTAATTTATTATAAAACTATAAGGATATTAAAAGGAATATAATTAAAATAGGTAATATATTTTATATTAATAATAAATAAATTAATAATTAATATAAAAGTAATAATAACTTTATAAAGTATAGTAAAGCTATTATTTAACCTTTATAATATATTAATAAACTTTAAATTAAGCTTAAATAATATTCTTTTTAGCCCTATATAAGCTAAAAATCATTATAATACTATTATTAGCCTTAAAAAGTTATTAAAGGCTCTATATAAATAGTACTAATAATATTAAAGATAAAAGAATTTACTTAATTATAATTAAAAACTATATTATAATTTAATATATTTAAAATAACTTTAAGTAGAAGCTAATAAAAATATAGGCTACTTTAAAGTATATATTAAATATTAAGTTTATTAAATTAATAATAAATTAATAAAGTTTATTAATTATATTTTTATAATAATATTTAAAATAATTTATAAAAGTTTATTAAAGTTATTTATATATAACTATTTAATTAAATTATAAAAATAATAATAATATAACTTATCTTATTAAAAATTTATATATAATATTAATATAGTTATTTATATAACTATTAAGTTATATATTTAATAAGAATAAACCTACCTTACTCTTAAAAATAGTTTATATATTTTAATAATAACTATAAACTTTATATTTATATTAAAAGTAATATAGATAGGTTTTAACTTAAATATTATTATTTAAGAGTATACTTAAATATAATATTTAAAAGGTAGTTATAATTTTATTTTTGGGTTATAGTGAGTAGAAAGTAGTATTATAATAAAATAAATAAAAATATAAATTATAATAATAATACTTTAAGGTAGTATATAATTAAATTAAATAACTATTTAAGTAATAAGACTATTATTACCTAGAATTATAACCTTATTATTATTAAAATAATAAAATTATTAATAATTATAATTAATAATTAATTATTTAAAAATAGTTAAAAATAATTAATAATATATTTATAATAATAATTAAAAAGGTAATTAATAACTTATTTAAAAATATTTAAAAATAAATAATTAATAAAATTTAATATTATTAAAATTAAAAAAATATATTTATAATAAAATAATAATTTAAATTATATAACTAATTTTAAAATTAAAGTTAATATAAAGAGTATAAAATAAAAGAAAAGACTAAGGCCCATTTAAATAAATAGTAAAATAAAACTTAATTTAAATAAATTTAAAATATTTAAACTAAATACTATTTAATAAAATTAACTAACTAAATTAAGTAAAAACCTATAAATAACTCCTAATTTTAAAATAAATTAATATAATCCTTATAAAATATATTAATTTACCTTTTAAACTTATAAAATAAAATAGTTATTAACTATAAAGTTAATATCTATACTATTTATTACTTTAAACTAATTAATAGATTAAGTTAAATGAAAAGATATTCCTACCTTTTAATTATTATTATTATTAAGATTATTTAATAAAAGTTTAAATTATTATAAATTAAATATTTAAATATAATTATATATAAATCTTTATTAAAGATTAAAAAAGCTAAATAATAGCCTATAATATAGAATATAATATTAAATATATAAATACTTATAATATAACTTTTAGTAATTATATAAATATTAATTACTTTATTATATATTAAATTATATATATAGAAAAAATAAGCTACTTTTAAACTAAAACTTAAAATAATAATTATTATTATTTTTATTATATTATAAATATATATATATAAAATAATATATAAATATAAATATAAATATAAATATATTTAGAAGCTTAATTTAATAATAATATATATATAAATTATAAAGTAGAATAAAATAAAATAAATATTTAATATTATTATTATAATTATAACTAATTAAATCTTTATTATATTATTTAACCTAAAGAAACTAACTATAACTTAACTAATTAAATAACTTTTATATTATTTTTACTTTAATTATACTATATTATAATATTATACTTAATATTTATATAGTTAATAATAAAAATATTTAATATAAAGATTAATAAACTTTATAATAAATATTTTCTTATTTTAAAGAGCTATTAATATTATAATTTATATATATAAACTTTAACTTAAAGTTAAAATTTTATTATTTTAAACTAATATCTTTAAATATTTATATAATAAGTTTTAAGAAAAGTTATTTATTTAAATATTCTTTATATTAACTATTTATATATTTAAATATTTTAAAAATAATCTTTAATACTTTTATATATTAAAAACTATTAAAAGAATAATTTAAAGAATATAAAAAAGATTAAAGGAAAGGTAAAACTTAACCTAGAATCTATAAAGCGCTATTAACTAACTATAAAATATAAATAGAATTAATAATAATATAAAGTAAAATAAATAACCTATAAATAAATAATACTATATATATATAAATAAAAATATATTAACTATATTAATTTTAAATATAATCTTATAACTATTAAAAATATTATAATATTAACTATTAATATATTATATTATAGTTAAGTTATTAATATTTATATAGCTATTAATGGATTGGAGTTAATTACTCCTTACCCTCCTTCTTTTAAATATAATAAACTAAAGACTTATAAAATAAATTATATTTCTTTTACTATTAATAATATAAGAATAGTTATACCTTTTAATTATTTAATAATCTACTTTAATAATTAAATTAAGATTAATTAATACTATACTTAATATATATATATATAGAGAATAATAATAAAAATAAACTATATAATACTTTTATTATTAAAAATTAATTTAAATAATATTAAATTAATAATTAAAGGAATTATAACTAAAAATATATAAATTAATTAAGATTATTTAATAAAATAAATATATAAATTAAATATATAAACCTATATTATAATTAATAGTTTTAATTATATATAATATTATTAATATTAATTAATATAGAATTAAG